TTCACCCTTAGAACACCAATATAGTGCTTCAAGGTTCACCCATCGGATTCTAACCATGCATTTTGTTGGTGATATTTTCATTTACTTTACACTGGACAAACCCGTTTCATTTTCTAATAACGTTGAAGTGATACATGACTTCCATCAAAGTCTGTGTGTCAGTGACATAACAGAGAGGTCTGAATTAACTTCAGGACCGATGTAGTGCATGGTTCCCCCCTCTAACTGCAAAAGAAATCAGTGTGCACGCAATTCGGTAAGTTTATTACAAGTATGGCAATGTATAAGTTTTTTAAACTCATTATGTCTCATAGATATTTGACTGCATTATATTCTGGTATGCCTTTATATGTTTGTACATATTTTTGCAGAAAAATTTAAAGTCAAAACTTTTTGTATGAAATTTTTCTTCATGTCGCATGGCATATACATGTATATATACCGTATTTATTTCGCACGTTTCGCTTACTCACGCAGATGAAAGTGTATTTCAATTTGCATCTATATTTTCACTTTTTAATATCTAGGACGAATAGAAAAGATCGAAAACCCACAACGGACACGACGAATAGAATTTTTCATCGTACATCCAAAACCATAATAGTGTATCACATAGCTCTTCATAGTAAGGAAAGACAACCAGATGCTGCCGGACGAAATAAGCAATCAGAAGTGTTTACCAAAGGCATGCTCGTTGGGTTCAAACTTCCGGCCGATCATATTTTAGGGTCATTACGATACTTCTAAAGGGTGGGAGTGAGCTATAGCAGTTAATGATTCCGTAAAATGAATAGTTCTATAAGTCTTCCATATTGGTGGTGATCTCATTGGTTTAACTCGACGCACCCCGGAGGAAGGGGCTGGGTAACACATACCCTCGGTATCGCGGTCGGATACTCCGTGCCACGCACCTCCGTAGCAACCAGATAAAACACTCCACAGCATGTCAACAACTTTCCAACTATATATCATTGAGCTCCTTCATTTTTGAATTCAGGTTTGGTTGAATCTAGGATCTTTCTACTATTGTAGTGTTACGGGTTGAAGCAATGTGAAACTCCAAACATTGCTGGCATCTTTACGTTCCTGTTATCCCTCCCAAAGTATTTAGCATTCATCACGCTCGGCACTTAATTCCACCCATAGCTTTTTTAGACTTACTGCTCGTCCCAGGCACAACCAGAGAAGTAGGGTTGGGCATGATGTTTGCAACCCCATGACGTAGATAAAAATCTTGCTTAAAAAACCAATCAGATTAACCAAGCTAACCTCTATCTGAGAGGTAAAGGAAGAACTATGACGCCTTAAGATGGAAGCCAAAATACTTTGAAAGTCACGAGGCCGATGCCTCTTCCAACAACCAGATTAACAATTTTTATAGACACATGGAACTTCCAGACAATGTAAAAGACCGGGAGGACAGGTCAAATAACAACGTAAATAGGGAGATACAACTTGACGGCACTTGAAATCGGCGAAACCAATTGGACCGAATATGGACAGCAAAGGCTGTATGCTGCTGTTCTCCGGTCACGAAGAGAAAAATGTTCCACACACGAAGGGAATTACTCTGATGCTGTCTAAACGAGCACGAAATGCACTTAAAGGGTGGGAATGTCATTCAACAAACCAGTTGTAGGCGTCACAATATTCGCACACAAACGCGTACAAAAAGATGAAGGAGTCTCACTGGACCACACTGCAGAGAACCAGATCGATCATGTATGCAACACCAAAACATTCAGAAGGACGGTGGAAGATGTGAGAATCAGGAGAGGAGCTGACAGCTTCAGATAACCACCTGGTTGTGGTCAGGATGAAACTGGAGCTAAAGAAGCACCAGAAAACTGGAGAAACAACATTACAAAGGTTCGATAAAGCCTTCCTTCGAGATACTAACAAACTCAACGAATTCAAGATAACTCTCAACAACAGGTTCCAAGCCTTACAGAATCTACTGAAAGAAGGAACTAGCAAAGAGGACAACTGGAAAGGTATCAAAGAAGCATTAACTTCAACGTGTCAGGTTGTTCGGGGCCCCAAGAAGCATCACCATAAGGAATGGATCTTTATGGAAACTCTGAACAAGATGAAAGAAAGAAAGAACAAGAAGGCAGCAATTAACAACAGCCGAACACGAGCAGAGAAATTCCAAGCACAAGCTGAGTACATAGAAACAAACAAGCAAGTTTGGAAGCGCATTAAATCTTACAAGGTGAAATACGTGAAAGATCTAACAAAGACAGCTGAAGAAGCTTCAAGAGAAGGAAATATCAGACAACTATATGAAACAACGAAGAAAGTGATAGGAAAATATAATAAACCAGAGAGATCGGTCAAGGAAGAGGAAGGGAAGCTAATCACTGAGAGTCAAGAACAGAGGGGCATATGGGAAGTAACTACAAACATGCTCCACATTCTGTTCGGGAAGATTTGTGAGGAAGAGCGAGTACCGACAGGCTGAAAGAAGAAAACCGCATCAAGATACAAAAGAAAGGAGATCTGAACAAATGTGAGAACTATAGATGCTTCACACTACTGTCAGTACAAGGAAAGGTTTTCAACAGGGTGTCGTTGAACCGGTTGAAAGGTTCAGTAGATGCCTAGTTTGAGGTTCAACGGGCTAGACTTCGCAAGGGTCGGTCCTGAACAGACCAGTTCGTGACGATGCGGACCATCGTTGAACAATCAATCGAATAGAGTCGGTCATTATACGTTAGCTTCCCTGATTATGAGAAAGTATTTGACAGTGTGGATAGGAGAACATTATGGTAACTTCTTAGACACTGTGGTGTACCTGAAAAAATCGCCAATATTATCCGGAATTCATACGACGGATTACACTTCTCTTTCCTGTTGTGGTGAACTAGATTATAAAGACCTCCACATCTGAGGAGAAGTACAGTGTAGCAGCAGCCTTTGGATCAGTGAGCTTCAACATACGCAAAGGGAAAAGCAAGATTCTTAAATACAACACGGAGAACACCAATACAATCATTATTCATGGAGAAACTCCGGAAGAGGTAGAATCTTTCATGTACCTGGAAAACATCACCAATGAAAGTGGAGGATCTGATACAGACGTAAAGGCGAGGATTGGCAAAGCAAGGACATTTCTAAAACTGAAGAACATGGAATCTTCAATACGAACGTCATGACAATTCTACTATACAGGGCTGAAACGTGGAGAACTACTACAACCATCATCAAGAAGGTTCGAGTATTTATAAACAGTTGTCAACGCAAGATACTTAACATCTATTGACTGGATACCATCCAAAACAGCCTTCTGAGGTAAAGAACAAACCAGGTTCCGTCTGAAGAGGAAATCAGGAAAAGACATTGGAAGTGGATATGACATACATTCGGGAAATCATCAAACTGCATTACGAGACAGGCGTTAACTAGGAATCCTGAAGGGAAACGGAAAAGAGGTAGGCCAAAGTACATACTAAATAGAGAAGTGGAAGCAGAAATGAAAAGGATCAACGGGAACTGGAAAGAAATGTAAATGTTTGCCCAGGACAGGGTCGGATGGAGAATGCTGGTTGGAGGACTATGCTCCTCGACAAGAGGTAACCGGCGTTAGTAAGACAGTAAACAACAGTTCGCACTTAAGCCTTCTTCCTTTCAGTTAATGTTTGTTTCTCCGCTTCAGTTCACCACAAATCACATCTAGTTCCTGTGATCCATGCATAGTCACCTCAATGACGGTTTCATACTAGGGACAGTGATAAGCTTGAGGTTTACCCACTAATTAAACATATTTTGTTTGTTCTGTAGATCGCTAAGGTAGATGATCTGTGTAGATCATAGAGGACCTGCTTAGGTTGGACGTCAATGTCACACATCACCTAATGTGGTCTATCCTTCCATTGTATTCAGGTACGATGACTCCTTCGATGACCGTACAACACAAACAATGTAATTGCAAGAATATATTGGTAGGAGTGGGTACATGAAACAGAGAGCCACCACTGCCACATGGGTCGATCCATGGTGCGCAAGTAATTAATGAAAGTTAGCCTTCTATTGCCTTAATGAGGATCGACAAACTGTTTGTTATTCAGTGACCTGACTTATGGATAATCTGGGTAAACCCAGTGACAGTTCACTGCTACTACAGCTTTATTACAAATGACATAGCTTTATCGATCAATTTAACCCAGAATTAGCACGAACAATATAACCAATAATCGGAAATCGGAGGCATACTACAGAAAAGTTAATTTTTTAGAATATGTTACAGGGAATAGTGGTATAAGGAATTTCTCGGTTCTTTTGGATAAAACTCGATGCCACGAAGGAAATATTTGTATCTGATTGACTGATATCTATTCTCTCTATGATATACTTAGTTACCTGCCTGGAAGCAATGGAAATCGCTGCTATGTAACACGGAGTGACGATAAGCCAAAGCTCTTTTTGTTCTATCGATAACCATCTAAGCCATTTGTTTGGTTCATACTACAATGTAAATGTGATAGGAATCGGTAGAATGTTGCTGAAGTAGTTTAACAAAGGCATTTTATGTCTACTTTCAAAAATTTGAAGAGCGATTATGATGTGTTGTTTGGATATATCAGTTAGTTAATGAGTGCATGTAACCTTTGTGAGAATCGTTTCAATTGCATGTTTTCGAGATGAGTTCTCTTATTGACTATGTTTGTCGATACAGTGGTAGAGTAGGTTAGATTTTTGAAGATTACAGATGTTTTAGAATGAGTGGGTATATCAATGGAATCAATATATACCTTTGATTCCGGATTGTGGAAGCGAAATTCTATTCCCCTTTCTCCTTGTTATTTTCACACTTTTGGGACTATTGCCTTATACTGTTATTCTAATAGCTTCAAAGTCAAGTCACAGCCGTTTGATTTCGTGCTTGTATTTGGGCAAATTGGTAAGGAAGTTTGGCTTAATTTCCTAACTTTTCTTAGGGTCTCGTTTGCATTTCTTTTCTTCTTAATGCCGTTTGGATCCTGTATGTCGTTTTGGAAATGCGAGAATTCGGTTTATATTCGTTTGTTCGACCTGGATTAATATCACTTTCTCTCGTGAGTGTATCAATTAGTTTTATTATGTGGTGCAAAATATTATGTTCAGTTAATGCACTTGATAATTCTTTTTAACCATAATTTTGCATGAACATGAATGGGTGGTATTTTTTCGTGCATCATCATTAATGTAATAAAGTGTCAACACATAGTTTGTCCGTATTTACACCGAAACAACTTCATTTTATCGAAAGCAGTTTTAATCAGTTGCTTATTGTTACTGAAAAAATGTAGTTTTATTTCTCTTGTTACATACCATATTGTGTTTCATGTATAACTGGGATGTAGGACAAAGAAAGTTTCCGATTACTTGCTGCTTACCTCTCAAAGTTTATTCCTCGGGGCTTTAAGATAAATAAATACTTCACCACAAATAGATATGATACTAGTCATGTCTATGGTTTCTTGATGTCATTTGTAAGATAGAAAGGTTAGATAGACTATTTCAATTTATCCCGTTTCTCGAAGTTGATTTCTTGCATAAATCCCTAAAAACATCATTGTCGTTGTCTATCTAATTCTAACGACTGGTTAAGCAAACACCAATATATCAGACTTCTGGGCACTGAGGCAGCTTCAATCCATATGATGATCTTTAATATTAATATTGTTGATTTGTGAAGCTATTTCACCAACAATCTTTAATTCTATTCTTGAAACGTAACCTTTAAGAACAATTTTCAGGTTAATTGACTTCCTCAGAATCAGCAGCTTTAATTAACTAATCAGCTTCTAGGTATTTCCTACAATAGGACTTTCTAATCACATAAATCACTTGAGAGTTAAGTATAAAAGTAAGAATTTGTGTCAAGCAGAATTTTAGTTAGTGATTGTTTAATATGATAGGATATTAAAGGGCCATATTCTCAAGTTTTTAAGTAATAGGTGAGAATTAACTCCCGTACTCCATGGTGTTAGATCAAAATTTTACATATTAATAGTTCGGATGGTTTGCAAGGATATTAATATGCTCCTATCTAGACATAATGGGTGCTCCGTGTTTCACCTGAAAGAAAAACTGTCATCGATGTAGCAAACAGCGGTTGAATTTTAACAGAAAAGCGGTTTTAAATGACCGAAATTTGCATAAGTATTAAGCAGGATGTTTACGAATTACGAAAAGACCTATATTTAATAAAAATTTATGATCAGCCTGTATAAATCATAAATCATCATCAAAAACGCGGAGAACTACCCAAGTTTACCATGTAATTAGTGAATTCCTGAAAATGAGTAATTATCCTAACACATAGATACTTATTCTGTTAGCTTTTGAAGATGAAGTAAACATCAAGCCAACTTGAACCTACGTAAAGAAATGCAAATCCGTGAACAGACTGCATAACTTTGAAAGCTGTCAGCAGGGTTTAATTGTTTTCAATTACTTTCTGAGTGGATAACAATCAAAGTCTTCGTAAACGTTTAGAAGTGGGCATCATAATTTTCTCCAATTAATTGTAAAACGATCTTTTGATAAACAATTATTCGTGAAATTATATTGTGAGATTTTTATTGCTGATATATGAACGTTTCTTTACTATCTTTGGGCTAAAATACTGGATGAATATAAGCTGTACACGTTTATCAATCTTCTAAAGTCTGCCAAAATGTGGAGCACCAGTCCCGATGGTATGGTTGCTGATCTTGAAAACATATAATCTTGTAAAACCTATCATTTATCACCAAATATCGATCATTGTGGCTGAATTGGCTTATGTTGTAGTTCGATTGTAGACTTGATTGGTTCAATTATGTTGAGTTCCAAAACTGGTTATCGTGATATTTGTTACTCTTTGGCAACTAGTTTATATCTCTAAATGGTAATCATTGTAAAGAATATGTGTGTATATTCATAAGACTATAGCATTTTTTCGGGTTTATGTGATTGCTCACACTTGACTTAAGAATGATCTTGTTTCAAGTAAGGTTAAATCAGCAAGTTGTGTTTTCAAGAATAATAATACACCATGTGGCATATTATCCAGATGCCAACATGTGAAAAATTGTATTGTTGGTAAGGTATGCACTCAGTTTGTGAGAAATAACCTATTTCTATGACGTCTCTTTATTTACTAACTCTACAACTTCTATACTAAGCACAATGGAATTACGTAATGTTATTTACTTTCTGTCGGATAGGATTTAATTAAGTTGAGCAGAATAACCGTATTCAAGACTAAACAATTAATGCTTATTAGAAAAAAAATACGGATAGCGAATTTATAACTCAAAACTCAGTTCCGAAAAGATAGAATGTTAGTGATCAAATCATTGACCACATTGGTAAAAGTGTTTGCCATTAATTTCTACTTTGAACTTTACCTTTTTAAAATTATGTAGTGATAGTCTTTTTGTGATGACGTTATTTACTGGTTTCAAATTAAGGAACAAACTTATCCTGATCATTCGTTTCAAATCAGATACACTTAATCCATAATTTTTGAAATAACAGTTTGTGTAAATGGATTTTAAAAATCTAGTTTGCTGTGCTTGATGCAGTACTCATTACATTCGTAACATATTGTTACATAATATTCAGCTTGTAAAAATTGTTTTTAAACATGTACTTGGAGTTTAACAGTGGTCTTGAGTGCTGTTAGAAGTATGAGGGCGGTTATCTCTTCTGGAGGTACCTGAAAAGGAAATTGGATTAGAGGTGGTCTTAGTGACCCGAGAACGTAACCGCAGTACCCAAGGGACAACTGCTTGAGGTCAGCCACACACGACCTTTTTATGAGTAATTTCTGTGTTAGCTCCGTACTTGTTGAGACCATACCGCCGGAGACATCTGTGAGATAATGCAAGGTGTGCATTTATAGGGTCGATCTTTTCTAACCCCACCCTTCCTTGTGGGAAGGCAGCATCGCTGTTATGCTGGTTGTCTGAGGGGAACACCTTATTGCTGTCACACCTCTGTACAGTCAGCAGTACGACTTCGCCTTCGGACCTTGGGTTTGTTGCTTTTAGTCTTACCGCTCTTCAACCGACCTGTCTGACATGGTAGAACCTTGAGGAACAGTTATTCCAGTCAGTATAGCTCGGTTGCTTCATCACGATAGGCAAGCCCGACCACTTCGTCAAGGTAGCAATCTTTCTTTCATATATTACCACCTCTGAATTAACTACTTTTATGAATCCGGTGTTCATCTTGTGTTAATAAGGTATGGCAACTTTGACCGATGCATATATGTACCTGGTCCTACGTTTTAGCTGACGAATTGGAGTTTATCAACTAGTTATACTTCTCTTATCTGGCTAACTTGATAATTGTATAGTGTTAACCTATACTTTAACATCCATCTTTCATATTTTTAATTCATGTTGAACCCAGATTATTACTTGATTTCATGTGATAGAATAATTTATAGATTCTAAAAATCATTACTAGGTACTTTTATAAGCGTAATAGACATTAAAACTTAGAAATAAACAAGAATTGGGATACCTTTAGTCGGTAACATTCAAGTGGAAAACTTGATCATTTTCGAACTTGAACTCAAAAGTTTTATAAAGCGATTATTATTATATTGACCATTAATGTATTTTACTGAAATTTAAGCAATTACACTTTCTAGTATTTCATATGATAAGATGTCAACTATTTTCATTGGAAACATATTTTAGGTATCATTTATCATTGTTATGCATTATGAACGCAAACGAAATACACCAAACTCTGGTGTAAGCTTTTACTATTTATTGTTGTTAAATTTTGTTTGGATATGCTGTTGCTGGAATCACACTATTCACTACATAAAGGTTAGAAATATATGATATTTACTTTAATTACTGTCTTTTTATTTATTTATTTATTCCGTTAGTTTATAGTATTTGATGGTTTGCTCAACTGGTTAACAGCTTCATGCATGAATTTTTACACATACAGGTCTTTTTAACTTATTTTAAATTTGTTAACTTGTGTTCAATGTATGATTCTAATCTGAGTGTGTAGTATGTATATGAGAATAGTCTGTTGATAGTGTATATGAATGTTAAGGTTGTTTAAAAATTCTCTACTGATTTCATGAGTTCACATGTTCAATCTTTGGTATTCGTCATACGTTAAGCATCTAAATCTTGCGTTGAGTACAGCCCGCTGATCAAGTACACGTTTGTTCATTCTCATTTAATCCATACTTGTGTGTAACGATTAAAAACAGTACCCAGTTACTCAAACCAGAGTAATCTGAGCGAGTTTGAAGCATGAAATTTAGCAGCAGACAATCAAGTCTATCAATCAAAATGGTCTACTTAATTGATTTTATCAATAAGTTTTGTTCTACTCTCTTATTTTATTTTAACACATAGATATTGGTACAATGAGACACCAAATACATATGCGCCATACATATCTCAATTGATATGTGTGAGGGCTGTGATACTGTCCGGGTGTACAAACCGAAGCAGGTGGTTTTCTTAGGGGGCCACTTCCCGAGCCTTCGACCTGAAAGTCGGATCCACAAGGTAGTGGAGCATCGTACGAAGATGCAGTCCCATGAAAGCCGGTGACCAACACTAAGTTCATACGCCATTTGTTCCTTCAGGATACTGGAGCCCGTGTGCACCATTGGTTTGGAATGAGGGTTTTTCAACTCCCCCTAGGTGGACTCTCCATGTCCACCAACCCGGTTAAAGCGCCAGACATTTGCTTTTCGTCCTCTCAATTTCGTAAATAACACCCCCGACACGAGAAGGCAGTGAGTAGGACTTCCCTGACAGAGGGTCTTTATGCGCGTGGCCGTGTTAGAGCGTTTGGAGAGTGAGAGCGACTCTCCCCACTCTGAGCCGTACCAGGAAATTTGGGGGCCTACTCTCTTTAGATTTGGAATTCTTATAATCAAAGAAGATTATACTAAATGAAGTATTTGCTTACTCTTTTGGTACATCCCAGAATTTAATAAAATAGATCATCATTACTATTCTTGATCATACAAAGTGTTTAAACGAATCAGCGTTTGGTTCAGCAACTCTTGAATACACTTATTTCTTAATTGTATAGGCATTCTTGGTAGGACACACTATAGCACCGAACCAGTCACATTGAACATGTTCACTTTTAGATTTTTGCGCGTAATTAAAAACATGATGATGTTTAACTTCAATCTTATGTAGAACTTCGTGAAATTTATCCGTATTCAGTTCTTAGAACGCTTAAAATTAATAAACATGCCCCTGTTGTTCAGCTGTACAGTCAACCTAAAATGGTATGAAAGCTCAGTCGCAAGAATTGTTTTTTTACTTCTGATGCATATTGTATCAAAGCAGATATTACACGTTGAGTGGATTTCATATGATTCTGAGAATATGCAAAGACATTTGTAATTCTTTGAGATTTCAGTGGCTCGGGATCTGACTCCAGTTAGATCGTACGAATGTTATTGAAATATACATATCGTCAATCCTCGTATATAATTATCAACTTAGATCGTGTTAGTGAATAACAGAATTAAATGTCTTGAAAATACGAGAATGGATTTCGAATGCGTATATTTTTTACAATCGTTGATCGGAATCGACAATCAGAAAGACGTAGGGAATGGAGCGAAGCAAGAATGACGTGTGGTTGAGGTGGCAGATGAGTCAACTCGATTTAATCAAGCGTTAATCAATATTTATAGTCACACAAAAATAAGCTACAGAAATGTGATGAGTAGGATAAGAAGTACACATACATACTCTCATATAAAAACAGTCAGGGTTGATAAGTGAATATTTAACAAGGTCAAAACGTGACTCAAGAAGAATGGATAAACTGGACTATCCAGAAGCTAGAATAAGTTATATGGGATTTTTGTAAGCAATGATGGATAGTGGCTAGCAGTGGAATCCAGGACACGCGTTTCGTCCTATTTGGGACTCGTCAGCTGCATGTACCTGGATCTGAGTTGATGCTCACTCCGGGACTCGAACCCAGTACCATTCGCTTCAAACGCCATCGCGCTATCCACTCAGTCATTGTGTCCTGATATCCACTTGCTTGTGCAATGGAGTGAATTTAAATTCACTTGGTATTGTTTGGCTTGTATCTTCCCATTGAGGTTTAAGACTGCAATTGATCAGTCTGTTATTGGCATATGTGTATACTGTGTGTATGCCTCGATATTGCGTTAATTCACAAACGTTTTGTAAACAATGATGGATAGTGGCTAGCAGTGGAATGCAGTTTGACGCGCGTTTCGTTCTGCCAATAACAGACTGATCAATTGCAGTCTTAAACTTCAATGGGAAGATACAAGCCAAACAATACCAAGTGAATTATTGTGTTTTCTTTTTCGAGATTTTCATTAAATTGATCAATGACAGGTTATAAGCATTCTATGATAAGGTGTAAGTACGCTCAATAGACAGACTCTTAGTTGATTAAATGTAACGTAAAGTAAGAAAACTTATGATAATAAATCCATGCCTGAGAAATCGATGTCCTACAAGTTTAAACAAATAGCCATGTTTCAAACGAAACAGTTTTGAATGGACTGATCACTTCATACCATTGGTAGATGCATTTTCGAATCCCATGAAGAACACTAACCGCTTCATAATTGTTTATATGTCTAGATAATGAATGATAATGAACATGAAATCCAGTTTCATACAAAAATTCCACTACTACTAATAAGTTCTAATTAAGAAATAGTAGAATAAAAAAATGTTGTACACTGTTCAGTTTTGTAACATAAATTATCAATATGGAGGCCAATTATCATGTTTATTTATATTGCTAACAAATAACTTAGTAAAAGTATACATACAAAAATCGGATCCAAACTTGTCCCTATCACCTTTTTAATGTTATCTATACACAGATGATCATGGATAATGATGTGCAAATTTGTGAAAGTACTTGATATATATATATCTATCTATAAGTGGACATACATGCAGTCACACTTTAATATTTATACGACGACATACTTCTTCAATCTACAGATTATTAGTGAATTAAATAGTAAACGTTAATTTGTATCACGAAATAACATTTTCTATACGATCATTGAAAACTAGGAAAAAGTTAACAGCTGTTTTATCCTAGTACATATGTTTTTAATAGTACACATCTACAGTCCTATCAAGAATCGAACCCATGACCTTCAGGTTGCGTTCAAAGTGTTGTTCGCTTTAAGTTATTGAGTTTGTAGCGGTAAATAAATCCCCAAAATAAATAGCTCTGTAAGTTTTCGACATTGGATGCTGACCACATTAGTTTTAATGGACTCACCTAACTGAAGGAGCTCGGTCATGTATCCGCACCAGATCACGAGTGGGAACGCCGTGCTCAACAACCTCTGCAATCGCTAGACAGATTAAATCAGACGATTCTCGATATATTGATAGCCTGCCAAATATATCTTCAAATCTCCTCGTTTCTGTCTCTTGATTTCACTTGATGGGTACGATTCATATGAGGTGTTACTGGTTAAGGCGTTGTCAAACTCCGAATACTTGAAATTCATTTCGTTGTGAAGTAAACCAGATCAAACCAGCTCAGTCAATCCTAATGACTGGCTACAAGATGAATCTTTGCAGTTCTAATGAAAATCACTAGCTAGTAGTGATGAAATAAGTTGGTGCAAGATAGATTTGTACATCATAGATAATTATGATAATATAGTCTTCATTTTTGGTAAATTTACCACGTAAAGTAATGTTAGTTCATGTTTGACTGCAACATTTTTTATCATTAGTAGTTTTAAGTAGAACTAAATGTTTATCACATCGGTACTGTACACTTATTTTCTAGTGAATCAAACTAATGGGAATATTGTAGCTTGATTAGTGGGACTAGATCAACTTGAAAGAATAGGTAAACATTAAATTGATTACTTATCAATGCAAATATTTCGTTCCTACAGACAGTCAATTTTGACTCAACAGTAACTTCTCTAACTAATGATACTGGTTGATGTGGGTCCGCATATCACGGGAAGCACTCAACGTTGCAAATACACCACGAGATAGTACAGCGCCATATCAACCGGCTGTAATTATAGATATCTTTCAGTGTATGTATCATACATGCATATATATTCATCAGTATAACTGTTTACCAATATATTTTCTAACCATATATATATATATATGTAATTTCGAATCGTTTCTCATCTTTTTCAGCATTTACAGAATTCTACGATGTTGTTCACAACAGTCAATAATACCTCTGTTATCCCTAACAATAATAATAATACTACTACTACTACTACACTTCCTCTTCATTCAACTATACGAAACAAAGAGAATTTTCTTAACATTTTAGATTATATCAATTTACTTATCTCTTTCATTATTTTCATATTGAACTGTAATTCAGAACGTCGTCAATGTTTAAAAACTAACAGAATTATCAATATAACAAAAAAGAATCCAAATATAATTACTGATAATGTTAATAATAAAAACCATCAATCCAAATGATGATCAAGATCTTTCAGAGCATTTAACTAATCATATAGAAGTGAATTACAGCGATGAAAATGTAGAAATACAAAATTTACAAGTAAGTAAATATACTTTATCTAGTGTGTGTGTGTGTGTGTGTACAGTTACAGTCGTTTATTATTTAGTTATTTAAACATATACACATTGGTACAAGGAGGCACCAAACAGATATGCGTCACATAAATCATTCAATTTGTGTTAGGGCTGGGATACTGCTCGGGTGCCCAAACCGAAATAGGCGGTTTTATCAGGGGGCCACTACCAGAGTCTTTGACGTCAAGATCTAATCCACAAGGCCGTGGAGCAACGTCCCATGGTAGCCGGTGACCAACGATTGATTTATACACCATTTGTTGTCTCAGGTTCCTTGAGCCATTGTGCATGATTGGTTTGGAATGAAGGTTTTCCAACTTCCCTAGGTGAATCTTCCGTATACTCCAACTCGGTTAAATCACCGGACATTCGCTTTTCATCTTCTGAATTTCGTAAATAACAGTTATGTCGCGAGAAGACAGTGAGTAGGACTTCCCTGTGAATGGCTGTATACGTGTGGCCATGTGAGAGCATTTGGAGAGGGAGAGTTAACTCCCCTTATTCTCGGCCGTATTAGGACATTTGGGGGTATATTGTTTATGGTGATGACTATGTTCTGACTTAAATAGCTCCCTTATAATAATACAGTGTATGTATTTAAAATATCTTCAAAGAAGTTTATCTACTGTATTTTTAATCTTGTCTAAGCTTATAAGCGTGTCACGCCTTCAGTATTAATGAAAATATCCGATTATATTTTAACCTTTATTTTAAAAACTCAGTTTCTCTAACATAATTCCTAATTAAGAGTTATTTACTGATCTATCTGAGGATGTTAAATGAAATTAAGCGATTTCCATAACTTAAAAACAGACTAATAACTAATGAAATACAAATGGTACTGATCCATGGCTTACTGATCATTTAGTCTAAATATCTTGTAGGTTTAACCATGGGAAGCTATACGCACTATTAAAAGTTCCCTTGTCGCTATTCATTAATTTCCAACTATTGAAAATAGTGAAGGTTATTTATCTAATGTAAGTTTATGATACAAACTGGATATATTGAACGATCTCTGTGTGTGTGTGTGCTCAGAACAGTTTCAGTTTGAGAAGGACAGGAGGCTCGATGGCCTATGTTAGTCCTGGCAATGGTGGTCTCTCAATTGATCCAACTTCCTTTTGAAAGAGTCGACGGATGGAGCCTCAACCACGTGCTGAGGTAGTGAATTCCACTCGTTGATGATTCGATGGGAAAGTCGATAGTCAGCTGACAAGCAATTTGTTCTCGGCTTATGAACTTTTTTGGAGTGTCCTATTAAATTCTCTGTTTTGGAAGGCAAGAAAAATGAGGGCATATTAGGTGCAAATTTATCACTAAGCAATTTGTAGACTGTAGTCAAGTCGCCTCTAGTTCTGCGATATGACAACGGGGAAAGGTTCAGCTTGGCCAGTCGAGATTCATACGGAAGCTTCGCTATTCCGGGAATCAGCTTAGTCGCCGTTCTCTGAACCTTTTCCAGAAGCTCACTGTCTTTTTTTAAGCAGGGGCTGGCCGCTTGTATGCAGTACTCAAGTTTAGGACGTACGAACACTGTATACAAAGTCAAAAACGTTTTAGCGTCGACATGACTAAAAGCTCTACGTATTGACCATAAGGTTCTAAAACCTTTGGCGGCTATTGCACGGCAGTGTGCAGTAGTCTTTCAGTCTTGACTAACGATAACTCCTAAGTCATTATATGTCTGGACGACAGGTAGCTCAGTGTTATTCATCGTGTATATATCTGTGCCTTGATGACCGATATGCATCACAACACACTTGGAAGTATTTATCGGCAACTGCCATGTTTGAGACCATTCAGATAACTTCTTCAGGTCATTTTGAAGTTCTAAGCTATCACTCTTACATCGTATCGTTCTCCATATCTTGACATCGTCAGCATATAGCAAGACCGATGATGATAGGAGACGATGGAATTTCATTTTGATATTGTAATTAGAAGACGAAGATTATTAGAACTATGTGATGATATATTAGCGCAACACATTTCAAACAATCTGATCATACATTACATACTTGTTAAGAACATTTATATATATGCAGAAACAAATAGAATCAAGTAGTGACCCAATAAAAGAGTAGATGATAAACATTCATCATCCTAAACATATAATTGAAACAAGCCATAAAATATTGATCTTAACTCGGCTTTTGTGGTGTTGTACAAGTGTCAAAGGGTGTATTCTAAGGTTTATTGAAGCCTTAACTATACGAAATTTTGAGTCCCCTTTGTGTATTCAAAAACAATTTGTTCCCACCTTAAACCTACCCTGGTAATATCGACTTATTATCCAAAATGATTAGGTTTTAAAGCAATTCGATAGAACAATGAAAAGACGGAGTTGATCTGATGAAAATGTGATGTATTTGCGCTATACATTTCGAACAATCTGGTCATACACATATACTTGTTAAGGCTTTTTTTTTATATGACAATTAATAAAGGTCAATGAAATAAAAGTTCAAGTAAAATAACAAAAGGGGGGGAGAAAGAATAAGAAATTGTCGTGTTATCCTAGACCAAGGTAAATTCAAGGTTACGACAAATTGTTTTTGTACACATATAAGGGGGGTGGGTGGTTAAATTTACGAATAGCCAAGACTTCAATAAACTTAAGAATTCGTTCTTGACCATTTCTATACAACATTCTAAGAGCTGTATTAATGTCAATTTTGTGCCCCGTCTCAATTATATGTTTCACTATCGATGAAGCTGGTTTTCTACCTCCCACATTGATTGGATCATTTGAAACACATTGATTTTGAAGCCATCTAGGCTTTTAAATTGTGTTCACATTATTATTATTATTATTATTATTATTATTATTATTACCCTTATCATTATCCTTATCTCCTCTTATCCCATTTCCAGTCTAGTTGACCTTTTATTTTTAACATATAAATGTTCTTATATTATATATCATCACATTTATCAAAGGGACTAATTACTTTAGAATTTTAAGTACATTTTCATTTACACACCTCTATGGTTGTTTAGTCGATAAAATATTATTAAAGATTCCCATTGTGAAAATTAGAACAAAACATGTAAGCAAACAATATTGTTTTCAATTAAATTGTTATCAGAATGAGTTTTGTGGAGATTTTAGTAAATTTCACAGGTTGAAATCATGAGTCAGTTGAAGCTAGACCACCATTGAAAACCTGGAGGCACTGGATCCCGCCCCTTGCGGGTTCGTGGATGCGCACTGCTGAGGAGTCCCACAATAGGACGAAACGGCTGTCTGGTGCTTCCAGGTTTTCAGTTATGGTGGTCTAACATCAATCGGTTCATGATCTCATAATCTATTTCATTGACTTGATTGGTTTAACATTTTCGTATAAATATTCATTTATATTAGAGTAAAGCCTAGTGACAATCTGATTGAAAACAATATTGAAATCATGAGTCAATTAAAGCTAGACCACCATGAAAAACCTGGAAGCACTGGACGGCCGTTTCGTCCTAATATAGGACTCCTCAGCAGTGCGCATTCATGATCCCGCACCCCGCGAGATTCCAACCCAGGACATATGAGTCTCGCGCCAGGCGCTTAACCAACCACTGGTAATAATCATCTGCTCATAAGTGACTGACTTCAAGAGATACTCCTGGGGTTCTAGTGAGAAGCCGTTACCAATGGAGTTCAACCAGGTTTGTTGTGAGATATCAGCTCACTGATGACAATGGTATACGGTGGCGCAACTTCGTGGATTGGTTAAAGTTAGACATTAACACCGTTGGATACCAGCCGGCTCAGTGGTCTAGTGCTTAAGATCTCGCGCACGAGACTGATAGGTCCTGGGTTTAAATCTCGCGAGGTGCGGGATCGTGGATGCGCATTACTGAGGAACCTCATGCTAGGACGAAACGGCCATCCAGTGCTTCTAGGTTTTCCATGGTGGTCTAGCTTCACTTGACTCATGATTTCAATCAGTGAAAATTTCTAAAATCTCCACAAAACCCCTTCTGATGAAAGCAATATTGTTCGCTTACGTGTGTTATTCTAGTGGATTAAAGTTATCACACTAGTGATAATTTTCAGTAGTGGACATTAAACTTAGTTTTATAAACTATTTATTGATCACATATTAAACTCATCTCTCTCCTTCTCTCTTTCTATGTAGTACATTTGTTCGCTAAAATTAAACTCATATTCTATTTGAACATAAACTAAAATTATTAAATGTTTTATTGAACACATAACTCTTCCCACCTTCCTTCAGTCGACTGAGTATTCAACTTCTTTTTGTTCATACGTGATAATCACTATAAAAAATAATCACATTAACAATGCCATCTACATCTAACTACACCCTTTGTCTTCCCTTAAACCGTGAGACTAAAACTGCTTTGCATCTTTCTTTCTACGAACTGATTCTTTCTTCGTGTACTATGTCCTTACATACAATCTTTCTTTTATGTATTACCACCACTGTCGCCTCCGTGGTGCAACCGGTTAGCGCGTTCGGCTGTTAACCGAAAGGTTGGTGGTTCGAGCCCACCTGGAGGCGGTTCTCACTGCCCCCAAATGCCCTGTTACGGCTCAGAGTGGGGAGAGTCCTCTCTCCCTCTCCAAGTGCTCTCACATGACCACGCGTATATAGCCTCTGCCATGGAAGTTCTACTCACTGCCTTCTCACGGCAGGGGTGTTGTTTACGAAATTGCGAGGACGAAAAGCGAATGTCCGGCACTTTAACTGCGTGGGTGGATACAGAGGATCTACATTGAGGAGTTTAAAAACCCTGACTGCGAACCAATGGTGCATATAGGCTCTAGTATCCTGAAGGAACAAATGGCGTATGAACCAATTATTGGTTACCGGCTACCATGGGAATGCATCTCTTTACGTTGCTCCACTGCCTTGTAGATCAGACCTTCAGGTCGAAGGCTCCGAGTGTGGATCCCTAAGAAAACCACCTGCTTCGGGTTGGGCACCCGGGAATTGTCACAGCCCTCACACATATCGAATGAGCTATGTGTGGCGCATATGTATTTGGTGCCTCCTTGTACCAATATCTTTATGTTAAGATAAATAAATAAACTACTTCTATGAGTTCGGTATTCATCTTGTTGTGCTAATGAGGTATGGCAAGTTGAACCGATACATATATGTGCCTGGTCCTACATTGTAGCTGACTGACTGACATCATAATTTATGTATCTTCTAACAATCTAACTCACAGACTATATGAAGAAAAACAGTATTCAAAAGGAACTTTTTGCTTTCTATGTATTGAAATTGTAGCTAGTAGAGTAAACTAGAATGCATGATTTAATTTATTTGGAACTTGTTAGTTGAATATACATGTATCCATGTATTGTTGTTCATATTGAGATCTGAACTCATTCATTATCGCTTCAAACTCCAACGTACTATCCACTAGGCTACTGAGTTCGATTAACTAATAACGTATTCAACGGTATTAGTCTATTTTCAATATTTTGTATTTACCTGTTACTGTGGATCCTATTGCTAATCACAATCCAAACATACTCAAACTCATAACGAAAAAGAATTATCTAAGCCGTTCATTCAGAATGCTTATATTTTCCACTAGAGAATATCTGACTGTCTTATCAATTACATGATCTATTTGTATATGAAAGTAATTGATGAGTTTTAATAAATCATGTTACAGAACGAATTAATTGATGAATTAGACATCATTAGACTCTAACACTAGAATTATTTTGATTTTTAAGTTAGATTTCTTTAGAATACTATCTCGGCACTATGTACAACTAGTTGACTGATCAAAGACTAGTGGATGTACCTAATCTAGTTTCAATAACAGGTGGAATAATAACTCAGAATGCTATTAGTCTTGATGTGTTTTACTCTAAAGTTGTGGTACAATTAAATCTGTATCTTTGAAACTCGCAACCTGAGTAGTTGATTCTTAAGGACACAATAAATACTCTCTATTTCCCCTCTATACCATCGTTATTTAAAGTGGGAATAAACATGTGACTTTCGTCTTTTCGTTAGTTGAAGGCATAGTCCATGGTCAGTTGAAGAGTATTTTATACTATATTCATTCATTGAATTAATTTGTTTTTTCATTATTAGGGTAATATGTCAATCTGTGTAAATGCTTGCTGATCATAACAGTCCGTGACAAATTCTATCTTCAAATTCTTTCGTATTATTAAAAACCAAATTTACTTAATACAATTTATAATAGTTGTCTATTTACTTGTTTATTTGAGCACATAAATATTCGTATAAAGAGGCACCGATTACATATGTGCCACACAAGTCAAATGATTTGTGTGAGGACTGGGGTACTGCTCGGGTGGTTTTCTTAGGGGGCCACTACCAGAGTCTTTGACATAAAGTTCTAATCCGCAAGGCAGTGGAGCAACGTCCCATGGTAGCCGGTGACCAACGATTGATTTATACACTATTTGTTGTTTCAGGTTCCTTGAGCCATTGTGCATGATTGGTTTGGAGTGAGGGTTTTCCAACTTCCCTAGGTGAATCTTCCGTATACACCAACTCGGTTTAAATCACCGAACATTCGCTTTTCATCTTCTGAATTTCGTAAACAACAGTTATGTCACGAGAAGGCAGTGAGTCGGACTTCCCTGTGAGTGGCTGTATACGTGTGGCCATGTGAGAGCATTTGAAGAGGGAGAGTTGACTCTCCCCACTTTCGGCCATACCAAGACATTTGGGAGCATTTTTTTAACACGTGCATAAAATCCGAATGTCAATCAAACTGTAATAATTAAAACTAATTAATTATACTTTTCAATAATATAGGCAAAATCTCCTGAGAATGACTGTTCGTACTTGTCACGTATAACCTACTCATGGTTCACAAGGTGAGTTAGTACAATATTTTTTGCAGGGGGGGTGGTGGTTAATTATTGTCGTGTGTTTTTAAAAAAACTTTTACACATCCATCATTTTAATGAATGATGATTGTGCTATATCAACTCTCAGATCTAAAGATATCATAGTCCTTACAACACCAAAAGTCTTAGGTGTAGAGCCCTTGGAAGTCTTAAATAAAAAATAGTACGATGATCCAATATTTTATATTTTGATGAATCTGAAAATGCTGCCAGTCTGTGATGAGAACATTTTGGCGAAATTAACTAAAGTAGACTGGTGAAATACATTATAAAAATGCTTCAATGTTTTAATGAAAATAACTCAGACAATACCAACGGTCTAATTGATCTAAAAGGTTTGTAGTACTTAGTGAGAACCAAACTTATAATTGTCCAATATAAAAAAGAACAAACTACAACAATACGTACTGTGAAGTGGTTTGGAAGATTTGTAGCAAAGGTGGAAAATCGTAGTGAATTTGGATTCTCTGAACTGATGGGTTAAATTCTGAAGTTTTCATTGTCTACTTAGATAATAACATTTGCATAAACATCATGTTGAAATCGGTGCTGATGTTTCTGTCTGGAGAGTGAGACAATAAAAACCTTCATGAATAAATTACACTCAAGTTTAGACAATTCAAATTCTTTGAAAATCATATACCATTGAAATCATCTTTAGCTAGATTATTTCAGTGTTTGTTAAGGATGCAGAGGAATATACCAGTAATTATCGTGTTAAGTCTAATGGTGTCCTTGGACGTTAAATGGACATTTCCATTGGTCGATATTCATTTCACCTGTCAAATATTGTGCAAATGTTGTTTTCTATTTTATGGTACGATGTGGTCTGGTTGGTTGGTATATAAATGGAGTATGTCTGAAATATAATGATTCATATCTCAGAAGCTGTGACTTACGTTCTGGACTCAACTGGCTGGGATAGACAGCGGAGCAGGGTCAATCGGGTCTCTAGGTCGTCCTTACGTGTTTTACGTGTCACTGTAATCGATCGATAATATACGCTTCACTGTAATCTGCAGTCCACCCGTTACAACATTGTTCTACATAATATGGTAATAACCCAAACAATGAATTGATTCTCAATTGAAAACAAGGATCCCATCAATCAATTATTTGAAAAACTATTCCTTTTAAATAATGAATGGCAAAGAGAAATGTTTTCAGGGAAAGAATTCCACTTCTTCATAGAAAGTTGCATTGTATAAGCTTTACTTCAATTCTTTTTTCATTTTGTAAAATTAAAACACAAACGAAACTACAGTCCGTTATAACAAAATTTCAGTTGGATGCATAAAATAACGAATAGAAATTAGTGTATGATAGTGAAATATAGTAATAATGGGCAAAATAGTTCAGTTAGCAAAGGTACAATCAGAAAGAATTCTTCCAGTAGAAGAAGTTACATCCATTTTTTTTAATAAAGAAAGTACAATAAAGTTATAGTAGGATCGCCAGTAGTAGCTTCTATTCTGAGCTATATCTGATAACGTCTCTAACCGCTGTGTTGTACCATCTCTAGGACCTCAATCAGGGAGTCGTGAAGGTCCGACATAAGTAATCCTTAATTAGGAGTATTTTTCCGGTATTCAATAGTTGCCAATATTTCTTCAAATAACCCATAGTATCATTAAATAAGAAAAAGAGGATTCAGTGAAGAAATCTTTCACTTCTCGACGAAATCATTTACTTAGGCTGTACATTAGTACATATAAAGTTATATATGTCTATAAGAGGATAGAAAAGATGGTATCATAAAATAGATTCAAAACTAAGTAACAAATGAGGTGGTAAGGATGAAAATAATTTACAGAACAGATAATTGTCCAGTTGACAGATATGAAGAAAAAATGACAAACATAAAGGTCATAATAATAATATACACTGAATAATAGTCGGATAAAAGTACAAGAAAAAAAACCCACCCAGAAACATACCCATTAAGGGAATTAGGGTCATGGAAGGATGAGAGGTTGAATGAATCGTTTCTGCACGCAAAGTTCTGACTTGAGTTCGTGGATTGTCAATGCCTCAGCAGTGCATAAAATATTGATTCGACACCCCTTTGATCCAATTCTTTTGACTCTGTAGATTACTTTAAAAGAAGAGTCCTTTGGAACGATGTGTCCGCAGTCAATTAAATACTCCTGTATCGAACTAGTAATTGTTTTACATTCACCTTTTAAAAGCTAAGCCGGATAGTGTTCTGAGATGGATTTGGAATGTGATCGCTTTGTGCGGCCTATGTAACGTGCCTCACATGAGCAAGTAAATTTATAGATACACACTGATATGGCCCAAGGCGGAAGTTTATCCAAGTATGGTAGGCCGACTTAAGAAAACGATTCGGAGCTTAGCTGCGTAGAACGTTTTATTCTGATCCATAAATTTATGAGAATCATTATCACTATTCTGTTTTTTGTCTTTTATACTTTCTAGTTTAATAATCAAAGGATTTCGTAAACCTGTTGAATTTAACGATATATGGCGATTAGATTCACAGCATTTATCAGCCAATGTATCAAAGATATTCTTAACTAACTTGGACAAATATTTAATACCAAATAAATCAACTAATAATTATCTGTAAGTTAATTATTGTTCCATTTCCTATAATTTCAATAGTTGAAATCATGAGTCAATTGAAGCTAGACCACCATAGAAAACCTGCAAGCACTTGACGGCCGTTTCGTCCTATTGTGGGACTCCTCAGCAGTGCACATCCACGGTCCCGCCTCGCAAGGTTCCAACCCCTGGGCCTTTTAATCTCGCGTGCGAACTCTTTACCTATTAGACCACTGATCTGGTGTACATCCACGATCCTGCTCGCGGGATTCGAGCACAGGGCCTTCGGTCTCGCGCGCGAACGCCTAACCTATTAGACCACTGAGTTAGCCGGCGTCCAATAGTGATAGTGTCTAACATCAACCACCACTGAAAACCCGAAGCACTGGACGGCCGTTTCGCCCTCATGGATGATAGTCTAGCAAATACGTGAATTGGTTGAGGTTAGACATTAACACCGTTGGATGCCGGCCAACTCAGTGGTCTAATAGGTTGAGCGTTCGCACGCGAGATTGAAGGCACTGGGTTCGAATCCTGAGAGGCGGGATCGTGGGTTCACACTGCTGAAGAGTCCCACAACAGGATGAGACGGCCGTCTATCTTCCACTGACTCATGAATTCAATTACTAAAAAATAAGTCATTTTTCTTTTACTAATGAAAATTCAGGCTTCATGTTGTAGATAAAATTTCTGTTAATTTTTCTGAAGTCGAAAACGAAAACATCTTGCATAAATTTAGACGAATTCTATGGAAAAATGTTGAGGTGTTTCTTGGTGTAGCAGTAGGTTGGAAGAAAGCTAGGGGCTGCCAAATCAAAATATGGCACCAATCCATGTAATCACTGAGAAGTGTACTGAGTTATGTTGGTAGGTGTAGACTACCTGGTTGAGATGCGCGAGACAATAGCAACCGATAGTTGAAGACTTTGAATAACGTGGCTCAAAATCGTTTGCAATATCGCAGGTGCATCCACTCTTTGTGTTCTCCCAAATTCTAATCTTCTGAATTGTTCATGTCCCTTTTTTCCTCTTTCCAAATTTATTTCACTGGATTATACTCCTTGAATAACATCTTTTAGCCCTAACCTTTCCGATTGCTGCCTATACTTTATTACCTCTACCACAATGGGAATTGAATCGACAATTGTATCTCTGTGCTAATGTAGTATGGCAACTCGAACTGATATACGTACATACGAAGTTCTACGTTGTTACTGACTAATTAATACCATGTAGAAGTTTGCTTCTTAGTTATTCGATAGGCATTAAATCTGTTTATTCTGATGGTTTTATTTTTGATTGATTCTTTTCTTAAATTTCATTGTCTTCACTTGTTTATATGTTTAAGTTAATTATCTTGTTCGATTGACCTTCGACCATATAGTTGATAGAACTGTTTCTTGTGAGTTGATAGATTGCGTTGTAGTCATCGAGAACACAAGTGGGGATCATAGAATGTATTTGAACACAAAATTACAGAACAACTTAGTAAAATCTGAGAACCATACAGTAAATATTTCATTTACAAAATGTCAATCAATCGTCTCAAACTTTACTGTTTCTTCATTTCCACAGAAATCATTCTCTGTCCACTATCTATTTTCTTCGATCTTAACATTCTGTATCAGGCATTTGACTTTCGATTAATGATACATACTACTTATATCTGTTGACATCAGTAGCACACATCACAGCGTCTATTTCGATGTGTCTGTTGATTGTCACTTAACTTAAGTGCCATATTTTTAACTTTAATACATCAAAGAATATCATTTCTTTGATTAAATAAGATTAATCAATCAGTTGTGTAATATGTAAGCTATAAAATGGTTAACATAGCCTACCTTACTGTATTGTGTATCTAATTATTAAAGTGTCATTTATGAAGTGATAAAGTTGACCTGTTTTATTAATTTTTCAAACACTTCTTTGAATATTTCGATGTATTCAGTTCTATCTAATCATTCACTATTTTTAAGGTAGATGATTCCTGTAGATTAGCTCAGTTTTAATGATTGTTTTTGTGACAAACAATCCCTAGCAAGGTCAACTAATATACATTGTTGAGAAGTTCAGAACTAACATGAAATCTTTATTTAATACTCTGTTATCAGTGATGATTTTTTTATTTGGGAAAAATATTTCAACTCCATAGTGCAACTTTATTCATCTAAATCAATTGATTGTAACTATCTACGATTTGATTTACTTATTTACTTTCGCCTGTTACTCCCAATGGAGCGTAGGCAGCTGACCAGCATTCTTCAATCCATTCTGTCTTGGGCATTCCTTTCTAGTTCTATTCAAATTTTGTCCACTTTTCTCATGTTTGTCTGCATTTCTCGGTGTAATGTGTTCTTTAGCCTTGAGGATTCTATGTGAGAGCTTGTCTTGTGACGCAGTTGGATGCTTTTCTCAATGTGTGTCCTATCCACTTCCAGCGCTTCTTCCTCCTCTAGGATCTGGTTTGTTCTTTCCCATAGTAGGTTGTTGCTGATAGTGTCTGGCAAACGGATCCGAAGTATGTTGCGTAGACATCTGTTGATAGCTTTCGTAGTTCTTCAAGTTTCCGTTCCATACAATAGAATTGTTTTGACATCTGTATTGAAAATTCTGACCTTGGTGTTGATTGACAGTTGTTTTGGGTTGCAGATATTCCTCAGTTGTAAATATGTTGCTCTTGCTTTACCAATCCACACCTTCACATCTGCATCAAATCCGCCGTGTTCATGAATGATACTACCCAGATACATAAAGTTTTTTATATCCTCCAAATCTTCTCTGTCAAGTGTAATTCGATTGGTACATGCTGTATTGTATCGGAGAATTTTGCTTTTCCCTCTATGTATGTTGAACGATTCGATTTACATTTTCCATTAATTACTCACAGATCTACTTTGAGTCACAATTCGGTTGTATGATAAGAATAATACATATATGTTAATGAACTAGTACCATTCAATAAAATACAAAGCTTTTCCTTTTGTTTATTTAGTTTAATGATTTGCACTTTGATTTTACAACGGATATTTCTGACAATGAACGATCAGTACAGATTGTATCATTATTAAAAGATTTGCACTTTGATTTTACAACGGATATTTCTGACAATGAACAATCCGTACAGATTGTATTTACTGAGTACAACTTAATGTTTACAGTTTTACACTACACTGTTTATATGTAGTATCCACCGTCTATGTAAATTAAAGTACTTGTAGTGCATTTCAAAACTAATTACTCTAATGATAACTAAGTTACTATTCTGAATTGAAACTTATCTAAAGAAAAAAAATATTTACTGTTGTGTATATTGAAAGTTTATTTTTGATTTCAGTAAACACTACTAGCGATTTGTTTTCAAAGACTAAAAGATAATCTGAACTCATATATATATGCATCATACAAGTCACTTGATTTATGCGTCGGCTGTGATACTGCCCGAGTGCCTAAACCGAAGCAGCTAGTTTTCCTAGGGAGTCACGCCACGAGCATTTAACCTATAAATCTAATCCATAAGGCAGTGGAGCAATGTCAAGAGATGCAGTTCTATAGTAGTAGGTGACCAATAATTGGTTTATACGCCTTTTGTGCTCTTAGGATCCTGAAGCCTATTTGCACCATTGGTTTGGAATCAAGATTATTGAACTCCCCTATGTGGATCCTCCATATCCACCAATTCGGTTAAAGCACCGGATATTCGCTTTTCATACTCTTGATTTCGTAAACAACATCCTTATGACGAGAAGTTAGTGAGTAGAACTTCCCTGTCGATGGCTGTATACACGTGTCCATATGAGAGCATTTGGAGAGGGAGAACTGACTCCCCCCTATTCTCGGGAGCGATTATACTGTTAGTGTTATTTTAGAAGAAAATATTGAATAAACTACTTATTAGTGTTTTTTTATTATACCAGCACTTACCATAGTTGAATTGGCGAGGGATTTTATGGAGAAAAAATGACTAGATATTTACTTAAAAATTGTAAATATTTTGTAATAGTTACCAATTATTTTATATTTGCATTAGAAAATCCCGGGATTGGCAGAATTCTTTGTGTGTGTGTGTGTGCTTTAACACATTTACTTGAACTTAACCAGTCAGTCATTATCTACGTAGATTTTAGTACAAATGCATGTTAGTCCAAGTTGATGTTCAGACCTACACACAAGATGATATCAACATAACTAATTGTTAAAGAGTAGAAATAATTGTAGTATCAATCGTAACACGGAATGTAAAACATTGAGAATATGGTTTAGAAATATGTCATGAATGGGTATGTATGTATGAAAGAATACTGGAACTCAAGATCTGGAGTATGATAAAAAGTGAGTGCATCTACATCGTTTTGACAGATTCTGAGCCATGTCATTTGCTGCCTCTAACAACTGATCTTGGTTATTTAGAGGACTTTAACAAGGTATTGTACCATCTATCTATACAGTTCGGATCAATGTTGTACATCATGTAACAAAACAAATCTAAGGTAGCTATACTAGTTTAATGTAAATAAATGCTGTGAGAAATAGTCATGTCCATGAAAAGGATCAAAATTTCTTTGTATATATTGATCGTAAAGGTTGAAAGAGAGGTTGAGACATTCATGATTATAGTCTACAGAATAATTTTAATCAATGATTGGTTAACAGGACTCATGATCATGGTGTCTCAGATGCACCTCTTTAATTTTTGATTTTTAACCTTAATTTACAATTTCATTTCGTAAATTATTTTCTCTAATTTTATTCTGTGTATATATAATGGTTTGAGTTTTCTTATTGATATTAAAGTCTCTGTTTGATTGATGTCTATTGACGTATGTGTATTGTGGGCAGATTACCTAGATACTGCCTCTAGTCACAAAGTTTTAATAAAGCTTGTTTGTGAATAACAATGTCATCAAGGATTATAGTTTCGTCCTCGTTGTGGGATTAGTCTGCTGGATATGTCTTGATCCCAGTGTAGACTAATTAGATGCAGTCCTTATTATTAACAACAGTAAAACTTAAATCTTTATACATGTAACTTTACAACAGTTGGACAATTTGGCGGTTATCTAAACCTGATAAGTCAATCGATAACTTGTTAATATTTGCGGTGAAATGTGATTAGTTCTATTTTATGTTTGACAAATTCTGTAATATTTATATGATCAGTTATCTACGTCATAAAAGAAAAGTGTAATGGATGAGCACTGCTGACGAGTCCCATACTGGGACGAAACGGCTGTCCAGTGCTTCCAGGTTTTCCATGGTGGTCTAGCTTCAATTAACTCATAATTTCAATCTGTGATATTATTTTATGTTCAAATGTCTTTCAGTGATGAAAAGATGCTACTTTCTTCCTCTGTATTTATTATGTATAAAAGAAAAAAAATCAAATGATAGGACTGATTTAAAATGGGAAATTTATTTACTTTAAAGGTCCTATTGAAAAAAAATGTTTAAATAATTTCTGTTACTTCACTGTAACAGATATCCGGAGAAGTTTATGAGCAAAGAAAAGTAGAAAATTCGACTGATAACCATATTGTAAAAACTTCTAATGGAGTATGGCAACTTGAATCGATGTATATATGTGCCTGGTCCTATGTGGGGTAACTAACTGAATCGATTTTATAAGAACTTCTACTTTTTCTGAAACTCAACTTTTGAAAGGCTTTTGAACTCTTGTATGTGATGTTTCAATATTCATAGTAGAATTTTTAACATTTTCAATTGGAAACTAATAACACTTTAATTACTAATTGTATTTTGAGGAAAGGAGAGAAGGAAGGGAGAATCACCTGATTTCGGGCAGGTTAACCATATCGAGTAAAACACAATGTTTATTCAATTACTAGTATAGCTAATCCATGTCGTGTAGAGACAGGTATCTACCTCAGTACAATGGAAGATGCTCACATAATTTCGTGGATTGGTTGATGTTAGACACTTTCACCATTGGATGCCGGCTCAGTAGTCCAGTAGGTTAAGCGTTCGCGCGCGAGACCGAAGGCCCTGGGTTCGAATCCCGCGAGTGGGATCATGGATATGCACAGCTGAGGAGTCCCACGATAGGACGAAACGGCCGTCCAGTACTTCCATGTTTCCAAAGGTGGTGGTCTAACATCAATCGGTTCATGATCTCAATCAAAGGCTTATCCAATTCCTCAAATTTACTAGTTCGAATAAATTTGTTTTACCTTTAAATGACATTGCTATTCTATGCTAATTCTGTTTATTTATCATACTGTATTATGTTTAATTTCTTTCAATATCTTCTTTATTGTTTTCTTCAACAATCAGTGAAAAACGTCGTGCTTCTATGGGAAATAATATACATCATGGTACTAATGATTCATCCGATAGTGAATTTCGACGTAGATCAGCACAAAGTATTCTTGGCTTTGGTATTCCACAACATAATAAACATTTATATAAATCTGGATTAACAAATACCTATTCAGATGAGATGAATATAAGAAGAGCTAGTGAAGGTATTGCTTTATTGAATAATAATAAAACATCACTTCAAAGTAACAATAATGATATTCATCCTGAAACTGATTTAAACCTTAAAACTCATCAAAATGAATCATTACAATCAATTGATAATCGAATGGATTCAACAAATCATGATTTACCATCCAGTACTATTATAGGTAATTACTTTTAATATTATTTTCTTTAATATGGTTGAATGAAATAGAGGAAGAGAGAATAGAATGAAGAAAGAATACATTGTATATTACATCAAATGATAAAGTTTTCCTCATTTTTTTTCCCAAATGTATCTATCAATTGTAAATAATAAAACTTGTAGTCAATTATGTTGATTGTATAAAGTTGAAATACATTCTCATTCTAGTACGCCACCAAATGTCCTGGTACGGTCGAGAGTGGGGAGAGTCAGCTCTCTCTCTCTCTCTCTCTCTCGAAATACTCTCACATTACCGCGCGTATACAGCCACTGTCATGGCAGTCCTACTCACTGCCTTCTCGCACCACGTATATTGTTTACGAAATTGAGAGGATGAAATGTGAATGTTCGACGATTTAATCAGATTGGTTGATATGGAGAATCCACCTAGGGGAGTTGGAAAAACCTTGATTCCAAATCATGGGACTGGATCTCCTGACATCACCTCAATGCCTTGTGAATTAGACTTTTAGGTCGAGGGTTTTGGGTTTAGCCCCTTAATAAAATCACTTTTTTTCGGTTCGGGCACCCATGCAGTATCTTAGCCCTCGCACAAGTCGAATATATATTATATGTTCAAATAATTAAATAAATCAATAAAGATAACTTTAAAAGTTATACGGAATTTTCTAATTTCAATAATTTGAGAAACCAATGCCAATAACCATTTTATTCTATTTTATAACTATTTAATATGATTTATTAACTTTTGTCATTAACCCGGTAACTTTGCATTACTCAGTTGGAATTCAATTATTGAAATTCTATAATATAATAATCGATTTTCATGATAAACTGTTGTAGTTCTAGTGAAGTTCATGGACGTCAACATTGAGACAAAGTTCAGTAATAATAATCAATGATGATCCTACTTTAAACGACTAAATTTCAACTTAGTTATCTTAAAGCAATATGCTCAATGTGTGACAGCTGAACTGAACATTCTGATTTACATCATTAGCAAAATTCATAGGTGCATATGAGTGAATTAGAGCAAAAGAATTGTTCATCTTTCAAATGAAACTCATATTTACAGTCTCCTTAATTTAATATTACACGTATATCATTTTATGAATATATGAGCGTACTTTTTCTTTCGATCACCACGGATTGAGAATCTAAAAGTCACATTGTTATTTCTTTTCGTTTCCTGTTAATATATATAACCCTTTATACATTAGCAAAGACATTGTTATTATTTTCAATAGTTGAGATCATGTATCAATTGAAGCTAGACCATCATGGAAAAACTGGAGGCACTAAACAGCCATTTCATCCTATTATGGGATTCCTCAGCAGTGCGCATCCACGAACCCGCCTCGTGAGATTCAAACCCAGGACCTATAGGTCTCGCGCGCGACTGTTTAACCACTAGACTACTGATCTGGTCAGCATTCCACAGTGTTAATGTCTAACTTCAACTAATCCAAAAAATTGAGTGACACATCCATCATTGTTCTCAGTGAGTTACTATCTCACAACAGACTCGGTTGAACTTCTTTGGTTACTATTTCTGACTAGAACTCCAAGAACTACGTCTTGGAGACCGTCACTAATGAGCATATGATGATGAATACCAGAAGTGGTTTTGCTGATATTATAGTATTCTCACTGGTTGAGATCATGAGTCAATTGAAGTTAGACTATCATAGAAAACCTGGAAGTACTGAACGGCCATTTCATTCTATTGTGGGACTCCTCAGCAGTGCACATCCACGATCCCGCCTCGCGAGGTTCCAACCCGGAGCCTTTTAATCTCACCTGCGGACGCTCTGCCTATTAGACCACTGAGCTGACCGGCATCCATCAGTGTTAAACCCTTATCTATTCATTGTGTACGTCTCAACTAAATTACAATATAATACCTTTAAGCGTAATAAACCAAAGAATTGTCTCTGTTATTTATAATATAGATTTATTTTAAATCGAATTGGATAGTTCACAGTTGTTTTTTTTTTACTGGACTGAAATAGATAAAAGTTGTATTGTCTGTCAACTCGTTTTTCTCTTTCCTTTCAACTTTATTTCTTTTCCATCTGTCTACTTTATCTCATTCTATTCTCTACTTATATTCTTTTCTTTTCTTTGCTATCACACATAGTTTATGTTAACATATAATAAGTGTCTCAGGATATAATTTATTGTTTTGGTTTTCTTGTATATACCTGTACATAGCTGTTGTATTTCCTCATGTTTTGTTCCATTCCCTTACTATTTGAATTTTTACAGAATGCTTCATCAAGTAATTCTTTTCTTTATATTATAGATTTTCATAGCATAAAGACCAGTAGGTGTTAAAACATGTGAAATTATTCGATATTTATCAGTATAAGGTTGTAGAGATTATTAAGTTATTGATTAAGATCATGAATTGATTGATGTTAGATCACCACAATTGAAAACCTGGAAGTACTGAACGGCCATTTCGTCCTATTGTGGGACTCGTCGGCAGTGTACATTCATGATCCCACCTCGCAGGATTCGAACTCAGAACTTTCAAGCTCGCGTGTGAACGCTCAACCTATTAGACCACTGATCTGGCCGGCATCCAACGGTGTTAATGTCTAACTTCAACCAATTCACGTAATTGCGCGACTATCTTCCATTGTACTAAGGTAGATACCTGTCTCTTCCCGACATGGATTAGCTCCACTGGTCACGGCTTCTCACTAGAACTCTGAGAATTCCTTCACGAAGCTAGTCACTAGTGAACATATTGTAATTATCAGAATTTTGGGTTGTGGAGATTATTTAGTTATTGATTGAGATCTTGAATCGATTGATGTTAGACCACCACTGAAAACCTGGAAGCACTGGACGATTTCTATTGTTTCTTTGTATTTTCATATTTATGTCTGAATCTATCAAAGAAATATAAACTGAAGTTAATGTTTTAGTCACGAAGTTATGTCAAGCTTTGAACCTATGGAAATTAATTAATGATAAGTAGTTATTTAATTCCTAGTTTAAGATCAACAATTTAATCAGACGTAGATATCATAACAATCACTTAACCAAAACACAATAATCTTGTTTACCAACTATGATCAAGCAGTCAGTTGTAAGCATCATAGAACCTAGCACGTAAATATGTATCTGTTCAGGTTGCCACATGACATCTAGTTCAGCGATATGAAGTTATTAAAGCAAATAACAGAAACTTAAAAGTATCAATCGTATCACTGGTAGCAGAAAATATGAAACATAGAAAATATCATTTAAGAAGAATAAGAAAATTTACTGAGTATCACAAGAAAAACATTAAATCCATCTGCATCATTTTGTTTGATTCTGAACCAACTACCATCTAGTCACTATATTAGTATGATGGTTGTCCAATGCTTCACTTTTGATATCAGTCAGTTATAACGTAGGACCAGGTACATATATGCACCGCATTCATAGAAGCAGTTAACTCAGTGGTGTAATATATAAAAGAAAGATTAGTTCGTAGAAAGAAAGATATGAAGAGATATTAATCTCACAGTTTAAGGGAAAATAAAGAGTGTATAAACTTACGCCATTGTGATCGATTCTGAGCCATGTTACCCACAGTCTCCAACTTTTGGTTGAGATGTCACACGGGCCCTAACAAAGTAGTCTGCATCTACCAACATGGCTTGGACTAGAAGTTAGTGGCTTCAAGGACTGATGTCACGTTTTGGTTTGGACGCCCATAACTTTCTTCCAACCATCCCCTACACCGGTCAGTATTGTGCGTCGTGGTAATTTATGTTCAGGCGTACGTAACATGTGTCCCAACCATCTCAGTCGATGAACATTCACAAGTGATTTATCATCATTCCTTAATACCCTACGTCTAACCTCACTATTACTTACCCGGTGATCCCAGCAGACGCCAGCAATATTTTTAAGGCATCTGTGGTCAAATACTAGTAGCTTATGAGTGTCTTCTACTCTTAATGGCCATGTTTCGCTGCCGTAAAGTAAAATAGAACGGACTGCCGCGCAGTATACTCGTCCTTTTATTGATAGACGGATGTCTCGCCTTCGCCATAGGTGATGTGAGTTGGCAAAAGCCAAACGAGCTTTTCGAATCCGTGCTGAGATTTCGTCAGACACCAACCCATTAGGGCTGATCAGACTTCCAAGATAAGTGAAGTTGTCGACGCGTTAGACTACTTCACTCTCTACCCTTAGTTCAGGTGTTGACGTAGGCCAGTCCTGGGGTAACAACTTGCATTTAGAGGGTGATAAACCCATCACAAACATTCTGGCATTGTTGCTTAGCGCTATTGCAAAACTTTGCATTTTATCAGCGTTCTCAGCAAACAGGACTAGATTATCTGCGTGTTCTAAGTCGATAAGTGGACCTCCTGGAAGGAGATCAATGGCCGAAAATTCAGTCGACGAGAATGTTATTTCCTTCAGTATGTCTATGATGAAGTTAAACAAAAATGGAGAAAGTGGTCAGCCTTGACGGACACCACTTGAGGTTGCAAAAGTAGATGACAGTTCACCATAATCTCTGACTCGACTAGTAGTGTTCGAGTGAAGAGCCTTCACTTCTGACATAGTTAATGTTTATTAAAATAAATCAGAGTAGTGTTTTATGACTTAATTTGAAAAAAAATCCTTGTTTGGTTGACTTTATTTTTTTTCTTTGTTGATCAATTCAACTACTTATTTTCCTGATAATTCTAACAATCCAACAATATATATATAAAGCTCAAATTACTCATAAACTTTATGGTTATAAATTCTTATTATGTTTATTTGTGTACATTGATTGAATACTGAGTGGTGACCAAGATCATGTTTGTCTAGTCCTTAGTGCTGATCGAAATCTATCAATCAAGGTACAATTGGGTGACTCAAAATCACATATACTATGTTTTAATAATGAGTGATTGCTAGCAGTCAGTAGTCTGAAACTGGGTGAACGGGGTTTAAACGCATGAGGGGCAATCAATTCCTTCAAAATTGTAGGTACGTCTAGGCGATAAATGTAAGTTTATAGAAACGTAAGTCAAAAATGGTTTCGTTCAAACCACCTCTAACCACCGGACATCAAAGCATAGAATGATCAGAATGTGAATGATCAAGTTGAAATAATCATCATTTGAAAATTCTCAATGGCAGTCTCAAATTCATCACAATATGGCAGATGATTTCACTTTCAGTCGTGAACACTTAATTAATCCTGTTTTTTAAGGATATCACCATCAAGAACGTGCAAATCTTTTTGGAAAATAGTTAGTATCACACCTACTGAAAAAGTTATTTGGTATCGTAATCCAGTCGATTAGTAGTGTATAATACGTTCAAGTAAGAATTGATGGATGCTGGTTTCATGGCTCAATATGAATACTAACCACACTTGGATGTAGATACATCCAGCTGACGAGTTATAAATAGGCTGAGTTACTTAATTACGTACGGCTGTTACTCCCAATGGAGCATAGGCCGCCGATCAACATTCTCCAACCCACTCTGTCTTGGACCTTCTTTTCTAGTTCTATCCAACTGTTGTTCATTCTTCTCATGTTTGTCTGCATTTCTCGGTGTAATTTGTTCTTTGGTCTTTCTCTTCTCTTCTGGCCCTGACAATTCTCAGTCAGTCAGTAACAACGTAGAACTTCGTACGTACGTACATCAGTCCGGATTGCCATACCATATCAGCATACAGATGCAATTGTCGATTGAAATCTTGTAGTGGTAGAGGTAGCAAAGTAATATAAAAGATTAGGATTTGAAGATGTTATTCATGGAGTACAATCCATCGAAATAAATTTTTAAAGAGAAGAAAAGGGGAAATGAATTCAGAAGATTAGAATTTGGAAGAACACCAAGAGTGAATGCACCTGTGCCATTCCAAATGATTTTGAGCCATGTCATTCTAAGTGAAGATAAGTTACTCATGTTAAATTCCATTACTATTCATTGTCAAAAAATCAGTTGAGCAATGTGCATTCATTTGATGTGTTCACTCACTTTATTCCTTTTTTTCTTGACCATTCTTCATCATATATCTATATATACTAAACTATACTACTTATTTATTGTTATTTTATTAGGTTTTTCCAAAGATCAACCAACACGTCGATCTGTACGTATACATGTTGGTACTAAACCAGAATATATACCGGAATTATCAGAGATAAATACAGATTCTGCAAGTTATACACCGATAAATGAAAATGTAATCAATAGTATTTTTATTTGATAAGATTACATTACTTACTTTATTATCACTTTTCTAATTGATGTATCCATTAATAAGGTCTTACACAAGATTCCATGTGTTTTACTTCATTTAGTTGTAATCTCAATCATTCTAATATAAAGGAATGTAAATAAATGTTTGCTTTGTAATTAGCGTTTTTTAGCGAGTTGGATTTCTATGGGATGGGGTCGTTAACCCCATGCCCAACCCTCCTCCTTTATCCGGGCTTGGGACCGGCAGTAGCCCTCGAAGGGACTCCAGGCGGAACTAGCAACAATTCAATCTTTGATCAATGAGTTACATGTTCAAATATCTACTAAGACGACTTGAACTAACTGACATATTTCACTGAGTAATACGAGTAGACAGTCAAGAACAGTTTCTCCTTATTATAAAATCTTACATTTTAAAATAATACAACACAATACTTTTAGTTTCGATATCTTTGGATAGCCAATTTGTAACTAAGGTAAAAACTGTATCCTATATAGAGATGTATTGATGGCACCAAATACAGTGAATTTAGCTAATAACAAATATGTTTGCAATATTTTAATGAAATAAAAGATTACTGTATTGAAACAATGACACATAGTTCTGGTAAAGATCTTACCAACCATTGTGAATTTGGTCGTACATTTAGACTGGAGTCATTTTATGAAGACAAAGGATAATTGGAATTACTAAATAAATAGATATTATTTGATTGGTATGAGGTCATCAATTTGAGCATCGTTTTTTGGTTATGATTAACTAGAAAGATGTATCCGTTTTCCTCTTGTGTCTTGGATTAGTCACTGTCGATCAGCTTGATGGATGGGTTTCTTCCTAAGACAAATAGCTATATCTTCATTCTAAAAATTATACTTCTAGTAGCTTTCGTTATGAATGAATGTGTTGTAGTTACTAGCAATCATCTATGAATTATTCTATAATACTAGTTAGTTTCTGTAGTGAAGATATTCATATTAGGCAGTTATTCATAATGATGAAAGCATAAAACTGCACTCTTTTTAACCATAATCAATTTCCATTTTTAACATAAACCGTCACGGTTTTACTCTTGTGATTTGTTGCATAGTAAGAACCGTCGACCAAGAATCGAAGTTTTCTTTGGCAGCCCTACACATGGGGCTAATTAACCCCCAAATGCCCTAATATGGTCGAGAGTGGGGTGGGTTCACCCTCCCTCTCGAAATGCTCTCACACGGCCACGCGTATACAGCCTCTGCTAGGGAAGTCCTACTCATTGCCTTTTCGTGGCATTACTTTTGTTTACGAAAATGAGAGGACGAAAAGCGAATGTCCGACGCTTTAACAGGGTTGGTGGACACGGATAATCCACCTAAGGGATCAAACCTTCAGGTCGAAGGCTCCGGTTGTGGCCTCCTAAGAAAACCACCTGCTTCGGTTTGAACACGAAAGCAGTATCATAGCCCTCACACATATCAAATGAGATTTGTGTGGCGCATATATATTTGGTGCTTCATGGTACCAATGTTTATGTGTTAAAATAAATAAATAAATATATATATATTATTAATTGCCAATTATGTATGTTTACAACTTTGTTTTTCTTTTTTCATTTTTTCTTTATAGTCCGAATTCTTTATGAAAGAGATCGATCATAAATCACCTATCGATGATCAATCAAACAATCATCTAATTAAAGGGAAAACTGTTACTACAAATGATGAATTAAATAAATCGATTGAAATCAATCAAATTAATCCAGTAATGATGAAATCATCATCCTCATCCTCATCCTCATCCTCATCATCTTCATTGTCATCATCATATCTATGTCATTGTTTCTCTATTATTTGTATTCATAAAATGAAATTTAGTTTATTATATGCATTATTGAAAACTTATGGGAAAACATTATTATGGTCAGCATTTTTAAAATTTTTATATGATATATTAGTATTTGTTAATCCATTATTATTAAAGTAAGTGAAATGGGGTTTGTCATATTTTGTTTTGAATCATTTACATTTATGAATTGTATTGTGGGGCCCTTTTGTTTTGTTGTCGGATGATGTTGTCGAAAGGGCTCCGCACTTTAGTTGCCCGTGTATTTGACTCCAATTAGATCGTAATGAATGTTTGTTATTACCTATCCTTGTATATATATTCATCGACTTAAATCGCCTTAGTCAATAACGGAATTTAAATAAATCAAATAACGAGAATGGACTTTTGAATACATATAGCTTGTATATAAAGCGAATGGAATAGAGAGAAGAGAAACTGAGAGTGGAGATGGCTGGTAAGCCAACTCTCATTTAACCAAGAGTTAATCAATATTTATAGTTACACAAAAATAGGCTACAGACATGTGATGAATAGGATAGGAAGTGTACACAGATATATATGCACCCATATAAAAACAATCAAGGTTGATAAGCGAATAAATTAACAAGGTCGAAATGGGACTCAAATAGAACGAATAGAATGGGCTGTCTGAAAGCTAGAATAAAGTGTATATGGGCTTAACATAGGAAGCGACACTACACTTTCGACTTACACTTAATTAACTTAGATGATATTATTCTAATGGTTCTAAATGCCCTAGTATGGCTGAGAGTGGGGAGAGTCAGCTCTTTCTCTCTCGAAATGCTATCATATAGCCACGCGTATACAGTCACTTAGAGGAAAGTCCTACTTACTACCTTCTTTGAGGCATAACTGTTGTTTAAGAAATTGAGAGGACAAAAATCAAATGTCCAGCGCTTTAACCGGGTTGATGGTTATAGGGGATCTACCTAGGGAAGTTGAAAAACCCTGATTTCAAACCAATAGTGCGCATAGGCTCCAGGATCCTAGTGAAACAAATGGCATATGAAACTATTATTGGTCACCGGATACCATGGGACTGGATCTCCTGACGTTGCTCCATTCCACCTTATGGATTAGACCTTTACGTTGAAGGCTTCAGGTTTTTAACTCCTTAATAAAACCACCTTTTTCGGTTTGGGCATCCGAGCAGTATCCTAGTCCTCTAAAAAAATCAAACGACTTTTGTGACGCATATTTATTCGGTGCCCGTTTGTACCAATATTTATAAAGTATCATCCCACTTTTAAAGGTAATATTTGTCAAATTATGTGAAACTAATACTGGTAATAAACATGAATAAAAATAACGTTCATATATAGAATATAATAATAATTCTGTTAAGACCTACGTATGATAGATCTCATTTCATGAATTATCAAGATGTAAGTGTTAAAAAGGTTAAAATAATAGAATAAATATCAGAAGTGGGTTTTGTGGAGATTGTAGTAATTTCAGTAGTTGAAATCATGAGTCAATTGAGGCTAGACCACCATTGGTCATTTGTGAGATAGTAACTCACTGATGACAATGGTGGATGTGTCGCTCAGTTTCGTGGATTAGTTGAAGTTAGACATTAAGCCCGTTGGATGCCGGCTCAACGGTCTAGTTGGTTAAGCGCCTGGCGCGAGATTGATAGGTCCTGGGTTTGAATCCCTCGAGGCGGAATCGTGGATGCGCACTGTGGAGGAGTCCCATCCAGTGGTTCCAGGTTTTCCACGGTGGTTTAGCTCCAATTGACTCATGATCTCAAATATTGAAACAGAATAAATCTTGGTAGATTAAAATGAATTCTCTAAATAATCTTATAATCATTATGAATGTTTAAATTGATTGATCATAATCATTGAAACATTCAAGGATTAGATTTATAACACTTTTCTATTCAATCTTGAATATTTATTGTTGAATATATCTTGATAGTGGACATTGGCTATTGCTAATTGAAATCAACTGAACTAATATAGGTTATTCACTTTATTAAATTATTTAATAATTCAGTTATCATATGTAAATATGAAATGACAAATCCTTGTAAAATATCTGAAAATATTTCACTTCTACGTAGACGGTTTGTATAAACTGGTCCATATATTTCAAACTATTCGTTTTTGATACAGTGGTCTTGAGTGCTGTTACATGTTTGAGGGTGGTTATCACTTCCCGGTTGCCCAAATCGTGGAAGGGTTCTTCTCGAGGTATCTGAAAATGAAATTGAATTAGAGGTGGTCTTAGTGATCTGAGAACGTGACCTCAATACCCAAGAAACAATTGCTTGAGGTCGGTCACACGCGACCATTCTATGAGTAGTTTTCGTGTTAGCTCCGTACTTGTTGAGAGCTTACCGCCGGAGACGGATATCCAGCAGCATCGCTGTTATGCTGGTTGTCTGAAGGAAACAAACACCTTACTACCGTTACACCTCTGTGCAGTCAGCAGTACGACTTTGCTTTCAGACGTTGGGTTTGCTGCTGTACCGTTCTTCAACCGACCCGTCTGGCATAGTAGGACCTTGAGGAACGTTTGTTTCAGCCAGTGTAGCTCGATTTCTTCATCACGATAGGCAAGGTCGTCCACCACGTCAAGGTAGCAACAACGGTCGGGCTCAAAACCAATCACAATAACAATAGCAGTCCTTTATGTGAATCCGGTTTATAGTAAGAACTGTTACTACATAACTGAAGTTGTAATTGATAAGAAAAGTGTTAGACTAGAGAGAAATTACAAATAGTATCATTCCTCTGTGTGACAACACACAGTTTCGTATGATCACATTCAATCAATTGGTGATTAGTGTTCGTAACTACATGTTATTTGTGCTATCCATATTCATCATACTTCTCTAGTACTAATGAAAACTTGTGTTTGGCCTCATTCTTTATTAGTTATCAACAGGATGACTGTTTAAGATACTTTCAACTTTCTAGACATGGTAGTAGTTAGAGCTGGTTAAACTTCTTCGGTTTTCTCTCACTCACTCTCTTTCTCTTTCAATTACTCCGATGACTTTGTGCTACTTGGAACTTGACAGTAAAATATATTGAAAGTCTAGTATTTGAACGAAGAATATTCTTTTCGATAAATTCTCTTCAGTCTCTACTATTATATATCCAAATTAATAATCCGAAAAATGACCAGTTTAAAATATATCTTCACCCTTTGAGAGTTATGGAGCCATTTTAAACTGGGTGATATAGGTTTGTCATACTCACAAGTAGCAACTAGCGCTAAAGTTAGACTATCCACATCCCATTGATGATAGCCTATCCACTTGCCTAACATTCAATTATAGTTATTGAAGTGCAATTCTTTCATCCCTATTTGTCTTTTCCCTATTATTATTATTATTATTATCATTTGTTTAAAATGTTTTATAGGTTATTATTGAATTTTCTACAAAATACTCAATCAGAACCAATATGGCATGGTTATTTATATGCTATAGCAATATTTATTGATACATCTGTACAATCATTAATATTACAAAGTTACTTTCATATTGTATTCAAACTTGGTATGAATATTAAAACAGCAATTACTGCAGCTGTATACAGAAAAGTAAGTTCATATTCATACATTATATGAAGTGAATTGAATATAAATGATTAATTCAATGTTTGGGATTCACTTTTTCGAACTAGAAATCGAATTCAATGTTTTCATCCAATAACAAAGTCAAGTGTTCTAATCATAGCCAAATCATGTACAACTTACTTACACTTTTCATACATGATGGTTTATTTCAAATCCATAAATTTCTCAATGATAATTATATATATATATATATATTCATAGTTTCGGCCATTTTTTCCACCCTAATGAACAGGATGGATCTGATGCAGATGTGAAGGCGCGGATCGGAAAAGCAAGAGCAATATATTTACAACTGAGGAACATCTGGAACTCAAAGCAACTGTCAACCAACACCAAGGTCAGGATTTTCAATACAAATGTCAAGACAATTCTACTGTATGGGGCAGAAACCTGGAGAACTACAAAAGCCATCATCCAGAAAATACAGGTGTTTATTAACAATTGTCTACGCAAAATACTTCAGATCCATTGGCCGGACACTATTAGCAACAACGTACTGTGGGAGAGAACAAACCAGAACAAACCAGTGGAGGAAGAAATCAGGAAGAAGCGTTGGAAGTGGATAGGACACACATTGAGGAAAGCACCCAACTGTGTCACAAGACAAGCCCTCACATGGAATCCTGAAGGTCAAAGGAAAAGAGGAAGACCAAAGAACACATTACGCCGAGAAATGGTGATAGACATGAGAAAAATGAACAAGAATTGGATGGAACTAGAAAAGAAGGTGGAGGACAGAGTGGGTTGGAGAATGCTGGTCAGCAGCCTATGCTCCATTGGGAGTAACAGGCGTAAGTAAGTAAGTAAGTAAGTAAGTTTCGGCCATTTATAGGATCTTGAATGGTGGGTAGTGTTTAGAAGTTTCATACAATAATGAAAAACTTTATAACATTTCTTAGTTTACGAGAGTTTTCTGTCTATGGCTAATCTGTAGTATAAAAGAAATTTCATACTGAAAACTCTTTCCTATTCTGTTATATAGAGTCTACGATTAAGTAATAAAGCTCGATATCAATCAACTACTGGACAGATTATGAATTTAATGTCATCTGATGCACAACAATTTGTTCAATTAATGCCATTTATAAATATTCTATGGTCAGGACCATTTCAAATAACAATTGCTATGGTATTTCTATGGAGAGAATTAGGACCTTCTGTATTGGCTGGTGTCGGTGTTCTATTGTTACTTTTACCACTTAATGTTTTGGTAGCACGTCGATCAAAAATTTTTCAAGTAAGTTGATGTTAATGTAGCAACATGAATTATTAATTTACCAAAACCAATTTGTGCTTAATACATAACTATTGGTTCATCCTACTGGATCCATTTTTGCTACTTTTTCTGTACTGTATGATGTTGTGGTGATTATAAAATTAGAATGTTTCACATTCTAAACTCACTTTGGTTAGACAGTGGTTTAAAATCAAGAAACAATTCAATATAGGACGCTTTAACATTCACAACTCCACATAAACTCATAGATTGATTGAGGTTAGATATTAACACTGTTCAATGCTGACTCAGTTGTTTAGAGTTTAAGCGTTTGCGCTCGAGACTAAAGTTTCTCAATTCATTTTCTTCGTGCAAGGTTGTTAATCCGTACTGGTGAAGAATCTCAGGGCGAGACGACCATTTACTGTTTCCAGGTTCTCAATAATGGTCTACCTTCAATGGATTCATGATTTCATTTTTTTTATTAAAAAAATATCTCTTTCGTTTGTGAATGTAACTCAGTTGTTTCATACGATTTATTCAAATTGACAAAATCTAAATCAAATGTGAAGTTAGACATTAACACCGTTGGATGCCGGCTCAGTGGTCTAATGGTTAAGTGCTCGCGCGCAAAGCCAGTAGGTCCTGGGTTCAAATCCCGCGGGGGGCGGGTTCGTGGATGCGCACTGCTGAGGAGTCTCATACTAGGGCGAAACGGCCGTCCAGTGCTTCCAGGTTTTCCATGGTGGTCTAGCTTCAATTGGCTCATGATTTCAACTTGTGAAATGTGAGTATAACGAATGTTCTCTCTCTCTCTCTCTCTTAGTCAACCTGACCCCAATTCATATGAAATTATCACACAGTGATTATACATATTTTAATGATTTGTCTACCTAATATCACCTCACATTCAACCTAATATGTTTAGTGAATGAATGAATGAATGATCATCACTAATAAGCTTTAATCAACTAATGTATTTTTGTCCCATTTAAATATTGGTGCAAACGGGTACCGAATACATATGTGTACCATACAAGTCATTTGATTTGTGTGTGGGTTGTGTTACTGTCTCAATGTCCAAACTGAAACCGTACATCATAAAAAGGTCAATTAATGAAATACTCTTTTTTTTTATTATTAAAATACTGAATGATGAATGTATTTCGATGTAATTAGATTGTTTTTTTTTCACATTACAAAATGTAGGTGAGGCAGTATTTATGCATAATTGTCATCACTAACTACTATGATTTTTGGTTACTAAAACTATGTAACAAAGGGTCAATATTCTTTTTTTTGAATATTCATCCTAATATGTATTACAACTAACTAACTAAGTGGATAACGCGATGGCGTTTGGAGCCAATGGTACTGGGTTCAAGTCCCCAGACAGTGAACATTAGCTCTGACATGCAGGTATATCCAACTGACGAGTCCCAAATAGGATGAAACGCGCGTCTTGTATTCCATTGCTAGCCACTCTCCATCTTTGCTTATAACTAATTAATTATTTTTATGTATTATTTAAACTCGTAAACATTGGTACAAGGAGGCACCAAATACATATGCGCTACATAAGTCATTCGACTTGTGTGAGGGCTGTGATACTGACCAGATGCCCAAAACGAAGCAGGTGGTTTTCTTAGGGGGCCACACACAGAGCCTTTCACCTGAAGGTGTGATCCGCAAGGCAGTGGAGCAACGTCAGGAGATGCAGTTCTATGGTAGCCGGTGACCAACAATGGGTTCATACGCCATTTGTTACTTCAGGTATATGTAGCCCATGTCCACCATTAGTTTGGAACGGGAGTTTCCCAACTCCCCTAGGCGGACTTTCCGTGTTCATCAAACTGGTTAAATCGCCGGACATTCGGTTTTCGTCTTCTCAATTTCGTAAACAAAAGTAATGCAGCAAGAACGCAGTGAGTAGGACTTCCCTGTCAGTGGTTGTATTGACTTGGCCATGTGAGAGCATTTAGAGAGCGAGAGCTGACTCTCTCCCCTCTCGGCCATACCATTGCATTTGGGGGCACTATTTAAGTAACCTTTTTAGAATGTTATGTCTGAACAGTGGTTTATTTTGATAGAATGGTGAGTAGACAAATTTGATTTAGGTTGTACATTTTGAATAATCTGGTCGAGTATACTTGACATGTACATGCGAATATTTATCAAGTTTAGAACGAATAGTTTGACAAAAAATTGGGCTTCAAATATGGAGAAGTTATTATATGTGAAGATTATTATAGTTGAAATAATCTCAGTGATTGAAATTTAGAAAAGTAATTCCAACGTTTCGTCCAGCAAGCTTGTCTGGACTTCTTCAGGGTTTAAATAGACAAAGTAACAACTATAAATGAAGAAAGAGATAAAGTAATGGATTATTATTATTATTATTATCAATGTTAGCCCAAATATTCAAGCAGGCCGCCTCAGAGAATAAGATGTTCTCTAGACCATACAAAGACTTTGAAACTATCCGAACGAGAATGTGACAGGAATACGACAAATTGATTATGTACACATGATGGGGATTTGAATTTACGAATAGACAAGGCTACTATAAATCTAACACTTCGTCCTCGACAATACCCATACAATGTTTTTAAAATCGCATTAACGTCAGCTCTATATCGTACCTCAATTATATGTTGCTATCAACGAACTGAACCTAAAGGCATTTCAGCACATGTTCCATAACGTTTGGTTGTATTGTTCGATTATTCCTCCTCATGTATTTATGCCCAAACAAACATGTCCGTTGGTAGATGCAGTAGGTTATGACGTAGTCGTTCGTTCAATGTCTAAGCCCATGTGGGCTTATAGACCTAGTGTGTTTAATAACGATCGGTTTTGCAGTGTACTATGTTTTCTGGTTAGCTGTAATACGTTTAGGTTTAAAGAAAGCGATGATCCCCTGAACTGTAACATGAGATCAATCTATGAAGCTATTGAGTATTGGTAGAAGTAGATTATCTGATTGGAGTTGGGAGGTTAATGTTTGATGATACGACTTAAAATCAATTGCAGTAGTGCAAATAGATTCTTTCCAATCTCGATCCATATTATTATTCCATACACTTTATTCTACCAACTGATTGCTTCTATCCTCTTCTATATCCTCCATGTTTAAACCTTTTACTTTCATTTGAACTAATTCTTCATCTCGCTACTTTGTTGTGACAACTTAGGTCGAAATACATCTATAACAAATTCTTTGTTGTTTATGATTAATTGGATAGCTTTCACTGATTAGTTTTCTATCTATTCATTGTATTTGAACCGTAGAACTATTGAAAACAAGGAAGATTGGGTAGTTGTTTTTTAGTTTATGACTATTACTCAAGAATATGCGCTCACAAGCCTACCATGTATTAAACCCAGAACTTTAGAGTGCTAATGGTGGTGAGAATCAAACTAAAATAATCGAGTGATCCTTACTATCAAGTTCAGTCTATCCGCGATATACTGCTTCAATTATTCAGTTGTGCTGGTAATATTCGTTTCATTTCGACGTTATCCAAACTCAACGCGTCGTGAATATATCTTGAATTCAATTATCAACGTACGCACCTTTAATAGGTTGCTTTCGTCACTGATTGGTCTCAGTTAAGGTAGCGTTGAAAACCAGGGAGCACTGACACAATTGTTTTGTCTGAGCATGGGACCCTTTAGCAGTACTCACCTTGGATCGTGCCCGTGAACTTTATTCCACTCTGCAAATACTTGACCATTAGAGCCAATGGGTCGGCGCCCACTTTTACAATTACAACTTCAATCGATTAGTGATATTGAGCAACAACCATCAAGTTCTATTTGTTATTACTGTTTCACTCTCGACATTCTGAACTCCACTTGTCATAAATTTTAAGTAGGTCTTCAAGCAATTCTTTAAGTGGGTTACAAATGTGGTAACTACAGTAGTTAAGTGGAAGGAATGTTTAGGATCTTAGTTTAATTTACAGGCTATATCTGTCACAAGTGGTGTGGGTACATACTGATGAAGCGTCTAGAATTGTTCAGTGACTCCTGATTTGCAGTAGTACCTCAACAGAAACTAATCTGTGACGAATACAACCTACAAATAAAATCAGTCTCTACGTCCAACCCTCCAACTAAATTGAATATATTTGTTGTTTAATAGGGTGGTTAGCAGAAATACGGTTTTTTATAAGCTTGTGTTTTTCATAAAGCAAGAGTTATTACGTCATTTACGTCGCAATAATTTATACCATGAAGAATCTTCATTTACTTAATACTACATATAACTTAGTGACTAGAAATATTGATGATGGGACAGAATTTATTTTGTTCGGTAGGCTAATTACGTCGTTATGTATTATCCGTTTCTTTGACTAATAAGGGAGCTATTCAACAGCTGATATTCAAGATTAAATTTTTAGCAGTCCCTATCGGCGCTTGTGGATCCTGAGCGAATGCTTTAGTGTTTTTTTTGTCACTTATAAGTATTAGGATATTTGAATATTGGTTAGTTATAAAATCAAGCGAAACTAGAAATACAGAGTCACACAGATAACTTTATGTCTACTAAACTACTCAGTAACCAGTTGAACTCTGGACCTCTGGGTATAGTGCGTTAATATCCATTCATAGATATTGAATTGGAGTCCCGATGCAGCTGGTACATCTACCTTGTGAGTTCTTTAATGGGAAGAAACACACTCTGTGGATTCCACTACCACGATCTCAATACATTGATACATTGAAAATATTATATCAAGTAAACTTTTTGAACTGGCTTTCTACATAGTATGGTGTCGAAACTTCTTCAGCTTAAGAATCGTGTTGCCTTCTTTTTGCTCTGATACTGAACCAAAATTCTCCATCAAATGTACTGACTCCCATTACAGTTACTCAGTTATCTGTTATATTGAACGTAGGATGCGGTATGTGTATGTATCATTCTAAGTTATCCTCCAACTTATAACGGCATTGGAAACGAGAAGACTTACTGATGCATACTGTGAATACATTGAATGTTGAAAAAAATACTCATCCTTCCTTTAAATTTTATGTTTCTAATAATTTTCTTTCATGATAATATTTACTTAGGAAAAGAAGTCTTCATGTGCAGATAGTCGAATCAAGTTTATTAACGAATTAATGAATGGGATACGAGTAAGTTTATTTTCATGAATATGTTATTCTGTTTCACAAAATTAACAATCTACGATAGTTATGGTGGCACTTTGTTCCGTTTTTCTTTCCATGTTTTCCATCGGACCTAAAAACTGTTGAATAACAGATTCCACCGAGTAACATTTCGAAGGTCAATGAACTTGTGAATTGTTTTTTATGTGTACCAACTCCCTGTGTTTAATACAAGAAACCCTTCGAAGATAACTTTGAAACGTGCAGTATGGCTTCTTTCTCATGGTTGTTCGATATCTCACCAAACTTCTAGGTCATGGTTAGTCGCCTGTGTAGAATGTCAGTAATGTATACTCGAATTTAAAGATCACGGTTAACGTGTGAATCTAACTAATCTCCCTTGATTTCTTGATTTCGAGTTTCATTTGTATACGTGGTAAATATAAACTAAAACTATCACCATAGGAATGTTCAGAGACTTCTCGAATACTATTCTAGGATCTCAATTTCACTAGAAATACCCTACTGACATTTATAGAACGCTTCATTGTATGTCTTGATATCTCCTATATATTTTATTGTTGGTAAAAGTTGAATGTTGAACATTATGATCTCATTCGTAGAACATATCCAAGCCACTGAGTTGGTGTTTCAAGATGGTGACATCAACTGGATTATCATCTCTGTGCCCGAACACGCGATGACGAACCTCTGCATTACTAGCATTTTGATAACTCAGAAAACACACTGAATTTATGAAGTTTTTCAGTAGTTTTGGTTCTCAATCCTTTGAACAAGGTGAAAGACTAATTTTTTTTCTTCTTCTTCTTGTTGATTATTTCCATTTTAAAGGTATTAAAACTTTATGCTTGGGAACCATCATTTATGAGAGAAATTGGTCGTATTCGAGATCAAGAAGTTAAATATTTACGAAAATTCACATATCTTCAGTCTTTATCATTTTTATGGCATTGTACACCGTTTTTTGTAAGTTATTTGATTATACTATTGTCATTTAATTATATTCATCGGAAAGATTATGTCATTATGTTTAGAGTAACTTGTGATCTGTGTCCTATTAATGTATAACGCATAACTATACCCGCCAATTAGAGAATAGTGGCTTATCGACCGAACCAATAATGCAAAACACAAGTATGAACAGTCTAGAGTCCTTAACAGTATTCCTAATTCCCGCTTAGCTCTGCCTGTTGAGTTCAGAACATCAATCTCAGCCTGTGCGTTATGAATCATGCATTTCAAACATGACTGGGTTTATATACCAAGTAAACAGACTACATCGTACCATAAAATAGGAAACAACAAGGCTAATATCGAGGCAATCCGCACAGGGTGCCCCATATGCCAACATGAGACTGATCAATTGCAGTCCTAAATAACAATGGGAAGATACACCAAATGTGGCTGTGAATGTGGTAGACTGTAATTGATAGACATAGCATAACTCAAGAATGGTAGATCGTAAAATAATGGTCTATAGGTCAAAATAAATTTTATGATACGAGGAACACGAATGTGAATAGTTTATATACTTAGCAATTATGCGATAAAAATATACGTATTGTATTAGTCCAGAAATAGATTCCAACAGTTACCATTCATTATTCTCTTCGGGATGTAACAAGATCATTTATGAAATACTCGTTTTGTATCTTAGCTGAATGTAAACTTAATCCATAAGAACTTTCGTCTAAATTTGATTGAATAGTTTCACAGTATTTAGGCACCGAGTTAATTTGAGACATTAAAGAGGAAGAATGCATTTATAAAATCTCAGCGGATTCTTTCGTGTTGATGTTCACTCTGGGACTCGAACCCAGTACCATTCGCTTCAAATGCCCTCGCGTTCTCTGATCCACCAAGCTACTGTGATGCAGGAACATCCAGCGGACGATTCCTCAAAGACATGACGAAACACATCCTGGATTTTACTGCTAGCCACTATCCATCTTTGCTTATAATCTAATCATAATTTATAATTAAAATTTAAACATGAAAAGTAGTTAGAATCTATAGTGAATTTTCAATTGATTTATTGGTATTGTCACCCATATTATGGGTACCATAAATAAGAACAAAGCTTGTGTACTGAATAATAAATTCTTTATATATTTATGGTTTTGTTTACATAGTCTATTCAATAAGTAATGATACAACATTTTCTGAGGATAGCATACATGGGAACAGTTTTATTTACGTGGATCAGGTGTTTCAGTAAAAAAAAACCGCAAGAATGATATACATCCAGACGAATTACATGGGACTATATAAATTTAGAAAAGTTCATCAATTTGAGATGGTGGAGAAGATTGTTAGCTCAGGTGGATGATTTGGGTGGAGTTTTGTTCTGTGAGGTGGATGGTTTGGTCGTGGAGCTTTCAACGATGAAAGCTCCACAACCAAACCATCCAGCTCAGAGAACAGAACTCCACCAAAGTTCATCAATGCTATACGATATGCGAAACATATATAGTTAAGAATCAATGAATTACCTAAGGTATCTAAATCTTGAATGCTTTCACAGATATTTTTTTTCAGAATGGATGTAAATAAAGCTAAGTAAATATAATATAGAGTATCTTAAAGAGTAGAGGGTTAATGAAGTTGATATTGCATTTATCGGTAATATTTATTAGAAATACCAAGTATATTTTCATTGATGGTAAATCAGTTGATGAGATTGTGAATCTTCATCGAATGAGATGGTTGCACCACGTATTACATATACCTGAACACTGATTACCACGACGCACAATGTTGACTAGTGTACGGGACAGTTGGAAGAAAGTAAGGGGTGACCAAACCAAAACTTGACATCAGTCCACAAAGTCACTAACTTCTAATCTTAGTCATGTTGGTCAATGCAGACTACTTGGTTGGGGTCCACGTGACTATCGTAACCAATGGTTAGAGACTGTGAGTAACATGGCTCAGAATCGATCGATCACAATATTCTCTCAACTTAATTTTAATTACTCTATGAAGATGATTAAACTGCTTAAAATCAAGTAAATATTAAGTTGAATTAAATCTATTTAGTGAATGGCTCTTTATTGATGAAATTAATGTATTTCTCAAGTGAACTCGGCTGGCTCCGTCGGTAGAGCATGAAACTCATAATCTTAAGGTCTTGGATTTGAGCACCACATTGGGCGTAGTCCGGTGAGACAATGCACCGTGTCTGCTAGTTGTCAACTTTTGAGATCACCGGATGAGTATTAGTGAGTTTAGACGCAGCGTATTAGAGAATGATGATAAATCAATCGATGAGGTTCTCAATCTTCGTCGATTGCGATGGTTGGGCCATGTGTTATGTATACCTGAACACCGATTATCACGACGCGCAATGCTGACCAGTGTTGGAGAAAAGTTACGGAAGGCCAAACCAAAACGTGGCGTCAGTTCTTGAAGTCCATAACTTCTAGATTGAGTCATGTTGGTAGATGCAGACTATTTGTTTGGGGTTCGCTTGACTATCGTAACCAATAGTTGGAGACTATGGGTGACATGGCTCAGAATCGATCACAATGGCGTAGATGTATACACTCTTTGTCTTCCCTTAAACTAAGAGATTAAAATCACTTCATATCTTTCTTTCTATGAACTAATTTTTTCTTCCTGTACTATATTCTTATACACAATCCTTCTTTTATATATTACTACCACTATTGAATTGACTACTTCTATGAATTCGGCGATTATCTTGTTGTGCTAATGAGATATGGTAACTTGGACTGGTTTTATGTTGTAACTGATTGACTACTTATTATATACTAAATCAATTTATTAATTTCTTAGTTATCTTATTTCTTTTTGTTTGTTTTTTTCTTTAATTAGGTTGCTATTTCTAGTTTTGGTGTATATATATTAACATCGGATAAGAATATATTAGATGCCCAAAAAGCTTTTGTTTCATTATCTCTATTCAATATACTTCGTTTTCCATTATTTATGTTTCCAATGATTATAAGTAATTTAGCACAAGTAAGTTCAATGAAATAATTAAATGATCTCATATTTATTCTATGATGAGACTATTTCAGTTTAATCAATCGATCTAAGTATTACTACCCTATCAAACAATATAACTCAATATGACAATTGAAAAGAGTTGGGAAGGATTGCCCAGTACAGGGTTGAATGAAGAGTGCTGGTGGGTAGCCTATGCTCCCCCACGACGAGTAACAGACGTAAGTAAGTAAGTACTTACGCCTGTTACCCCTTCTTGAGGAGCATTGGCCGAATGTTTGATATATGAGAAAATATATTACTTTCTTTTTTCGTTTATTTATTTATTTATTTATCTAAACACATAAACATTGGCACAAGGAGGCATCAAATAGTTATGCACCATATAAATCATTCGATTGATGTGAGGGCTGAGATACTGCCCGTATGCCCAAAACGAAATAGGTGGTTTTATTAGGAGACCACACCCAGAGCCTTGCACCTAAAGGTCTTATCCATAAGACAGTGAAGCAACGTCAGGCGATGCAGTCCAGTGGTAGCCGGTGACCAACGATTAGTTCATACACCATTTGTTTTCTTAGGATATTGAAGCTCACGTACACGATTAGTTTGGAACCAAGGTTATTCAACTCCTCTATGTGGATCCTCTATATCCACCAATCCGGTTCAATCACTGGACATTCACTTTTCATCCTCTGAATTTCCTAAACACAAGATGGCTGTGATTAGAACTTCCCTGACAGTGATTGTATTTCGAAGAGCGAACCCCCCCCCCCACGTTCGACCATACAATAGCATTTGCGTTTTTTTAAAACATTTTATCGCAAAGTGATAACAATATGAATATATTCTAATTTGGATAGTCATTTCATACTAATTTGATGATGTTTATTTAAAAGTTACTAGATTTCAATCCAATAGACAGTTAAATATCAATTTTGGTTAGACATTAACACCATTGGATGCCGGCTCAGTGGTCCAGTAGATTAAGTGTTCGCGTGCGAGACTGAAGGCCCTGGGTACGAATCGTGCGAGGCGGGATCGTGGATGCGCACTGCTGAAGAGTCCCACAATAGGACGAAACGGCCGTCCAGTGCTTCCAGTTTTTCAATGGTGGTCTAGCATCAATCGATTCATGATCTCAGTCCAATAGAAAGTTAAATAATTCAATCCCATCTAATATTATGGATAACTATATATCACATAAACATAACTATCAATAAACCCATTAGAAACTAACATATTACTTGACAAGTTATTCTTTCATCGTTTGACAGTTTTTCTTCTTGTACTATAACTATCCATATACTAGAAATAGGAATTCAATTTACTATATTTTCATTTTCATCTATTTACTGATTATTAATTTTGCATAATTTCCCCCCCCCCCCAAAAAAAAGAAGAAAATTATATTGGTACCTATTAGCATAGTAACAATTCACTACACTCATTTACATGAATATTTTGCATGTGAACTAATCGTTTTTGTATAAATTAATTTATATACACGACAGAGAATGGAATATAACAGGCGCATTTTTGGACAAACAAAAACAACACAAAACAAAACAGGGTTATCATTATTTTCTTCCAAGTTCTCTTATCATTATGCAACTTCACATAAAAATAAGTTAATTCATCTTAGTAACTAGAATTTGGACAAATCATAGAAATGTGTATAGATATTAGTTAGTTCTATACAGAATTAGTCTTGGATAAAGATAAAATATTTGTGTATAGATTTTCTGGTTTTATTACTAGAACAACAACAACAACAACTACTGCTACGGCTGGTGCAAAATGTATCAATATCATTACCTTATTTTACATTCTTGATTGTTACATCAAATAAGATTAAGTAAAACAACCTTCTTCAGTTTGGGTACCGCGGATCATATCCCAGCCCTCATACATGTCGACATATTTATGTGGCGCATATCTATTTGGTGCCTTCTTCTACTAATGTTTATGTGTATCAATAAATAATAATTTTAATGGTTGAGATCATGAGTCAATTGAAGCTAGACTATCATGGAAAATCTAGAAGCATTGGACGGTCATTTCGTTTTAATGTAGGACTCCTTTACAGTGTGCATCCACGATCTCGCCTCTTAAGATTCGAACACAGGACCTATCAGTCTCGCATGCATACTCTTAATCTCTAGAGCACTGAACCGACCGGAATCCAATGGCTACTAAATTGAGCGTTACATTCACCATTGTCATTAGTGAGTCTAGTGGTAGTGGTCTCGTGCGCTAAACTGATAGGTCTCGGATTCCAATTTCGCGAGAGAGGATCGTGGATGCGTACTGTTGAGGAGTCCAACAATACGATGAAACGGCCATCCAGTGCTTCCAGGTTTCCCATGGTGATCTAGCTACAATTGACCCATGATCCCAACCTTAGAAATTACAATAATATCCACAAAACCCCTTCTGATACAAATAAATAATAGATGATACTTTACATCACAAAACAACTTTAGTACACAAGTGTTCAATAATGAAAACTGTTACCAAAGACAAACTATCTAAATTATCTATATCCTTGTGTAGTTATCAATTTAACAGCTCCTGTGAAACCAGTTATATAACACACACACACACACACAAACACACACCATGTGACAAGTTCGTCATCGTACTATCGAACACCATCTTACGTAGTTGAATAAACAGCACTCCATTGATGCAAGACATCAGTTCGACTTGAATATGGCTTTTAGAATTATGCATTGTATTTCATCAAATTTACTGCATAGTTCAAGAGTTCGTCTTTCATAGGTTACAAAAGCTATCAGAATTCATTTTTAATAATCTAAACGTTGTAATCAAAAGAAGTTTGTAGAACGTATGTCTTTATCTTTTTTCTCACTAATATAAATCACAACAGAGTGAGTTAAAGCAGAGCTTTGATTCCACATTGTTCTTCTTAATTTTCCTTGGAATACAGGACGCGAGTTTCGTCCTTTTTGAGACTCTTCAACCACGTGTACCTCCATCCCAGAGTTGACGTCCACTGCAGGAGGGACTCGAACCCAGTATCATTCGCTTCAAACGTTATCGCATTATCTACTTAGCTACTGAGTCCTGATGGCCATTCACCTATGCAACAGGGTGAAGTTGAAATTCACTTTGTGTTGTTTACTTGAATCTTCTCATAGATGTTTAGGGCTGCAATTGATCAACTTTGAGATACAGGTACATCCAGCTGACGAGTCCCAAATAGGATGAAACGCGCGTCAATGTAGATTCCATTGCTAGCCACTATCTATCTTTGCTTATAATGTTTGTGAATTAAGGCAGTACCGAGGCAATATGTACAGTATGCACATATGCCAATATCACACTGATCAATAACAGTTTTAAGCCTCAATGTAAGATTCAAGTAAGCAAATACCAAGTGAATTACTTAGATTATTATAATTAACTGATTCTCCTTCTTCTAATCACTTATTAGTTACTTGTGAAACTGTAATATTGTTATGTAACACTATCGTGAATGAATGAATGTATGTTGCTTGTTTTAGTCTGTGAGTAAATTTCGTCGGTACAAAAACACACTCAACAGTCATTAAAATAATTTTCTTTAAGGTTGTTATTTACAAAAATGTTTTTCTTTTGTATTCTTTTTTTAGTGTTATGTTTCTATTGGTCGTTTGACTAAATTTTTGGCTCATACAGAACTTGATATGGAATCTTATTCAAAAGAGGATACACCTGGTATAGCTGCAGTAGTTGAACGTGGAGTATTTGGTTGGGATCCAGATGAGGAACCAACTTTAACAAAGTAATTTATTTAGTCTTCGAAATTTACTTATTCAATATCATGCTTTATGTTCTGTTTGTTCGGACAACAGACAAGTGACTGTTTACCGTAATCAAGTTCCGGCCTCTTCTGGTTTCTAACTAAATACTATATTTACACCAGCCAGACCATGAGAATTAATAGTCGATTCCTCTGATATACAAAGGGTGAATTGTACCAGTTCTCCTTATTAACTATTATGCTTGGACCGTGTATAGGAGTTTCAGAAAGGCGGTAGATGTCAGCGACACGAGATTTTAGAACCTTAGCCAATAAAGCTTGCCGTTTCGATTGAACACCAGGTTCGAACATGAAAGCTTGTTGTTTAGACCTCAGTTCCTGGAGACTAGAAATAACAGTTTTTGAACTGAAATTGTTTATAGTAAGGATAAACGAAACGAAGGTATTTGATCATTTCATCTCCTTGTACTAATTTGATGTAGCAATTTGAATAGATGAACATATGTACCATGTTCTATGTTGCTTAGGATTGATACTCTGAACTAATGAATTCTAGCTCTTAATTGTTTAAAAGTATCGTTACGTTTTGGATAATCTAACAAAATGTTTAGGGTGTACACTTCATGTTCGTTAAGGTTTCTAGGTGAATATCATTGAGGTTTGGTCTTTTTTTATTTCTAAGAATTTTATTAATTACTTACTGTTAATCCCATGTTTTTGTATTTTATTAATGTTCCTTGAATAACAACACTTCATTAATATCTAGTTCGCGTGCGAGACCATAGGTTGTAGTTTCAAGTCTCATGTGTAGGATCGTGGATGCACTCTGCTGAGGAATCCCATACTAGGTAGAAATGGCCGTTCAGTGCTTCAAAATGTGTAAATACAAAATTCTTTCCTATCAGAAGTTGTTGGTAGACAAAGATAAAGTTTCTATAAGTTAAAATCAAATGTCTGTTCAATGATCCGTAGATTTTAATTATTTATCTACTTATCAGAGGGGGTTTTGTAGAGATTTTTTTTTAGAAATTTCACTGGTTGAAATCATGAGTCAATTGAAGTTAGACCACCATGAAAAACCTGGAAGCATTGGATGGCCGTTTCGTCTTAGTATGGGACTCCTCAGCAGTGCGCATCCACGACCTCACCCCCTGCGAGATTCGAACCCAGGACCTACTGGTTTCGCTTGCTCATTATTTTTGAGGAGCGGATGATTAACACAGTCATTTTATGTTTGTAACCCATTTATTAAACATACAGTTTTTTTAAAAAAAGACTTAGCTTGCTTATTTTGTCAGTCATTAATGTAATCGTTTCTGTCTACCTTCTAATCACTCCAGATCTTTCCTTATGATGTATCTAACTGATTCTTTTCATAATGTTATTTTATAACTTAAATTATGAACTATGTGTTTAACTTCAGTCAGTTGACAATATTGTATGACTATTTTCCACTGACCTTAATAGATTTATAATAATGTGAAGGGGTTTTGTGGATAATATACTAATTTTAATAATTAAGATCATAAGTCAATTGAAACTAGACCACCATTGAAAAATTGGAAGCACTGAACGACCGTTTCAACTTCCTACGGGACTCCTCAACAGTGCGCATCTACGATACCACCTAGCGAGATTCGAACCCAGGATCTGTCAGTCTTGGACACAAGCGCTTAATCACTAGAACACTGAGCCTGGTCGGCATCCAAAAGTGTTAGTGTGCAACTTCAACCAATCCATGAAATTGAGTGACACATCCACCATTGTCTTCAGTAAGTTACTATCTTACAACAGACCCAGCTGAACTCCACTGATCACTCCTTCTTATTAGAACTTCAGAATATACTTCTTGAAGCCAAGTTTCTATGATGGTTTAGCTTCAATTGATTCATAATCTCAATCATTATCATTCTTTTTATTATCAGTAATGTTCATATGAATGACGTGAAATGATGATGATGATGATGATATTACTATTTGTTTATTAATTAAAGTGATAAATTCTTTATTAGATATAAATTTTTGTCGTTCATTTGTATTATCAGTTCTATCATCTATAGTTAATACATTGTATATGAATGAATCAATTTCATAATGGAATGTTTACTCTTATGTCTAGTCTATTTTGTTAAAATGAACTCATTTCAATTGATCTATGTCTATCTAATATGAAATGAGGTTAAACTTTAAACAAAAAAAAAGGGTTATTTCATCAAAATTTTAGCGCTGAATTGGAATGTTGTTTGTTTGTTTTCATACATAGATCATGATTATGATTTAATGAATAAGTTGAATGTTGATTTACAAGAACTATTCTATTGAGAAGAGACCGATTGTACTTGGTACACAGAATTCATCTTATTTGAAACGTTTCAGTTCGATGTATATCGGTATATATGTTGATGTTCACGTTGAAACTCTAACTTTGTGCTTTGCTTCAAATGTATATCGGATTATCGACTAGTTTGCTAAGACCATTTGGCTACTAATGGATTATCAGAATGTGTTTTGTGGAGATTTTTTTTTAGAAATTTTCACAGATTGAACTCATGAGTCAGTTGAAGCTAGACCACCATTGAAAACCTGGAAGCACTGGACGGCTGTTTCGTCCTAGTATGGGACTCCTCAGCAGTGCGCATCCACGACCCCGCACCACCCGGGGCTCGAACCCAGGATCTACTGGCTTCGCGCGCGAGCACTTAACTATTAGACCACTGAGCCGGCTGGTATCCAACGGTGTTAATGTCTAACTTCAACCAATCCACGAAGTTGCGCTACCGTACACCATTGTCTTCAGTGAGTTCCTATCTCACAACAGACCTGGTTGAACTCCACTGGTAACGACTTCTTACTAGAACTCCAGAAGTGTCTCCTGAAGTCAGTCACTAGTGAGCAGGTGATTATTATTATCAGAATGTGTTTTGTGGAGATTTTTTTTTAGAAATTTTCACAGATTGAACTCATGAGTCAGTTCGAGCCCCGGGTGGTGCGGGGTCGTGGATGCGCACTGCTGAGGAGTCCCATACTAGGACGAAACGGCCGTCCAGTACTAATTGATTCACTGGTTCTAATGTGTTTAAATGATCTCATTGTTGATATTTAGGACCGGGATTTAAATCAGTGTATGGATCACTTCAACATAGCTGTTAAGTCGTAAGTTGTTTATGGTAGATAGACTGAACAAGTTAATCGCTATCTGATTTAAGTAGCCGTGTTTGACGTTTGAAGTTATTTGTACTGGTTTGAAGCCCCAATTCGAATTAATACAGTGGAATGTGGATGTATTCAGCTGACAAGTGCTAAATAAGATGAAACATGTACCCTGCATTCTACTTGTGAGATTATGGCTATTTGGAGGTAGTTCACACTGAGCTCACATATGCCAATAAGCACTAAGCAAAATCTAAGCGGGAATATCAATAACGGGTTAACTTAAACTCTTAATTATAATAATATAAAATATTTTTGTGTACATGTGTGCGAACTTCAACATTCAATCAGGTATAAACAAGTTGACAATAGTAAGCCATGGAATACCGATTTAATGTTATAAAGGGAATATACTCGTTAGAAGACTTGGAGATCCTATATACAATCCTTAATAGTATTATGAATATACACAGTAGTCTCGTCGTATTAGGATGAAATAGTTTTTTAATGTCACATGTTTTTCAAGTCATGTCATCTATATTTTTGTGATATCGTCGGCGAGACTATCATTTATGGACGAACCAATCATGTATAAGATAACAGATGCCGGATTTTTGCGCGAAATTCACTCATCTATTATAACTAATGTCAGTTCGTGATGAAAACCTTAAAAATTTAATTCCATGCACTATGCAACAGACTAATCATATGAAGTTCTGATGATTGTTAACGAGTATATATATATATCTACCTTTGCCTCATTACAACAAGTAAGTGGGCTAGGTGAATTCATCAGTTTAGTAGATAATGTATTCATGCTAGATGCAATATATTCTAGTTTCAAATCATAGTATGTCTACCAATAGTGAAATGCAAAACTACATCTTAAATCCAACTACTTATTACAATCTGAAATTACTTTATCACTTTCAAAAACACCTATTCTAGTAGTAGTGAATAACAGTAATACCTCGTTCATTTTACCAATGATATCTCTTTTTTTTTAATACTGTATTCACTCTTCTCTATCTTCATCCTATACTCAATCATAAACTATGTATTTATTTATATCTATAGCATTTCTATTCAATTCCCTGAAGGTCAATTGACAACAATTATGGGTAGTGTAGGTTCAGGTAAATCAAGTTTATTACATGCATTACTTGGTGATATGGAAAATTTCAATGGTCGAGTTAATGTTAAAGTAAGATACTTAATATTTTGATTTGTTATTTCTTTCATGATTATTAGAATCATTTTATAGGTAAACTATTGTTGTTGTTCTTGTTCTTGTTCTTGTCACATATTTGATTACAATAAGGAGATATATAACATAAAAGATCAATAAATATGACAGTGACAAAGTCATCTTTCATAATTTCAATCACGTACAGATCCTAACTAGATTATTATTGAAAACTCAAAGGGACTGAATAACTCTTTTGTCCTAGTATTGAGATTCTAGATCCTCAGAAATCACTTGGTCAAATTATAATATATTGAAGAAGATTCATTTATGGACTCTATATAAGTGTTATGCTGAATAATACAACCTAACCTACTTACCTAACCTAATAGATAACTGAGCCGGCATCCAATGGGGTTAATGTCTAACCTCAACCAATCCACGAATTCGCGCGACCATCTTCCATTGTACTAAGGTAGATACCTGTCTCTGCCCGACACGGATTAGCTCCACTGGTCACGGCTTCTTACTAGAACTCTGAGAATTCTCTCACGAAGCTAGTCACTAGTGAACACATAGTAATTATCAGTATGGAATTGTGGAGATTATTAAGTTATTGATTGAGATCATGAACGGATTAATGTTAGACTGCTATTAAAAACCTGAAAGCACTAGACGGTCGTTTCGTCCCATTGTGGGACTCCTCAGCAGTGTGCATCCACGATCCCTCTTGCGGACGAAACGACTGTCCAGTGCTTTCAGGTTAAAAATGACGCACAATTTTTCAACGATGCCTATATTAACACATATACATTACAAGTCACTATCTACGAGAATGATTAGTGATTAAATAGTCCTTCATTAAAATGACCTTTGGATAATCCATCCGAAACGCCGGTTTAAATATAAAGTCTATTTCATGTAAATTATTCTCATGATTATGCATTACTGTCAATTGATTGAAGTTGGAGACTAAGAATACTGGTTGATGGATCAATGGTTTATACATGAGTTCAAGACTTGTTAGATAAGTATAGTACACTAAAATTAATTGTATCATATCCTTACTACTAGCCAACATATGATCATCATCGATTGCATTGAATAAAATAGGACTTTGTGTTAATATGGTTCAACTTTTTTCGAAACTACGACTGTCAGTAAATCGTTGAGTACATTACTTGATAATGCACATGGTGTATCTTCTCTACAATAAAATATGAATTAACACAGAAAGTGGAATGGCGGTGAAGGTTAACTGGACAGAAAATCTTTGACTTGGTATTATTTGGCTTGTATCTTCCCATTGGAACAGGGTGGATCTGATGCAGATGGGAAGGTACGGATCGGAAAAGCAAGAACAACATATTTACAACTGAGGAACATCTGGAACTCAAAGCAACTGTCAACCAACACCAAGGTCAGGATTTTCAATACAAATGTCAAGACAGTTCTACTGTATGGGGCAGAAACCTGGAGAACTACGAAAGCCATCATCCAGAAAATACAGGTGTTTATTAGCAGTTGCCTACACAAAATACTTCGGATCCGTTGGTCGGACACTATTAGCAACAACCTACTGTGGGAGAGAACAAACCAGCGGAGGAAGAAATCAGGAAGAAGCACTGGAAGTGGATAGAACACAAATTGAGGAAAGCACCCAACTGCGTCACAAGACAAGCCCTCAGCTGGAATCCTGAAGGCCAAAGGAAAAGAGGAAGACCGAAGAACACATTACGCCGAGAAACGGAGATAGACATGACAAGAATGAACAAAAATTGAATGGAATTAGAAAAGAAGGCCCAGGACAGAGTGGGTTGGAGAATGCTGGTCGGCGGCCTATGCTCCATTGGGAGTAACAGGCGTAAGTAAGTAAGTAAGTAAGTAAGTAATCTTTCCATTGAGGTTTAACACTGCAATTGATCAGTCTGTTATCGAAGTGAATTGAAATTCACCCCATTGCACAAGCAAGCGGCTATCAGGACTCAGTGGCTAAGTGGATGATGCGATGGCGTTTGAAGCGAATGGTACTAGGTTCGAGTCCCAAAGTGAACAGATGCTGGTGCATCCGGCTGACGAGTCCCAAATGGGACGAAACGCGCGTCCTGGATTCCACTGCTAACCACTCTCGATCATTGCTTATTAAAAATCTTTGGTTTTTGGAAATCATTTATTATCATACTGTATTATTATTATTATCATTATTATTGGTATTAGTGTTTGGCGAGACTATAATTTATGGGCGAACCAATCAGGCATTAAATAACAAATCTCGAATTTTGGCGTGAAATTCATCCATCTATTTGGTTAAATAGAGTTTTAGCATTATAGTTGATGTCAGTTCGTGATGACCCCCCCCCCCTAAATCTTATTCCTAACTCTAACCATCAACTGTAAATCATAATTCTAATCCCCCTCCCACAATGTTTTATAACCTTCATTTGGTCCTAGTTATTATGTGAACACTCTCCAAGTCACTTTATCATCACTGAAAGGTCGTTCATAAATTATAGTTTCAACTTAGTGTTAATATAATTATCACTAAAAACATTACAGTCCCAATAAAGTCTATTGTATAAAATTTATGTAAATCAAATTTATCCCATTCAAAACATTTACTCATAACCATGTACTTTTCCTATATTCATTGCCATTGTTTAAAATATTGTTGAAATTCCTTTGAAGTGGCATTCTTCATACATATATTTCGTCATTTCTTTTATTGTTTCATTATATGCCTAATGATATCTCTTCATAACGATTTCACATTCCACAGATAATAAATTCATTGATAATGACCAAGTTCAATGAGAAAAAGGAGGTTGATCTAACTTTAAGATATAAGTAAAGATATCAAGGAGTTGTTATGTATATGGTGGAGTATTACCTTTTTGATACTGACGTCTTTTTTTTCTGCTTAAGAGTTATGGATTAAGGAGTTTAGTTAGCTTATGATAGTTCACCAAATCAGATGATGACAGTGTTAATCAGTTTTCATAAGTAGTAGATTGATATTACCACATTACTAATAATACACAACTAATCTTATATATAGTTGTATGGTAGTGAACGGAACACGAGTGGGAACAATCGAATTACATTAAGCAAAAAATTACAGAGTTACTTGGTAACATACAAAAACCATACTATAATACTTAATTTGCAAAATGTTCAATAATTGTCTTGAACTCTATTGTTCTTACATTTCCATACTAATCGCTTTCTATTCTCGCTCTTTCTTTCTTGATCTTCCCCATTTTCTACCGCCAGATTATTACATTCCTGATTCGCGTCATATACTACTTATATCACTATAAGTAGCACGGACCACAGTATTAGTGAATAAAAGAGTTATAATATAGATCATTATTCATGAAGATTATGTCTTATAATCTTAATTTGTTGAAATTTGTAATTGTACAATCTAATTAGACAATATCAAAGAAAATTATTCTACTAATAATTTATCGCTGAATTTCGTGGATTAGTTTGAAGTTACACATTAACACCACTGGATACCGGTCAGCTCAGTGGTTTAATGGTTAAGCGCTCGTGAGCGAGACTGATAGTTCCTGGGTTGGAATCTCGTGAGGTGGGGTCGTGGATACATACTGCTGAGGAGTCCCATAATAGGACAAAACGGCCATCCAAAGCTTCGAGGTTTTCTATAGACTCATAATCTCAACTATTGAAATTATATTCGTAGGATTATAGTATTTGGTCATAGCTGTCTTCGAAACATTGCTCGTATATCCTGGGACCATTGAGTAAGTAACGCAGTTGTCAGGAAATGGGTACTAGGTAAGGATGGCAATCAATTGATGAAGTAGTGAAATTTCATCAGTTGGGTTGACTGGGACACGTATTACGTATGCCTAGCCACCGACTGCCCCGACGTGCGATGTTTTATGGTGTAGGAGTAAGTTGGAATAAAGCTAGGGGTGGCCAGATCAAAACATGACACAAATCCATGAAGTCACTGACATATGAACTGAGCCATGTTGGTAGGTGTAGACTACCTGATTGGAATCCGCGAGACGATAGCAATCGATGGTTAGAGACCTTGAATGACATTGCTGAAAATCGTTTGTAATGACACAGGTGCACCCACTCTTTGTGTTCTTCCAAATTCTGATCTCCTGAATCCTCCTTGTCTCTTTTTTCTCTTTCCGAGTTTATTTCACTGGATTATACTCTTTAAATAACATCTCCAAACCCTAATCTTTCCGATCACCGCTTATACTCTTACTACCTCTACTAATACGGCATTTGAATCGACAACTGCACCTCTGTGCTAATGTGATATGGCAATTCGAACTGGTGTATGTACGTACGAAGTTCTACATTGTTACTGACTGACTGACTATTGAAATTACTATAATATCCACAAGAACCCCTTGTGATATAAATTTAATTTACTCATTCAGTTGTTAATCGGATAGAAATTCGTTATAGTTTTCAGAATAATAATATATGAAAGTCAATTATCTAATTTTAGTCGCTAGTTCATTTACTTTGATAAATAAAAAAACAGTATTTCAATATTAAAACCAGTGAAATTTCTAAAATCTCCACAAAACTCCTTCTGATAATAATCATCTGCTCACTAGTGACTGACTTCAAGAGATACTCCTGGAGTTCTAGTGAGAAGCCGTTACCAGTAGAGTTCAACCAGGTCTGTTGTTAGATATCAGCTCACTGTAGACAATGGTGTACGCTGGCGCAATTTCGTCGATTGGTTGAAGTTAGACAGGCTCAGTGATCTAGTTGGTTAAAAAAATATTATTTAATGATGTATTATGATATACCAGTTTATTATTATTTATTTAAACACATAAACCCGATGAATGCGCCGGACATTCACTTTTCGTCCTCTCAATTTTGTAAACAACAATAATGCCATGAGATGACAGTGAGTAAGACTTCCTTGATGGTGGTTGTATTCATATGACCATCTGAGAGCATTTGGAGAGGAAAAGAGAGTTGACTCTCCTTACTTTTAGCCGTAGCAGGGCATTTGGGATCTTATCGGTTAATTGGTTGGTATACTTCATAATTTTCTTTGTATATATTCATTTTACATTATATATATTTATATATAAACTTATGTATTTTATATCTATTAAACACGTTATAGGGTACTGTAGCTTATGTACCACAACAACCATGGATATTTAATGCAACATTACGTGATAATATATTATTTCATCATTCATATGAACCAATTAAATATCAACAAGTATTACATGCATGTAATTTAATCCCAGATCTTGATTTATTACCTAATGGTGATATGACTGAAATTGGTGATAAAGGTATTAATTTATCAGGTGGACAAAAACAACGTGTCAGGTAACTAGAATAGTTTTTATGAGATATTATCCTATTTCATTGTTTTCTTTTGTCCTCTTAATATTCTCATTAAGATTCATGATATATAATGATTGAAATTTTATTTATTTGAATACATAAATATTGATATAAAGGGGCACCGAATACACATGCACCACACAAGTCAATTGATTTGTGCGTGGTCTGTGATACTGCCTAGATGCCTTGATCGAAACAGATGGTTTCCTTAGGAGGCCACACCCAGAGCCTTAGACATAAAGGTTTGATCCGCAAGGCAGTGGAGTAACGTCAGGTGATGCAGTTTCATGGTAACCGGTGACCAACAATGGGTTCATAAGCCATTTGGTCCTTAAGGATACTGTGCACCATTGATTTGGAATCAGGGATTTCGAACTCCTCTAGGTGGATCCTCCATTTCCACCAACCCGCCTTTTATTCTCTGAATTTTGTAGACAACAGTAATGCCGCGAGAATTTAGTGAGTAGGACGTCTCTGACAGTGGCTGTGTACGCGTGGCCATGTGAGAGCATTTGGAGAGGGAGAGCTGACTACCCTCACTCTCGGTCGTACCAAGGCATTTGGAGGCCAGTATATACCTTGGACCACTTCCGTATATTACACCATAAATGACTGATCAATCCTTCGTTTTATTTGGTTATTTATTATTTACTTATGGCGGACTATTGAATCTTTTTTTACAGTGATTTGAGTACATATTCAACTATTGTTATTTACAAATCAAGATAACTTTATTTCCCTTCAAACAATAGAGAAGTTTTACATAGTTCAAAAACGACTATATGACTGGTAACGTCTGGTTTTTCTTTTCTAAAAGTTAATTTTCGTTAATGACAACTAAATTCCATTTGTTATAGTGTAATCAATATCATGTTTCATACGTTTATGTACCGTTTATTTTCTTTTTGTTGTTATTAGCCTAGCTAGAGCATGCTATGCTGATGCTGATGTTTATTTGTTAGATGATCCATTATCAGCTGTTGATGCACATGTTGGTTTACATTTACTGAAATATGTATTAAGTCGTTCCAACGGTCTACTTGCTTCTAAAACATGTATTCTTACTACACATAGTCCAAAAGCTTTACCATTCTCTGATCGTGTTGGTCTAATGTCTGATGGTCAAATAATTGAATTGGGTAATTATCAACAATTGATACATTCAAATACTAGTCGTTTATCTGCATTTTTAATAACAGCTATACGAGCTGAGTCAGAAGTTCAATCAAATTCATCGAAAGAATTGGTAGATTGTTCAACGGAAAATTTAAAAAAAGGTAATCAGTTTTGTCTATCTTCAGTTGATTAAAATCTTTGAAAGTTAAAAACATAACACGTACATTTGTAGTCTGCAGTCAGACGATCTTCTTTCAACTGAATTTCAAAGGTTTAACCATCCATTCCTAACTTGCTAGTATTTGGTTTGATTTTGAATGAAATCAGAAGAACAATTGAGTTAGAGTAGTGTTGATTGATTTTTGGATTGTATAATAGCTATATAGATGATTCGAAAAGTTTATATGAGCTTAAGATTTCTATCACTGAAAAAGATAATCTTACAGTGGTAAAGTTACATTGAAATCATGAGCCGATCAATGATAGATCACTATTGAAAATATGGAAGTACTAAATGTCCGTTTCGTCCTGATCTGGAACTCAGCAGTCCTCACTTATGGTGCCGCTGTAGTGAAGAAGAACACGGGTGAGGACAGCCAAATTGTATTTGGGACAAATTACAGAATTACTTGGTAAAATAGAAAAACCATATAGTAAATCGTTAATTTGCAAAATATCATTCTATCATATCAAACCGGGCTGTTACTGTTGTCAACATCAATCCATTGTCTCGCATTTCGTTGCTCATGCGATTTCTTACAAATTCCATTGTTTTCTCGCTCTTCTTTTCTTGATCTTCTCCATCTTTTGCTGCCAGCCATTACGTTCTTTTGACTCACGTTATATACTACTTATATCAATATAAGTAGCACGCACCACACCGCAACCAAGATTTGAACTTAATACCTTCTGTCTCACGCCCAATTGCTGTACCTCCAGACTATTAAGTCGGCATTCAACGATGTTTATTTTCAATTTCAATCAATCTACGATATTGGGTGACCATTTTTTATTGTCTTCTGTGGGTAACGGTTTCACACCCGCCACGGTTTAGCTCCACGGATCACCTAAAGAAATGAAAACTGAATGACAAAATACCAGTAACAATATTCATAATAATAATAGGAAATGATTTTAATCTGAATTATGGATTCACCATGATAGTGATAAATGGACAACTATCTTTTTTTGAATACATAAATTCCGTTTCATTTTTTTAAATAGAAATAGTTGAGATCATAAGTCAGTTGAAGCTAGATCACCATCGAAAACCTGAAAGCACAGGACGGCCATTTCGTCTTATTGTGGGACTCCTCGGTAGTGCGCATCCACGATCCCACCTCGCGAGGTTCGAACCCAAGAGCTATCAGTCTCGCACACAAGCGCTTAACCTCTAGAACACTAAATCGACCGGCATCCAACTGTGTTAACGTCTAACTTCAACTAACCCACTAAATTGAGTGACACATCCACCATTGTCTTCAGTGAGTTACTATCTCACAACAGACCCAGTTGAACTCCACTAGTCACTGCTTTCCACTAGAACTTCAGGAAATACCTCTTGAAGACCGTCACTAATGAGTATATGTTGATTAATATCAAAAGTGATTTTGTGAATATCGTTTTAGCAAAACGTAAACAAGTTACATTTTATTGTCTGTTGATGATTTTCAATGATTTATGAAATTGGATGATATACTAATTATCGATTAGATATTAAGCTGTTCAATTATTCAAGCCTTGAAAAAGTACTCGAAATAAAAGTGATTTATCTTCTTTATTCATAAACGTAACTAATTTTATGGGATATTCCTTCAAATCTTATTTCTTATCATGATTAATCTCTTTTTCTCTTTTTTTTTCGTATTCATTTCTTTAATTTTATTCTCTAGAATTCCTTGAACCAAGTTGTTTCCTACCTTTTGAATCATCTCCAGTATCTGAACATCATCATAAAAGTTCCACAGAAACATTGAGTATAGATAATCATAATGTTGTCGGACAATCGAGTTTTACTTCAACAGCATTATCTCGAAGATTAGTAAGTATATTGGTATATTTATTTCAATGAAGGCTTTTTAAATTGTATATATATATATATATAAGTGCAAAATCTTAACTGTTAAAATTCTTAAGGTTGTGTTTTATGCTATGTATTTGTGGCAAATCCGATGGAGTAATAATAGTAATGTTCTACGAATATCGTCCCAGAGAATTCCACGTCGTGCATTATTTGCCGACTGGTTGTAAAAAGCAGAGGTGATCAGTGTATGACATGGTGTCGAGGTATGAAAGAAAGCTGCAAAGGGCTGACTTCTGTTGGTCCTTCACGACTCCTTGGCTGGGGTCCGAGAGATGGTGCGGCACAGTGGCTAGAGATGTTATCAGATATGGCTCAGAATAGAAGCCAATGGCGATCCTGCTGTAACCTTCTTTTACTTTCTTCATAAAAAGTGGTTGTATCTTCCTTAACCGACAGATTCCTTCTGGTCGTACCTTTTCGTCTCCCTCGTTATTATTTTTATACTACCTTACACTAATCTGTTCGTTATTGTTCCTTTTTTACGCTTCTATCCTTCTTCTCTTCAACTTCTCATTGTTTTGTGTGGCGCATGTATATTCGGTGCCCTCTTGTACCAACATTTATTTGTAATAAAAATAAAATAAAATCATGTGGAATGATGGTAAATCAATTGATGAGGTTGTGAATCTTCATTGACTGAGATGGTTGGGACAAGTGTTACGTACTCCTGAATACCGATTACCACGACATGCAGTGCTAACCGGTGTTGGAGATGGTCGGTAGAAAGTTAGGGGTGGCCAAATCAAAACGTGACATCAGTGCTTTAAGTCACTAACTTGTAGTTTGAGCCATGCTGATAGATGCAGACTACTTGGTTGGGGACCACGTGACTATCGTAACCAATGGTTGGAGACCGTTGGTGACATGGCTCAGAATTGATCGATCACAATGGCGTCAGCGTATACACTCGTCTTTCCTTAAAATAAAATTGTTTGATACGTTTGTTTCTACGAACTAATTCTTTCTCCCTGTATTATATCCTTATTGCAATCTTTCTTTTACATGTTACCACCTCTGAAGTAACTACTTTTATGAATCCGGTGTCCATCTTGTTGTGTTAGTAAGGTATAGCAACTTGAAGCAATGCATATATGTCCCTTGTCCTACGTTGTAGCTGACTGACTGACTGTATGATTATTATTATTAGAAATAAGATTAGCTAATTATTATTCTGTGGAATATAATAGCTTCATTCATTTACTATACTATAAAGTTTGAATTAAGGGTGTGTAAAACGCAATAAGTCGATTGTTTTTAAAGCTTGAAATAATAACTTGTGAAGTGATGTTTTAATGGTTGAACAATTTTGATTTTCAAACAATAAGTTACAGGTTCGAATCGTATTCTTTTAAATTCTTTCCTAGCAACTAGATGGTAACAGTTATCTACATAATATAAACAGTGTGACTAAATTCTGAGTGTACAAACTTATGATTAATAAGTGTACAACATATTTTATTCATGAGGTTTAATACAACCACCTATTTTTATTCAAGATGATGAAGTCGATAGAGAAGTGTTCAAATTTTGGATCTAGTAAATGAATCTTGACTAATTTGGTCATTCTTTAAATGATCATCTTTCAAATTCTTACTTGTTAAGTAATCTATTTGAGTTGTGATTGTTTCCACTTGTTTTAGTCAAATAGATCCATGTCGTTTAGATGCCTTGTATGAAATGATCTAGATAATGCAGTTTGTAGGATTGAGTAAATTGACTGATAATCAGACATGTAGCTGTAAAATACGATAAGCATTGATTAGAATCTAATATCCTTTACATTTTTTTGGGTAAATAAGTAATGCATCGTACGTAGTACATCTTTATTTCTCCTAGAAGTTTAGTTTATTTATGAGAGCCAGAGATGTTATCTAATTGTCAGGAGTGAAGTAGGTGAGACGAAACTAAAATGTAGTGGTTAAAAATCTTGTATTTATTTGTTTGAACACGTAAATAGTGGTACAAAGGGGTACCGAATACATATGCGCCACATTAGTCACGTGATTTGCGTACTCGATTGATCACTGGATAGTGATCAATCCTATCGACCACCATCTGATCTCAACATAGTGCATGCAATGTCAAGCCTTCTAATCTGGTGGCGATATTACAACTTGGTTAATAGGATTCGATCTACACTAAGAAGGATCTGACATACATGACATTTATCACCATCAAGTGATCAATGAATTGTAAACACATATCAATCCTATAGGAGGTTAGTCGCGACCCGGATAGCTCATTAGTAACGTCTGTGACTGTGAAGCTGGATGACACGGGATGAAATCAGTCAGGGCGCATCCATTCCCTTCATATTATATGTACACTTTGTTGACGAGTGTCAAGTAGCACGAAACCCAGGTCTTAGGTTTTCTGTTGGTTACCTTCAACCACCATCTAAAGTCTTGTACTTGAACTACTGACCCACCGCTTCACGTGAATACATAACTTATACTCACTGGATGGTGCTTCATTTCAGTTCGTTGCTTCAAATCCTAAACTTGAGTTTAAATATTCACTAACTTATCCTGTGGATATTTTACAACACATAGATAATGGTACAAAGAGGCACCAAATGCATGTGCGCCACACAAATCTCATTCGATATGTGTGAGGGCTATGATACTGCTAGGGTGCCCAAACCGAAGCAGGTGGTTTTCTTAGGGGGCCACACCCCGGGCCTTTGACCTAATGGTCTGATCCGCAAGGCAGTGGAGCATCGTAAGGAGATGCAGTCCCATGGAAGCCGGTGACCAGCAATTGGTTCATACGCCATTTGTTCCCGCAGGATACTGGAGCCCATGTGCACGATTGGTTTGGGATCCGGTTAAAGCGCCGGACATTCGATTTTCGTCCTTCCATTTTCGTAAACAACACCCCCGCCACGAGAAGGCAGTGAGTAGGACTTCCCTGGCAGAGGCTATATACGCGTGGCCGTGTGAGAGCATTTGGAGAGGGAGAGCGGACTCTCCCCACTCTCAGCCGTACCAGGGCATTTGGGGGATATATTATGCACTCGTCATTATTTGTGTTTCAGAACTGAATTTCAATTAGTTTTCAAATCGAATACCATGTAACTCTTGAATTTCATTATTCATCACTTATGTAATATAGCAAAACGTGTAGTGAATAGCCTATATTTAAACTGAAACTATTCATCAAGTAGTACATGAATCAAGTTAAAACTTAGTTACTAAGTCAATTTTGAGATCATTTTTCTATGTTTCTTTTTTTTATTTATTTATTACATAATTAGCATATTAACATATTAACCAAAGTTAATTTGTAAAATTATTCTAAAGATTTTTTTATTATGAACGTTGCTTAGTTACTGATATTTTTTTCAGTAGTAAATTTTGATTGTTTAGGTGTGGTTTATTTGTCATAGTAGTTGGTTTGTTTGTATTTTTTACTTTTCTTTTTACGTTTGTAAAAATTCACTTATAGTCAGAAAAAGGGTTGAAATGATGAGTCCATTGAAGCTAGATCACCATAGAAAACCTGGAATCACTAGATGGTCGTTTTGTCCTGTTGTGGGACGCCTCAGTAGTATGTATCCATGATCCTGCCTCGTGAGATTCGAACCCAGAACCTATCAGTCTCATGCGTGAGCGCTTAACCATTAGACTACTGAGGCAGCATCGAACGGTGAGGAGTCCCACAATTGGATGAAACGGTCGTCCTGTGGTTGAAGGTTTTCCATGGTGGTCCTGCTTCAATTGACTCATGATCGAAACTATTGATATTAATTTCATCATTTTACAGGTCTAGATACACGATTTTATTTACTTGTTAATGGAAATCAGTATTATCAACGTTGGTTTCTAACTCTATAAAACGATAACATGGAGAGAATATGATTTAGGGACCAGCCACTTAGAAGCGTTTGAGAGGTTTCAAGGTCATGGCACCGATTTCAGTACCTGATGCTCATGTACATTTGGTTCTTTGAGGATTTTAAGGAAGACGTGATAATGGAGCGGCTACAACAAATTGGGACTACTAAGAAGTTCCTTTATATTTAATTGTGGTAATCAAATGACTTGTGCAGACTACTGTGATAATATTGTCTTTCAATGTGATATATGTTGGAGGAAAAAGTCAGATAGAATAGCAACTTTTTTCTCGCTCGAAAATTGTTGATAATTGTCGCGAACTATATAATAAAAGCACCAGCAACATTGGCTGCAATATTTGCAGATGTTATTGAAACTTCGGCTGTTAAGTAGTATGAGTATTGTAGAGATATATGTGATAAAAATGACACGCTTGCACAACCGGGATGCACACATATAATACTGACGCTATATGATCTCTACATGAGATCTATGTAGATCTTTTGTGTATTGGGTACCAATGAATTATATTTTTCACTATCAGTCAATTAGAATTTGTTATTGGAAAACTCTACGTTAGGGTTTATGATTGAGATCATGGACCACCACCTTTAGAAACCTGGAAGCACTGGACGGCCGTTTCGTCCTATTGTGGGACTCCTCAGTGGTGCACATCCACGACCTCGCTCTCGGGATTCGGACCCAGGGCCTTCAGTCTCGTGCGCGAACGCTTAACTCACTGGAGCACTGAGCCAGCATCCAATGGTGTTAATGTCTAACCTCAACCAAGCCACGAAGTTGCGTCACCATCTTCCATTGTACTGAGGTAGATACCTGTCTCTACACGACATGGATTAGCTCCACTGATCACGGCATTTCTTAACTAAAATTATGTATGAAACTTACTTTATACTATCTCAAGGGATATTCATTCAAATATTCATCAGCATGACAGTTGTAGTCATAATTCACAATTATCAGGAGTAAGTTGTTCAATTATTTTCATGATCGATTAAATTATGTCATCGTTTATGATATGAACAGTTAGCATTTCTATACCTGATGGCAATACAAATGTCATACGCTAAAATATCCTGTTCAAAATTCGTACTTAGTCTTATGATGTAATATATCATCAAGAAAGTCTACATTGAATTTCTGTATTATTGTTATTATTATCATCATCATTACTATTATCTAATCACACACTGTTTTATTTACTCATCAATTAGGACAAATCATCGATAATTGAGGTTAGTGACACTGAGGATACCGTAAAAGAACAAGAGCAAAAAACTATTCAACCAATGAGTCAACCAGAAAAAGTTCTCACTGGTCGAGTAAGTGATTAAATTTACTGAATGATGAATACATGTTGTGTACGTGTTAAATTATTAGCCACAGAACACATAGTGTGTATAAACACTAACCCCACTTGATATATAATAAGATATCAGATGGGTTTTTTGTGGATATTATAGTAATTTCAATGGTTAAGATCATGAGTCAGTTGAAGCTAGACCACCATGGAAAACCGTCCAGTGCTTCCAGGATTTCGATGATGGTCTAGCTTCAACTGACTCATGATCTTAACCATTGAAATTATAAAAAGCTACAAAGATGTGATTATACATCAAATTTGTAAAATTTCGTCTTGTTTTCTTTTATGATAGAAGAATAGTATAGTGATAACAAGACAGGATACATTAGTTCCTAATACTTTTGACAAGGTTAAGAAAGAAATAGTCCAACAATGACTAAGTAAATTTGATTTGATATATCGATCCATATTAGATCCTAATATTATTATAACCGATAGATTCCAGTGTTACATTGAATTGTCCCCAAATGCCCTGGTATGGCCGAGAGTAGGTAGAGTTCGCTCTCCCTCTCCAAATGCTCTCACATAGCCACGCGTATATAGCCTCTGCCAGGGAAGTCCTACTCATTGCCTTCTCGTGACGGGGGTGTTGTTCACAAAATTGAGAAGACGGCGCTTTAACCGGGTTGGTGGACACGGAGAGTCCACCTGGGTGAGTTGGAAAACCCTGATCCCAAACCAATGGTGCACATGCGCTCCAGTATCCTGAAGGAACAAATGATGTATGAACCAATTGTTGGTCATCGGCTACCATGGGACTGTATCTCCTCACGACGCTTCACTGCCTTGTGGATCAGATCTTCAGTTCGAAGGTTCTGGGTGTGGCCCCCTAAGGTAACCACCTACTTCGGTTTGGGCACCCGGGCCGTATCACAGCCCTCACACTTATCAAATGAGATTTGTGTGGCACATATGTTATTTGGTGCCTCCTTGTACCAATATCTATGTGTTAAAATAAATAAAAAAACACATTGCACTACATCACTACTCCTATAATTGTTTACGAACTTATAGCGGTATTGTATATATGTCACTTTTATGGTGCTGTTTATGTTCAAAATGATTAACGTTAAAAGATACTATTATTATTAATAAGAGGTTATGAAGATGGTTGAATTATTTACTTTACATCACTAGCTTATCTCAGGCAACTATCATAAACCAAGATGTTTTAATTATGTGCTTATTAAAAGACCTAAATGTCGTTAGATTTATTTATTTATTTAAACACATAAATATTGGTATATAGGAGCACCTAATACATGGGCGCCACATAAGTTGCTTCATTTGCACGTGAGGCCCAAACCAAAGCAGGTGGTTTTCTTAGAGAGCTACAACTGGAGCCTTTGACCTAAAGGTCGAATCCACAAGGCGGACTGGAGCAACGTCAAGAGATGCAGTCCCATGGTAGTCGGTAACCAACAACTGGTTCATACGCCATTTGTTTCCTCTGGATACTGGAGCCCATGTACACCATTGGGTTGAAATCAGGGTTTTCCAACTTCCCAATGTGGATCCACTATATCGACCTACACAGTTAATGCGCCGGACATTTACATTTCCCCCTCTCAATTTCCTAAACAACAGTAATGTCGCTAGAAGACAGTGATTAGAACTTCCCTATCAGCGGTTGTATTGACATGGCCATGTGAAAGCATTTTGAAGAGAGAGCGCGTACTGTCTCCTCTCTCGCTACCATGCCAGGGCATTTAGAGATGAGGCTATGGGATTCACATTACTGATGGGTTACATACTGGAATACGATAACTATTCAACTTTTAGATCAACCAATGATTCAAACCCATAAAAGAAAAGAATAATTCTCATTTTCTTTATTGAACATTTTTGTTTGTTTGTTTTTTCTCTCTTTTTTTTCTTCAGATTCAATTTCAAGTCTTTTTAATTTATATAAAAAATATTGGACTACTTTATAGTTTATTAGTATTATTATTTTATCCATTAAATCATTTATTATCATTGGGAACAAATTTATGGTTAGCTGATTGGTCAAATGATGCAAAAATAAATCAATATAATTTATCTTTTAATAATAATAATACATCTGAACAATTTTATTCCCAACGTAATTATAGATTATCAATCTATGGATTATTTGGTACATTACAAGGTATAGTACAATTTATATATTGATGTAAATACTTTTATATGAAAATCAATCTATTTTTGTTTCCTAGTATAAGGGTTGTGAAGATTACTAAGTTTTTGATTGAGATCATGAACCGATTGATGATAGACCAGCACCTTTGAAAACCTGGAAGCACTGAACGGCCGTTTCGTCCTATTGTGGAACTCCTCAGCGGTTCGCATCCACGACCTCGAACTTAGGGCCTTCAGTTTCGTGCGCGAACACTTAACTTACTGGACCACTGAGCCGGCATCCAATGATGATAGTGTTTGATTATTTACTGACGTCTGTTACTCCCAATGGGGCATAGGTCGCCGACTACCATTCTTTAATCCATTCTGTCCTCCACCTTCTTTTTTAGTTCTATCCACTTGTTGTTCATTCTCCATTTCTCAGCGTAATATATTTTTTGGTCTTCCTCTTCTTGTTGGGCCTTGAGAATTCCAAGTGAGAGCTTACTTACTTACTGACTTACGCCTGTTACTCCTCGTGGAGGAGCATAGGCCTCTCACCAGTATTCTCCATCCAACCCTGTCTTGGGCAATCCTTTCTAGCTCATTCCAGTTGTTGTTCATCCTTTTCATATCTGCTTCTATTTCCCGATGTAATGTGTTCTTTGACCTTCCTCTTTTCCGTTTCCCTTCAGGATTCCAAGTTAGGGCTTACCTCTTAATGCAGTTTGACGATTTCTTCAATGTATGTCCTATCCATTTCCAACTGGTCTTCCCGGTCTTCCACATTGTTCGGACATTTCATGTACCTATAAAAATTGTTGCCTTGTGACATATGATTATTTTCACTTACTTCTTGATTTCCTAAAGAAGAAAATTTTTGAAGTTTTAGTTTTTTGTTAAAAAGTTCAGTTATATCATAACATGGGATATTTAATCTTTGTACAATCATCATTCTTTATACTTATATCAAGTTTTGAAGTGAGCAAAATCATCAGTGTTATTTAGGATGATGGTTGTGTTATATCGTCAATCCATTAAAATTGTGAATAGACACTCAGTTACCTAATTTTGATACATTTTTTCAGGTGAATACACTTCTTTGTATTATTGTGTAGAGTGTTGACATTCAACTTGTAGGTTTCAGTTTCAAACTCTATGTCACTTAGTTCAATTTAGGTGACCGAGTAGTATCGTTAGATTTTACTCAACATTAGTATGATTCAAAGCTGAGCGCATATAATTTGTGCTTAGTACATGAATAAATCAGGATTATTTTATCGTGGTATGCAGTGATGTCGTTCAGAAGAACGATGAAAGCTCCACGACTAAACTAACTAGTTCAAAGAACAAAACTCTATCAAAATCATTCAGAGCTACAAATCTTTTATACTATATGCTTGATTGTTTTTTTTTCAAGTAGATCAGTCCCTTCATTAAACATCTTTTCTCGTGTCATTAATTGATTATTCTGATTATTAGTATTACTGTATTGGATCTCACTTTAACCGTCATCAGACTTTTAGGAACTACCATTACTAACCATTAGTATCATATTAGATTTCTACGAACGTTTTAAACATATTTCTCTTCTGTATTTGATTGTTGTTGTACAACGCGTTTCAAGATTTTCTTTTCAGAAACAAAACAAGACAATAGCATTCCATGGATGAACAATACTCAAATGTTTAATGTCTATACTGATTGTTCATGAAATCGTGTAACATTTAGTCCCTTTGTTAGTATCTAAATGTGTAAATTGGTTAATTTTGTAATTTTCCATCACGAACTAACTTCAATTGAGAAAACCATCATAGACTAGGAAACATTGGACTGTTGTTTCGGCCTAATACGAGACTTCTAAGGATTGAGCTTTCATCATCCTATTTAGAATCAAACCTGGGACCAACAGGACGTTTTACTAGCATTTAGTTTTCAGATCACCATATCTCACCATATATCTTTCAATCCATTCAATTCGTGATATTATCCAATTTTATTATCTATTACCGTCGGTGATTATTACTTGATATCCAACATCATTGAACACAATTCTCCTTCAGAACTCTATTAATTATTTGGTTGAAGGAATGTAAGATCTAAATAACCTGCAAAAGTATTTATTGGAATTAAAATTTTAACTCTAATCGAAAAACTTTCCTAACGTTTTGATTATTTCCAAACTGATATCACTTTCCAAGATATATGAAACTAAATTATCGTTTATTCATTAGAGGTTACTAGTATTCGATCATCGGTGTGTTCGAAGCATTGCTCGTATATCCCGGGACCATCGAGTAAGTAATGCAGTTGTTAGGAAACGGGTACTAGGTAAGAATGGCAAATCAATTAATGAAGTAGTGAAACTTCATCGGTTGAGATGGCTGGGACTTGTGTTACGTATGCCCAACCATCGACTGCCCAGATGAGCGATGTTTTGTGGTGTAGGAATAGGTTGGAAGAAAGCTAGGGGCGGCCAGATCAAAACATGGCACAAATACATGAAGTCACTGATAAGTGGACTGAGTCATGTTGGTAGGTGTAGACTACTTGGTTGAAGACCGCGAGACGATAGCAACCGATGATTAGAGACCTTGAATGACATGGCTGAAAATCATTTGCAATGACGCAGATGCATCCACTCTATGTGTTCTCCCGAATCCAAATCTTCTGAATTGTTGTTGTTCCTTTTTTCTCTTTCCAAATTTATTTCACTGAGTTATATTCCTTGAAAAACGTCTTCAAATCCTTATCTTTCCGATTACTGTTTATACTTTTACTTCCTCTACCACAATGGGATTTGAATCGACAATTGTATCTCTATGCTACTATAATATGACAACTTGAATTGATGTGCATCAGTACGTTCAAAGTCCTACGTTGTTCCTGACTGACTGACTGAGAGGTAGTAATTGTAGACAATTGTGTTAATACAATGTTCAATGTGTTGTTTTTTCTTTCATCTTTGATACTGAGAATATTCTTTATGTTTTTCTTTTTCATCTTTTTTTTTAATTATCTAATCCTTTCAATCTATCAAGGTATCACAAAAGTCATTGCTGATCTTATCGGTTTTATTGGACTATTAAAAGCTAATACACGATTCTATAGAAATTGTTTAATATTAATAATAAAATCAAAAGAATTACCATTAGGGTTTATTAGTCAATCTATTACTCAATTAAAACAATCTAATTTGAATCATTTGAATGATCTTCATCATGATCATCTTCATTGTCGCTGTCATAGCAACAATACGGAATGTTGTCATTATAATGAAGCACCAATACAATGTATCATCAATTGTTTAACAGTAGATTTTGCCAATATTGAAAATGTATTACCATTCACTATAACTGGTTTAATAAATCTTTATTTGGATATTATCATTATCATTGGGCAAATAGTTTATTTATTTGGATTCAGTTCAATTAAAGGAATTTTATACAGTATCATCATTTATATTATATTTAGTATATGGTTATATTATATAAAGGCAGGTGATTTAACCCAGCAACAATATCATATATGTATATGTAGCATGAATATTTTTGCTTCTATGATTATAAAGGTATAGATGTATATATCCATGCTTGTAGTTAACTTATACTTTTTACCTTATCTGGGAATAGAAATGTTTGGATTCTTTAATTCTCCTTCTCTTGGATATATGTATCTGTATGTATGAAGTAGTAGTAGTATTAGTAGTAGTATTATTAGTAGTATTAGTAGTAGTATAAACAATTCTATGCTTCCATTACATTATCCTATCTCATATGTATTATTGTTATTTTCTCATCTTATCTTAGTTTTATTCGCAATGTTATCTATATATACATTATCGATCGGTCATTTAGGATGTGTTATACGATTACATAGTCGATTATTAAGCTATGTATTACATGCTCCAGCTACATTTTTCGATTTAGTTCCTCATGTAAGTTACATTGACATGTTTTCATCATTGTTGCTGTTATATATTTTCTAACTATACAAATGGAATAATTTAACAGGCATCTAAGATCTAAACCTGAGTGATAGATAACCGCAGGGACTTGTAAATTCTGATTGAAAACTATTGTTGTGTACAAAGATCCAGATTCTAACAGAATGAATAAGCATACGATCATTCTTTGGTTGCTATCATATTCATAAATTAAGCCTACTACTTAACAAAAAATAATGTGAAATGATTTTAAGAGTGATCACATTACTATTGTATCTGTTCTGGTTTGAATGTGTAAGCAGTATCTTAGCCTACACACTAGCGATGATTAGCACTAATTAAGAAAATGACAGAATGAACTATACTTCTCGCTCCGTTTTATAACATCTTTCTATAGCATATAGATATCTATCAACCCGGTTTAAGTTCTGCACATCTGTTTATCATCTCACTTTCGTGATAAAAAAAACACCTTCATTAGTTAGTAGAAGTTCTGTTATATTATTTCTAGAAGGAGAGTAGACTTATGCCAACTTCTGATGCGCCGAGACATTTGTAAGTTACACTATCTACTACGTCACCCATTATGAAGACTATTAATAAGGAACGAGTATACTGCGCGGCAGTTCGTTCTGTTCTATTTTACGGCCGCGAAACGTGGCCATTAAGAGTAGAAAATAGTCGTAGGTTGCTAGTATTTCACCACAGATCTCTTAGAAATATTGCTCGAATCTACTGGGATCACCGGATAAGTAATAGTGAGGTTATGCGTAGGGTATTAGGGAATGATGGTAAACCAATTGATAAGGTTGTGAATCTTCAGTGACTGAGATGGTTAGGACACGTGTTACGTATGCCTGAATACCAATTACCACGACGCGCAATGCTGACTAGTGTTGGAGACAGATGGAAGAAGGTTAGGGGCGGCCAAACCAAAACGTGATATCAGTCCTTAAAGTCACTAACTTGTAGTCTGAGCCATGTTAGTAGATGCATACTACTTGGTTGGAGTCCACGTGACTATCGTAACGAATGGTTGGAGACTGTTGGTGACATGGCTCAGAATCGATCAAAGTAACTCTTTCTATGAATTTGATGTTGAGCTTGTTGTGCGAATGAATAAGATGTTACAACTTGAACCGATGCATATATGTACCTGATCATATACATTGTAGTTGATTGACTGACTGATTGACTACCGATACATGATTGATTTTAATGCATTCTTTTTAATCATCATCATCATCATAATTATACTACTTAATTCATTTGTTCTCTTCAATTATAAATTAATTTTTATAGGGTCGAATTGTCAATCGTTTTTCACAAGATATTGCAACATTAGATAATCCAGTATTGGTTTCATTGAATAGTACATTAAATTGTGTACTAACATGTTTTTTAACATTATGCCTTGCTTGTACACTTAATATATACATGATTATTCCAATTTGTTTATTAACAATTATCTATTTATATATACAGGTAAGTGATAGATAGATATATTCAAAATGATTGTACTTTGCATGTCAAGTTTTGTTTGTTTCTATATATTACTGTTATTATACATAGTAGTAGTAGTAGTATATCTATGTTGATTCCATTTTATATGTTTGTTAGTGTTTCATCATTAGAAAGTGAATTTGAGTTATCTTTTAACTAACATACTATCATCATCATGATCATCATCATTATCATCATGATTATATAGTGCTGAAAGATATTAACAAAGTGTTATTGTTTGATCTGTAATTGATACTACTCATTTGCTAATGATTACATCATAATCATATTGTTTAGTTATCATTGTTCTTACTTGAAAGTTTTTTTTTTTGGTTTTTAGACTAGAATCAGTTTTCTTAGTTGGATTAAAGAATCTATAATGTATTTCAGTGGATTCACTCTCTTAAGTAACTACTGGTTAGTGATCAATGTGATATGTGACAAGTCTTTGTTAGTGCAGATTGAATGCTATCGATCAAGTTGCAATGTGACCCACTAGTCTAAGTGACTTGACATTGAGTGCACTATGTTGAGATAAGATAGTTTGGTTAGATGTAGTGAACAGGAAACCTTGGATCTAGATTTCGTCCAATTTGGCACTCGTGAACAAGATGTACCTGTCATCTTGAAGGAATGGATGCCAAAAAGCATGAAACTCTGGTTCAGCTTTTGCTGTTGACTACCTCCAACCACCATCTTATCTATTAATACATCAATAATAATAACTGAAAATTCACTTCAAATTTGTTGTAATAATAATAATAATAATCACTGATTATACTACTGATAATACACAAAGTTCATAAATACTATTTTCTTCGATACTATCTAGTTAATCTTTGTGAACGATTTCACTGTGGTATATTTATTTCAATAACTTTATTCTAGAAGATAAATTTCAGAAATGTATATTGAAGGAATACTTTTCAAAGATTTATAGAAATAGTTCCAAAGAGAAATCTTCATTATGTATAGGAAATAGGTAAATGTATATGAATACTACAAATGAATATAAAAATGTCAAGAACATGATAAACAAATTTATCTAATAGATTGTTTTTGTATATACCGTGATCGTGGATGTGCACTGTTGAGGAGTTACCAAATAGGACGAAACAGCCGTCCAGTGCTTTCAAGTTTTCCATAGTGGTCTAGCTTTAATTGACTCATGATCTCATCTATTAAAATTACTATAATGTACACAAAACCCCTTCAGATATTAATAATTTAATATTTATATATGATTATGCAACATTTTTTCAACCGAACTCGAATCGTTCTCATTTTGATAATGTTTATTTATTTCAACGCATAGATATTGGTACAAGGAGGCACTAGATATATATGCGCCACACAAATCTCGTTTGATTTGTGTGAGGGTTGTGATACTGCCCGGGTAACCAAACTAAAATAGGCGGTTTTCTTAGAGAGCCACAAGCAGAGTCTTTGACCTAAAGATCTAATCCACTAGGCGGAGTGGAGCAACATCAAGAGATGCAGTCTCATGGTAGTCGGTAACCAACAATTGGTTCATACACCATTCGTTCCCTCAGGATACTGGAGCCCATGTGCACCATTGGTTTGGAATCAGGGATTTCCAACTCCCTTGTGTGGATCCACTATATCTACCTACACAGTTAATGCGCCGGACATTCACATTTCCCCCTCTTAATTTCCTAAACAACAGTAATGCCACGAGAAGATAGTAATTAGAACTTCCTTGTCAGTGGTTGTATTGACGTGACCATGTGAGAGCATTTGGAGAGGGAGTGCGTACTCTCTCCTCTCTCGACCATATTAAGGCATTCAGGGGCTAATGTACAAAGTAGTAATAATTAAGAAACATTTGCGTCATTGATGATTATATACTTCGTTCAATTTAATTGTTAATAAAAGAAGTTAGAATTTCATATTAACAACATTTTACAAAACTAGATCATAAGAAACATCTTCCATTGGAAATTGTTGTCATCTAAACAAATGTTTAGTTAATTCATATCAATAGTATAGATTATAATTATCAGTATGGGGATTGTGGAGATTGTTAGGTTTTTGGTTGAGATCATGAATTAATTGATGTTAGACCACCGTTGAAAACCTGGAAGCACTGGACGGCCGATTCGTCCCAATATGGGACTCCTCAGCAGTGCGCATCCACGATCCCGCACCACGCGGGATTCGAACCCAGGACCTACTGGCTTCGCGCCTGAGCACTTAACCATTAAACCACTGAGCCCATGCTAGGACGAAACGGCCGTCCAGTGCTTCCAGGTTTCCAACGGTGGTCTAACATCAATTAATTCATGATCTCAACCAAAAACTTAACAATCTCCACAATCCCCATACTGATAATTAACATGTGCTCACTAGTGACTAGCTTCGTGAGGGAATTCTCGGAGTTCTAGTGAGAAGTCGTGACCGGTGGAGCTAATCCATGTCGGGAAGAGACAGGTATCTACCTCAGTACAATGGAAGATAGTCGTGCAATTTCGTGGATTGGTTGATGTTAGACACTATCACCATTGGATGCCGGCTCAGTGGTTTAATGGTTAAGTGCTCAGGCGCGAAGCCAGTAGGTCCTGGGTTCGAATCCCGCGTGGTGCGGGATCGTGGATGCGCACTGCTGAGGAGTCCCATACGGGGACGAAACGGCCGTCCAGTGCTTCTAGGTTTCCAACGGTGGTCTAACATCAATTAATTCATGATCTCAACCAAAAAAATAAATTATAATTAACGATGACTTTGCTTAGGAACAAACATATTGTTTAGACATATCAACATTCTTTATTAAACCGACTTACGAATTCAACTAATAAAATGACTACAATCCCCACAAACCCCTGTTTGGATCAATAATCATTTTCTCATTTGTGACTAGTTTCAAGATAGATTTACTGAAGTTCTATTGAAGACATTCAATCTGTGTCGAGTAAAGACAAGTATCTAACTCAAACAATGAATGAATGGTTGTTTAAGATGATTGGTTGATTGAAGTTAAGACATTAACACCATTGGATATCGGTTCACTGATCTAGTGGTTAAACTTTTACACTTAGAATCGAAGATTCTAAATTCGTGTACTATCATTGCTGAAAAGTTGCATACTATGACAAACCGTCAGCTGTCTAATACTTCCAAATGTTCAACAATAGTCTAGCTTAAATCGACTTATAAATTCAACGATTCATTAAAATGCACTTGATGAGTGTTTAAATAAAACAATAAAGATTGAAAGGTTTCATTATGTATCCTTGTTATGCTTTATTCTATATTATTACATAATTTAAACCATTACAACTTGTTTGCCATATTGTCATGACAGAAAAGAAAAAAAAACAAAACAAGATTTATCTAGATCTCACTTCACACAGTTACTGTTTGTTTGTTTGTTTTTTTTTTGTTTATATTATTTCATGAATTTATATTCAAGTTGGAAAAAAATTTTTTTTTATTTCTCCTAAAAAAAAACTTTCATGTTTCTATGGTAATTAATTATTATTCATTGATTGTTTCTAAGTGACCTAGCAACAATTCATTGAATAGAACTTTTATGAATTTCGTTAATGATTGTTTGAATTTAATAAGATAGAAACCTTTTCTGTTCATTCATTCATTCATTCACATACATACACACACACAGTTGAGAATATTATTAAGTTGATCATTAGGATTTGAAGAAGAGATTGATTTGTTTTTTGAAAAAAAAACATCAGTCACATTTGCAGATAAGCATTAGTTAGATAATAAACTTTAGAATAATTGTGTTTGTTGTAGTTTCTGACTTAATATCGACCGTTTTATCCTAATATTATAAGATTCTTCAGCAGTGTGTATCCACTATCTTGCTCATGAGATTTCCTGAAGTTCTAGTGAGAAGCTATACTTAGTGAAGTTCAATAGTGTCTGTTGTGAAGCAGTTACTGACTGAAGATAATGATGGTTGGTGGATTGGTTGAAGTGTTAGACATCATGGCAAGACTATAACTTCTGGATGAACCAATCACGTATAAGATAACAAGTGTCGGACTTTAACGTGAAATTCATTTATTCAGATAAATAGAGTTTTGATATTATAACTGATGTAAGTTCGTGATGAAAATCTTGAATCTAATTTCTAACTTTAATCATCAACTGTTCATCATAATTTGTATTTTCTACACTGGTTTATAATGCTCAGTTGGTCCTGATTATTAAGTGGACACTCCCAAGGTTAGTCTGACGTCGGTCAAAGGTCCTCCATAAATTATAGTCTTACCATGAACATTAACTAGGTAATGTATTGAAAGATGAGAAAGCTTAGTATAATTGTTTTGTTGTAGTTTTTGACTTAGAATCTGTCTATACTTCTTGTACTCTATATGGTATCAAATTCTGAATAAGAAGATGTTGTATCGAGTACGTTATAATTTGACTACTGATTTGACATCTAATAGTTTACTTATCTAAGCCAGTCAATTAGTTATATCGTATATCTCTCATCTAACGTCATCGATGGTATGTTAGTCTTATTGCTAATGCGATTAACCTTTTTAAGATGTACAGCTTCTTAAAACGTTGGTTAATAATTGAATTACATCATTATACTAACAATCAAATAGTAATTTCAATTTACTTATCAAACATTATAAGCCTCTAATGTTATGTTCTTTGATTTGTTTTGAATATAAAAGTACTAAGTTACAAAGATCTCCTTTACTCTATGTCAGAGTCTTTCTTAACTTGAGATGGTGGAGAAGATTTGTAGCACAGATGGATGATTTTGATGAAGTTTTGTTCTCTGAGTTGGATGGTTTAGTCGTGGAGCTTTCATCGTTCTTCTGAACGACATCATCAGCACAGATTCTTAACTTAGATCTATAAATTTCATTGATTACCATTGTACATAGGATTATTTTTATAGTTAATGATTTTATACAATAGTTAGCAAACTATAACTTGATAATCTGGAAGCACTAGATGGCTGTTTCGTCTTATGGTGAGATTCCTCATTGGCAGTGCTCATCCACAACCTCGTCCCGTACTTCCAGGTTTTCCATGATGGTCTAATTTCAATTGACTTATGATCTTAACTATTAAAACTTTTAATTGATTTATAATAGCTAATGATACTAATGATCTTTATACTGATCATCAGTTTATCTTTCCTAAGCCCCCAAATGCCCTGGTACGGCCGAGAGTGGGGAGAGTCCTCTCTCCCTCTCAAAATGCTCTCACATGGCCATGCGTATATAGCCTCTGCCAGGGAAGTCCTACTCACTGCCTTCTCGTAGCGGGGGTGTTGTTTACGAAAACGAGAGGACGAAAAGCGAATGTCCGGCGCTTTAACCGGATTCCAAAGCAATGGTGCACATGGGCTCCAGTATCCTGCGGGAACAAATGGCGTATGAACCAATTGTTGGTCATCGGCTTCCATGGGACTGCGTCTCCTCACGATGCTCCAGTGCCTTTTGGATCAGACCTTCAGGTCGAAGGCTCGGGGTGTGGCCCCCTAAGAAAACCACCTACTTCGGTTTGGGCACCCGTGTAGTATCACAGCCCTCACACATATCGAATGAGATTTGTGTGGCGTATATGTATTTGGTACCTCTTTGTACCATTATCTATGTGTTAAAATAAATATCTTTCCTAAACATTAACCTTCAATATTTTTCTTCATCTTTTCTTGAATGTTATTTTTTGTTTTTGTTTCTTGTTTACAGAATTTATATGTGACTACATCTAGACAATTGAAACGTTTAGAATCAATTAGTTTATCACCGATATTTTCACATTTCTCAGAAACTTTATCTGGTGTTGATAGTATTCGAGCATATAAATTAATTGAAATCTATAAAACGATTAGTTCAACTAGACAAGATTTAAATAATTCCGCTGTTTATGCTTCAATTATATCACAAAGGTTAGTTAGTTACTATTTCTAATACTAATAATAATGTCTATCAATAATTATAGACTATCAGTTTGATGTTCTTTGATTGTATTGGATAAGTCTTGTTAATTGAACATCATATTCTGTTCCGAAGTTATTCTCGTAATCCCCAAGTTGGAACTACACACTGACTTGAACATGAGTGAAAAGGTGCGAAGTATTCGAGAAGCACGTTACTTCAAAGATTTGTTTTAATACAGAAAATGCAAGGTTTGCCGACAATTCTAGAATGCTACTAAACATAATAGCAGTATAGTAATCACAATTGATTGATCACTGGTTGGTGATCAATGTCATGCTTGTCTAGTCCTTATTAGTGCAGATCGAATGCTATCGATCATGTTGCAATGTGGCCAACAGTCTAGGTGACTCGACACTGCGGGCACTATGTATTGAGATTGAGATGGTGGTTGGAGGTAGTCAACAGGAAACCCTCGATCCGGGTTTCGTGCTACTTGGCACTCGTCAGCAAGGTGTACCTGTAATCTTGAGGGAACTGGTGCTTCCTGGCGGATTCGATCTCGTGTCACCCAGCTTCACAGTCAGAGACGTTACCACTGAGCTATCCACCATCTAAATCTCAGTATAGTAATCAGTTTATCAGAAACTTTACATGTGACTTTTCACTTTTTTGATGTTTCTGGCTAAACTTCTAATGAACGCTGATTGGATAAAATGCTTCTTACAGTTTCCTGAACCTTTTTTAGTGTTATGAATGCAGAGGAATATACCAATATTTATCGTGTTAAGTCTAATGGTGTCCTTGGACGTTAAATGGACATTTCCTATTGATCGATATTTATTTCACTTGTTAAATATTGTGTAAATGTTGTTTTCTATTTTATGGTACGATGTGGTCTGGTTGGTTGGTATATAAATAGAGTATGTCTGAAATATAATGATTCATATCTCAGAGGCTGAGATTTGTGTTCTGGACTCAACTGGCTGTGATAGACAGCGAAGCGAGGCCAATCGGGACTCTAGGCCGTCCGTACGTGTTTACGTGTCACCGAATCGATCGGTAAATACGCTGTCCTCTAATGTGCCATCACGTCACAACACTTGGCTTTTGCAAGAAGTTTTCTGGATCACGCTAACAGTATTTTTATGTAGATAAATAATGAATTGTTTAGTAAGAAAAGGGTAATATTGTAGTGTATCCTACTTATATCAATATGAGTAGTATGTAACGATAGTCAGAATTAGAATGTCTGGCAGCAAAAAGTCAAGAAGGAAAGAATGCGAACAGAAAGCAATTGGTATGAAAATGCAGGAATGATGAAGTCATAGACGATTGATTGATATTTGCAAAAGGAACAGTCAAGTTAAAGACATTGGAGTGATATTTTACAAATTTACGGTATTGTTCTCAGATTCTGTAATTTTGTGTTCAAATATATTCGGTTGTCCTCATTTGTTTTATCGTTCACTACAATATGAACTACAGTTCTATTCAATCTGTTGGTATGACATGGTTTCTATTTTACTAGGAATTTCTGTTACATTTCGACATTAAAGTTTAAACCAATATTTTGAAGGTTATTTTATATTTATATATTTAAACACATAAATATTGGCACACAGGGGAACCTAATACATAGGCGCCACATAACTCGCTTGATTTGTATGTGATGCTCAGACTGAAGCAGGTAGTTTTCTTAGAGGGCCACAACCGGAGACTTCGACCTAAAGGTCTAATCCACAGGGCGGAGTGGAGCAACGTAAGATGATTAAGTCCCATGGCAGCCGGTGACCAACAATTTCTTGATACGCTATTTGTTTTTTTAAGATTCCGGAGCCCGTTTGCATCATTGGTTTGGAATCAGGAATTTCCAACCCCCTTACGTGGATTCTCTATATCCACCCACGCAGTTAATGCGCCGGACATTCGCTTTTCGTCCTCAGTCACAGTAACGAATAGATGTTGTTATTACCAAAGCCACAAATGATGACTTTTCCTCATTTCGATCTTTCCATGGACTATAAAATTGAAAACGTTCTTCAACCAGTCGTTTTTGATTTTGACGGATAAATTGGGTAACTACAAACAAACTTTCCCTTTCAAATCAACCTATAACAATGAAATATTCACTTTCGCAACTTATAGGTTACTTGTCTTATATATCCCGAGCAAGTATTCATCATGTTCTTTGGGGAATTGTTGACTACCCTGTATAACCTTTCATTTCCCATGCTAATTTCTTGATAGTCACCTTTCAGTTTTTTTACACTCAGGTTATGATTTTGAAAAGACCTATCGTACATCAAAATCGATTAAAGCGACACATTTGAAAATCTGTATAGAAATGTCGAAATTTCACCCCTGTTTTGAAGTGAACGTTGAAAGTATTGTTGAAAATGAAATCTTCCTTTTTGAAATAAATCAAATACTACTTAACAGTATCTACTTAGGCTAGTCAAATTAATCCATCATAATGTGGATCTACTAACTAATCATTTTATTTATTTATTTCAACACATAGTTATTGGTACAAGGAGGCACCAAATATATATGCGCCACACAAATCTCATCTGATAAGTGTGAGGGCTGTGATACTGCCCGAGTGCCCAAACCGAAGCAGGTGCTTTTCCTAGGGGGCTACTCCTCGAGCCTTCGACCTGAGGGTCTGATCCACAGTGCAGTGGAGCATCGTGAGGAGATGCAGTCCCATGGTAGCCGGTGACCAACAATTGGTTCATACGCCATTTGTTCCTTTAGGATACTGGAGCCCATGTGCACCATTGATTTGGCTTAGTATCCGGTTAAAGGGTCGGACATTCGCTTTTCGTCCTTTCATTCTCGTAAACAACACCCCCGCCACGAGAAGGCAGTGAGATGCTCATTTGCATCAAGTCCTACATTTGTTGATTGAGATCATAAACCGATTGATGTTAGACCACCACCTTTGGAAATCTGGAAGCACTGGACGACCGTTTCGTCCTATTGTGGGACTCCTCAGCAGTGCGCTTTCACGATCCTGCTCGCGGGATTCCAACCCAGGGCCTTCGGTTTCGCGCGCGAACGTTTAACGAACTGGACCACTGAGCCGGCATCCAATGGTGATAGTGTCTAACATCAACCAATCCACGAAATTGCGCGACCAACTTCCATTGTACTGAGGTAGATACCTGTCTCTACACGACATGGATGATGATCAACTGGCTGAGTGATATTAAACTTGTTACATAATGTATCAGTACCAAGGTTGAATTTGTTAGTTTTAAATAAATTCAAGATTGGGTAAAAAGTTAATAGGAAATATAGTTTTTGTAATATACCAATGAGTAGAAAAATTGTACTTTGACATTTCGTGACCTAATGTTGACTACTTATTCAGAGTAAATAAATGACCGAATAGGTGGTTGTTTATATATTCTGAAGAAGTGACCCACATTAAGTCACGAAACACCAAAAGTACAGTTTTTCTACTTATCGGGATATAACAAAAAAATATATTGATGTATATGAAACAATGGTTGTACCTTAGAACGGATAGAAATCCCTTCTCATTTGATTGATTTCTGTTTGCCAACAAGCCCTACATTGTTTTCGAGTTGTTTTAGTAAGATCACTTGAAACCACTATATACGTTAGCTAGTATATAAGTTCTTTTGAAACGAATAGCATGACTAAGACTTAGTTGAGGGGATTAGTGGGAAGCGTAGAGTGGAAATTACTGGCGAAAACGATGTTATTATTAAATATGGGAAATATGGTTCAATACTCATATAATTAAATCAATTTGTGCTTTATAAAAATGTCTTACATCATCAGATCTGATCAAATCATGTATATTTAGGTCAATTCAACTTCTGAGAATCATAGAATTGTTTGAAATCAGTTTTGTCATAGCTAGATAGGCTGTGTCAAATAAATATATCAATTGTCTTTACATCAACAACTTTATAATGATTTAGACGTTTATTCAGCTATGTATATTCTCATGGTGGGTTTAAATGTGTACATGTCAATTACTTATGTTTATGATATGCTTGAATGCTATTACGAGTTCACCTTACTCGGTAAACGGAACGAAGGTCAACGATACAGTGACAAGATAAGCTACTCTAATCCGTTGTCCCTGACCCTGCTAACTAGATCAAAGAGTCTCGATGAGGCATAGGGAATGTATTCTACAAGCGCCCAGAAAATACGAGGTCACTAAGCACACAAGTCAAGCTTATTTATACAATGATGGAAACGCCCTTGGGAGAGCCACAAAATAGCGTACCAAAAAAATCCGTCGACCAATCATAGTCAATGATTTCTGAGCTGTAGGTCAACTAAGCGTCTCTTGGCGCGAAAACATGAAATTCAAGTTTTCATAATAAAATTACAAAGTTAAGACCTTTTCCAAATGAGTTCTGGGGATCTAATATCCTCAATAGTTAACCTTTTGGTTTATGTTTGTAAATACAATTAGTCAATAATTTATAACCAATACATATATTGATATATTTGAATGACAGATTACGTTTTCTTTCTTTGATTTGACTGATGAACGGTCTCTTGTTTTCTTGAATTAATAAACTTGTGACAAATCGTTCCTGACATAGTGCGTACTTCACTTTTATATTCTGAGATTTAGCCTACTAATAAATAAGCAGTTATCCAGGGTCATTTAATATTCATAATCAGATGGATACTAAGTAACACATTCCTTCAATCACTTCTTAGTTTATTTCATATATCAGATATCTTAATAACTTTGATGAATTTAAAACTTAATCTTTCCATTACAAACACTACGGAAGAAATTTGAGTCTCATGTCCAAGGATTCATTTTGATTGTATTTGAATGAGTTATGAAACTTATATCCTATATTCGTTTATATGAATATGAGTTTCAGCTTTCCTATCGCTGATAATTGATCAGTCTCTATTTTCATGTGTATATCCTGGTTGAACTGTTTCGATATGACCTGATAGCTGCAAGTTTGACGAGATTCAAGTTTCAATTTTAACACCAACACTAGGATGTATGTACATCAAAGTTACTAGTCTTAATTAAACATATATCCTGGGTCCCTTATTCAAAATGTAATAATCGCTTAACTAACGTATAATCCTGTTAAATTTTGTGATAAATAGTTTTTTCTTAAAAAACCGTTTGTGTGTGAGACCGACGGTCCTAGGTTCAAGTCCTATGTGTGGGATCGTAGATGCGCATTGTTGAAGAGTCCCATACTGTGACGAATCGGCCGTGCACTGCTTTCAGATTTTCCATGGTGGTCTAGCTTCAATTGACTCATGATCTTAACTACTGAAATTACTATAATATTCACAAAAAACCACTTCTGATAATAAAAATCAACTTACAAAAACTAAAGATACTTTTTTTGCAAAGTTGGATAGTGGCTAGCAATGGAATACAGTTTGACGGGCGTTTCGTCCTATTTAGGACTGGTCAACTGAATCTACCCGCACTTCAGAGTTGATATTTACTCCGGGAGGGACTCGACTTCAGTACCGTTCGCTTCAAACGCCACTGCGTTATTCCCTTACCTACTGAATTCTGATAGTCACCTCCTTGTGTAATGGGGTGAAATTCTATTCACTTGGTATTGTTTACTTGTATCATCCCATTGTTATTTAGGACTACATTTGATCAATCACTGCTAGTCACTATCCATCTTTGCTTATATAGTTTGTGACTTCAGGCAATATCGTGGCAGTCGTCCGCACAGGATGTATATATACCAATATTAAGAGACTGATCCATTGCAGTGCTAAATAACAATCGGAAGATACAAGTAAAACAACATCAAGTCTATAAAGATACTTTAAGATTTGAAATACTTAGAATGAATCATCATTACTTTCTTTGCATCCATGTATATAGGTGTCACTTTGCATAGTCTTCAAATATTTTCTTTTTTTTTAATAACAAAATATATAGATGGCTTGCAGTTTTATTAGAACTTGTTGGTAATTCAGTGATATTAGCTGTTGCTATCCTATCAGTTGTTGCTCAAGGTTATTTATCCGCTGGTTTCTCTGGTCTTGTTATTACTTATGCATTAAATTTAAATCAAACATTAAATTGGCTTGTACGTATGTTCTCAGAATTAGAAACAAATATTGTATGTATAGAACGAATACATGAATATTCTTCCATTGAACAAGAGGTAAGTAACATTTTGAATATATATATATACTACTATTTCTGCCTATCCCAAGGCAACTGTTATTCTTTAAAAAAGTAATAATAATGAATATTTGAGGGGACACTTCATCATCATTATCATCAGGTTCAACAGTCTATAAGTCTTTAGATATTTGTGATAGTAGTAAAAGTATAGACGGTGATCGGAAAGATTAAGGTTTGAAGATGTTATACAAGGAATATAATTCAGAAAAATGGAAATTGGAAGAACACAAAAAGTGGATTCGCCTGCGCCATTGCAAATGATTTTGAACCATTTCATTCAAGGTCTATAACCATCGGTTGATATCGTCTCACGGATCTCAACCAAGTAGTCTACACCAACTAACATGGCCCAGTCTACTTGTCAGTGACTTCATATATTTGTGCCATGTTTTGATCTGGCCGCTTCTAGCTTTCTTCCAACCTACTCCTACATCATAAAACAGCTCGTCGGGGCAGTCGGTGTTTGGGCATACGTAACACATGTCCGAGTCATCTCAACTGATGAAGTTTCACTACTTTATCAATTGATTTGCCATCCTTACCTATTACCCGTTTCCTAACAACTGCATTACTTTCTCGATGGTCCCAGGATATACGAGCAATGCTTTGAAGACACCTATGATCGAATACTAGTAACATAGGAATATCCTCTACTCTTACCAGCTATGTTTGACAGCCATAAAGTAGGACGGAACGAACTGCTGCACAGTAAACTCGTCCTCTTGTTGATAGACGGATAAACTGCTGAAATAATAAAGAATTTAGATTTATGAATGTTAAAGGCTGAAATTAGGAAATAATTTCGAAATGTGTCAATCAGAATATCTATTCTAAGTTATTTCAGAGAAATAATCAATGTTAAATCAGATTAGAATGAGTTCTATACTAAATAACTATTCAATCATATTCATATATCAAATTCATTTTAATAGTCAGAATATGAATCATTCAAAATTTTAATACTCTTATACTCAATCCGTCTAAATGTCAAGCTGTTAACTTTAGCCTGTGATATGAACAACACTGAAACACCGTGTTCGAATCTCATAATGCTTGTACCGTTGGAGATTCTTTGATAAACACAATGTCGAAGGTCAATTATCTTTGTGTTACTTTTTACTCTGATCTCTCTTCGACATCACATGTTCTACTGTTATTGAAAGAAGTTTTCCATCTGATTTACTGCATCAAATACCTGTGCATAGTTACGACTCTGAATACGATGATGATTAGTTTATAATGTGAATGAAAAGATCTATTTGTATTGTCTTATTAATTGATGTGGTTGTGAAATATCTAACATATACCTAACCACATATGTCAATGTTCAGAGAGAATAAACTATTTAATTAGTCAATCTTTGAAATCAGAAGGGGTTTTGTGGAGATTTTAGAAATTTCACATATTGAAATCATGAGTTAATTGAAGCTAGACCACCATGGAAAACCTGGAATCACTGGATGGCCGTTTCGTCCTAGTACAGGACTCCTCAGCAGTGCACATCCACGATCCCGCACCTCGTGAGATTCGAACCCAATCAACTAGACCATTGAGCCGGCATCCAATGGTGTTAATGTCTAACTTCAAATAATCATAACCATTTTAGTTTCTAGCCTAAAAATAGGGGAACATTTACTAATTAAGAAAATTAAAAAAACCTTCATCTATTTCATCGTTAATTTAATTGACCAATCAGACATTAATGTTATCATTTATGTAACCTTGAACTTATTTTGACCTTCATAGGAGAAGTAACTTTTATAGACTAAATTTATTACATGAATTCTATGGATTCATAGATTACTTCTTGTGTTACTGTATATCAATCTCTTCTATATAGAACTAACAAAATGTATTAGTTATTCTTATGTCTTTTTTTGGGGGGGATTTGTATAAATCATTGAAGTTGACTATCTTTAGAGCTTCAATTTGAGTGTTTACGGTATTACATTCTTAGATATCAATTATACGTTTTAATATCTACACAATATTGATTCACTTAGACTGTTGATCATATTGCAACTTGGTCGATAGGATTCGATCTGCATTAAGATCACCACCCAGTGATCAATCAATTGTAAATACATCTCAGTCCTTCAAGAGGTTAGTCGCGATCCGCATAGCTCAGTAGTAACGTCTCTAACTGTGAAGCTGGGTGACACGCTATCAAATCCGTCGGGTAGTGTCAGTTCCCTTAAAATAACAGGTACACTTTAGTGACAAGTGCCAAGTAGCACGAAACCTGGGTCCAGGGTTTCCTGTTCACTACCTCTAACCATCATCTTATCTCAACATAGTGCATGCAATGTCGAGTCACCTAGACTAGTGGCCATATTGTAATTTGGTCAATAGGATTCCATTTGCACTAAGAAGGACTTGACACGCGTGACATTGATCACCACCAAGTGATCAACCAATATTTATTATATCGAATCAGGAACCTGACACATTTAATGACTATTGTATTCAGTTATTTAGACACAGATTTGTCAAAGTACATTGGTTGATAAATCAACCGATCACCCTGAACAATTAATAGATGCTATCGATTCGATCGGATTAGAACGTTACCATATACAATGTATTCAAGAACATGTGTTTTCTGTATCCGTGACAGAGCTTATACTTTATAACCAATTATAATGAATTGAAAACTAATCATTTAATTGGATGAAATGGAATTTTAAGAAAAAACCTCTTAAAATGGGATGAAAAGTTAAAAAAAAACTGTCATGCAAACTGTCATTCCAAATAGTAACCATAATAATGTTTTCAAAAGGTAGTTTAAAGAAAAGTTTTAAATTATGTTTTCCTACTTTGATACGATTTTAAACAAAAAGTTTCCTAGTAGGTTATGCGTTCGCACGAGAGACCGAATGCCTTGTGTTCGAATCCCTCGAGCGGGATCATGGATGCGCACTGCTGAGGAGTCCTACAATAATAGGACGAAACGGCCGTTCAGTACTTCCAGGTTTTCAATGGTGGTCTAACATCAATCGGTTCATGATCTCAAACCAAAAAAAAGAAATGAATTATTTGTCCAATATTTTTTTTTATTCATTAATTGTTAAATCATTTAATGAGTCTTATGTATGTATATATGTATCTGTTTTGTTTAAAATTAGGCACCATGGGAATTAGATTGTAGTTATTTACCAAGTAATTGGCCTGAAGGTATCATTGAATTTATTAATTATGGTACAAAATATCGATCTGAATTAAATTTAGCTTTAAAATCAATTAATTTTAAAGTAGATAAAGGGGAAAAAGTAAGTTTTATTTTTGCATTATACATTTTTCTATGATTGTATATATGTACTTTTAAATGATCAATATACCTAATAAGGCAAGAAATTATGATATATATATATGACATTCTTTTGAGTGCTCTTATGGGCGCCTACTTCAAATCAATCAACTAATCAACAGATTCGGGTTCGAATCCTAGTTCATCATCTTCGATTTAAATAATTGAATAACATCACCGTTGGATGCCGGCTGGCTCCGTGGTCTAGTGCTTAAGAGCTCGTGCGCGAGACTGATAGACCCTGGGTTCGAATCTCGCGAGTCGCGATCGTGGTTGCGCACTGTCACTGAGGTGTCCTATAGTAGGACGAAACGGCCCTCCAGTGCTTCCAAGTTTTCCATGGGGATCTCACTTTAATTGACTCATGATCTCAACTATTAAAATTACTATAATATCCGCAAAAACCCTTTCTGATACTTTAATTTTTGTTATTATTTAGTTGGGTATTGTTGGTCGAACTGGTTCGGGTAAATCTTCTCTAGTACTTGGATTATTCCGTATGCTTGAAGCAGCTGAAGGTCAAATACTCATTGATGGTTATGATATATCAAAAATTGGCTTACATGATTTGAGAAATCGTTTAACATTAATACCTCAAGTAAGTATTGTGTATCATTACCTATCAGTTAGATAAATAAGATATATTTGATCAAGTACCTATAGTAATGTCAAAAAATGTAATACATAAGATATTGAACTACAAATGTATGCGTTTTCCCTCTCTGTTTCTGTCTATCACTGTCCGTTATAATTTCTCTTATTACAACCTGACTATTCCTATTGCTTAGTATTCTTGGACATCAATTCACTCAACAAATCTTCAAATCAGAACACGGTTGAACAGCAATGAAATGATATTCCAAATAACAACGGTAGATGGAAATAAGAAGCACAATTTTTTTTTACATGAGAAGACTATAAAGTCTTCTACAAGCATCCATTAGCGCTGATTAGATAAGAAATAGCCAATCAGAGTGCACCAACACAATTATGCATGGAACGTTCTTTAATTCAATCTATGCCCTGTTAACACTGTCAAACTGCATTCATGCTAAACAAAAAATGATGAGATAGTTAACTGACTATTGTTTACTCCTTGAGCATTGGGTAGATTGTTATAAATAGAGATAATACGTTTGTTGATATCCCAATGAATAGAGAAATCAGATTTTCTGACGTTTCGTAACTTAGTGTAAGTCACTTCTTCAGAGAATAAGAAGTGACAATAATAAATCTTCTAATATATTAATATTTTCTTTTTGATAAATGAGTTTGTCATTACCAATCATTGTTTACTTCAATTATATTGTAAAATGAAATAATGTTAGTGTTAGTTAATAGGCTATAAACGGACAATGAAATGGTCGAATTTCGGTTCTTTATTTCTCTGCAAATTAATAACTAGTAAATATTCATAGATCATCAACATAGATGATCTTTGTCGAATGATTAGAGGCCTACTGGAGTTAGACGGAAATAGTGTGATCAACAGCTAACTTCGAAGTCACATCTTGCGATCAGCGTCTAATATGGATTACCTCTTCGACGTATCAAAGTACTATGGTTGCTTTGAAGACCGTGCAACATAAAGGACGTTATTACGGAAATATATTAGTAAGAATAAGTACAAACGAACGTGCGACCAATATCTCATGGCGTACAATGAACTGATGCGCGTTTTTTTTCCTTGACGTTGACAGAAATCGATGATTTGTTCGATATTCAAGTGATCGAACTGTCGAATGGTTGGGCTACGGTTCAGTGACTGTTCACTGACTCACATATTATTGTACCTATGATATGATTACTTCATCTCGTTCATAAAAACAATTGATAAAAGTCATTAATGATTTTAAGTGGGGTACTATCTTACTAACGATCTGTTATTTTCTATTGTTCGTATTTAAGATGACAATCGATTAATCTCTGTTGTTATTATGTACATAAAGAGTAGATTGTCTCAACATAGTCTTTTCCCAAAAGTTGTTAATATATTTAGATAGTGATTAATAGCATCTTTATGTTAATGTTCACATTGTTACTAGATTCCAATGCCTATAACTTCATACTTTAACATAATTCTTCCACTTAGCTGCTGATAAGTCTTAAATAGAATGAAATGTATATCTTGGATTCCATTATTAACCCCATTACCTCCTTAAGCCTGTTTTACCTCGTCGAGAAGCATAGGCCGCCCACCAGCACTCTCTATCCAACCCTGTCTCAAACAATCCTTTCCAGCTCCTTCCAGTTGTTATTCATACTTTTTATATCTGCATCTATCTCCCAATATAATGTGCTCTTTAGCCATCCCCTTTTCCGCTGCCCTTCAGAATTCTAAGTTAGGGCTTGCCTTGTGATGTAGTTTGATGATTTACGTAATGTATGTCCTATCCATTTCCATCGTCTTTTCTTAATGTTATTTTCAACAGGAAGCTGGTTTGTTCTCTTGCACAATAGGCTGTTGCTGATGGTATCCGGCCAATAAATGTTGAGTATCTTTCGTAGAGAACTATTTATAAATTCTTGTACCTTCTTGATGATGGTTGTTGTAGTTCTCCAAGTTTCAGCTCCGTACGGTAGAACTGTCTTGACATTCGTATTGAAGATTCTCACTTTGAAATTGGTTGAAAGTTGTTTTGAGTTCCATATGTTCTTCAATTGTAGGAATGCGGTCCTTGTTTTGCCAAACCTTGCGTTTACGTCTACATGGCCACATTACAAATATATTAAAATTACTGAACTAACCATGATTCTTTACATTCTCTATTCTGTTTATTTATCTATATTTTCCATATACAATATGAACTATTATTCATTTCAACAAATTTACTCAATATTTTCCTTTATTTTAATAGTTGTCTAACATATATCTGTTCATTGTTGTTATTTATTTACACAAATCTCTTCTCTTTTGTTTCTGATTAGTTTTTTATGTTTGGTTTTCAAGTTAATAGAGAGAGAGAGAACAACAAACAAACAATTTGTTGTTGTTTATTAAATTGCAAGGACGAAAAGCGAATGTCTGACGCTTTAAACGGGTTGTCGGATACAGAGGGTCCACCTAGGGGAATTGGAACACTGATTTCAAACAAATGGTGTACATGAGTTACAGGATCCTAAAGAAACAGAAGGCGTATGAACCTATGGTTGGTGACCGGCTACCATTGGACTGCATCTCCTTACGTTGCTTCACTGCCTTGTGGATTAGACATTTAGGTTGAAGTCTTCGGGTGTGACCCCCTAAAAAATACATGTGCTTCAGTTTGGGCACCCGAGCAGTATAATAGCCCACATACTCAGATTAAGTGACTTTTGTGGCGCATATGTATTGGGTGCCTTCTTGTACCAATATTTATATGCTTAAATAAATACAATTCACGATATTAATTCATCTTTTTATGATCATTTAAATTGTTTGGATGTAATGATTGTAAGACTATGAAAGAGAGAGTATTTATGTAACAGGTTAAATGTACGCTTATAGATAGGGTATAAATCATTGACTGAAGTTTTCTGGACAACAATTGTAAAACAAAAAGCACTAAACACATATTTTGTCGTCGTTCTCGACTTATCAACATAATACATTCAACCTTTTTCAAGGTTGAGTGGAAACCAAAACTTTCAACTTATCTGTAAACCACTGATCTGAAATTCAATTGTCTGAGAATAATACTATCTGCGATTAAAAAGTGTGATCGGTGTCAAGCAGTTACTAGTTGGGTGCCATGATTACACTACCGTGTCGTCTAAACCAACCCGAATTTAGTTTTTTTTATGTGCATCAAGAAGACAGTTCGGTTCATTAATTGCGTATGGGATGCGATACTCCCTGGGTGCCCAGACCGAAGCAGGTGGTTTTCTTAGGGGGCCACACCCCGAGCCTTTGACCTAAAGGTCTAACCCACAAGACAGTGGAGCATCGTAAGGAGATGCAGTCCCATCGTATCCGGTGACCAAAAATTGGTTCATACGCCATTTGTTCCCACAGGATACTGAAGCCCATGTGCACCATAGATTTGGAATCCGGTTAAAGCGCCGGACATTCGCTTTTCGTCCTCTCATTTTCGTAAACAACAGTAATGCCACGAGAAGGCAGTGAGTAGGACTTCCCTGGCAGAGGCTGTATACGCGCGGCCGTGTGAGAGTATTTCGAGAGGGAGAGCGAACCCACCTCGCTCCCGGCCATACCAGGGCATTTTGGGGCATCAAGAAGAAGCATTCTTTCACAGCGTAAGTAACTGGGGAATATCGGCTGCTTTTATACCTCCAACAGCATTAGGTAAATCCAAAACTGCTTATGTTAACTATCCTAAACTACCGTCTATTATTTAATGCTAATACTTTTAATGGTGATCGAAACGGTTTTGTTTACTTTATATGACTTTCATCCTTTTTTTGTTAATTGTTTACTAGGATCCTATCCTTTTCTCTGGTACATTACGTTTTAATTTGGATCCATTCAATCATTATACGGATGAAGCTATTTGGCATGCACTTGAATTAGCTAATTTAAAATCATTTATAAAAGATGCTAATAATAATAACAATGATGCTAATTATGGTTTGGATATGAACATCTCAGAAGGTGGTTCCAATATAAGGTTAGTTAGTGTGTTCGGTTTTTTTGTTAAACGTTTGTTCAACCAATTAAATTCATGTCATAAAGGCGAACTTGAGTGACTGTTTAAAACGGTGTAAGGGATTTGTAGAAGTTGTCGAATTTTAGAGTTTACATCATAGGGAGACTTTAGTTTAGCAACAACTGATACCCTTATACATGAGCTTAGTCCTCAATGGAGTTCTGTATGGGAACTGTTGAGGAGTCTCATATTATATAGGTACTTAGTGCTTCCTAATTTCCACTGTTTGTGCAATCGAAGTTAATTCATGATATTAAACTAAAATTTTAACTATCTTCTCAATCATGTTCTCATTAGTGACTTATTTTGAGAGGCGATTTCTGGAGTCCTAGTGAGAAACAGTCACTAATGGTATTGAGAGATAGTTGCGCAGTATCGCTAATCGGTTGAAATGAGGCATAAAACATTGGTTGCCGACTTGATAGTCTAACGACTGGAGACTATGTACTGGACTTGAGGACTCTTGGTTCAATTTTCAACGGATACTACTAAAGAGTCCCGTACTGAGATTAAACGAGTGTCCAATACCTCCTGCTTTTCATTGGTTGTTTATCTAAGGTTAGCTCATGATATCTAGGATTACTTCGTGAGATCTTTCTTCCAATTCTGATAAATTAGATAGATAAGTTATATAGATGACTGAATTGTAATGAAAACATACTATCATTTTGTTACATTGATTGATAAATTATAATCTCCTTTATCTTAAAATGGGAGTATATTCTATATAGTAGCTGATTGATACGACTTCAGATCATTCCACTCTGTGATATGACATTTGCATAACTTCGAGTTTGTTGCTGCATATTGTGTTGATAACCAAATGATCAAAGCAATTGTAGGCCTTCCTGACGTTTGTATACATAGTTGTTTTGAATTGAAAAAAAAAACTTCTTAAGAATCATTTTCGAACTTTTTACATCAAAAGTTTGTCCTACGATTGACAGAGAAACACAAGTTTATCAAAGGACAATAATGTCAAAGCTTCTGCAATGAATATTCTTTTGAAGGTACTTGAAACCCGTCTACGTAAGAAGTTAATAGTTGTACTTATGTGTATGCAAAGTTTATAACATACCATTGTAAACTGCTTAATTGTGATCAATGGGGTTATGAAAATTAATGACCGAAAAACTCACTAGACTGATTGGATAGATCGTTCTGATTACCCCCCTTTTTTTTTCTCGCCCGCCAATTGTGTAATTCTAATAATCTGTTTGTTTTACAATGTATCAGTAATAAATTTGCTTAGAAATATGCATATTTATTTTTCAGTCTTGGTCAACGACAATTAGTATGTCTTGCAAGAGCTTTACTTCGGCATACTTCAATTCTTGTATTAGATGAAGCTACAGCTGCTATAGATATGCAAACGGATAATTTAATTCAAGAAACTATTCGTCGAGAATTTTCTTCTTGTACTGTCATTACTATTGCTCATCGATTAAATACAGTTCTAGATTATGATCGGTATGTATTGATAATATTATGTATTCTTGTTTATATTTGATAATGTTACGAATCGACTTGTGTTAGAGATGGTATCATTAGATTTCGAGTAATTAGTGTAATATTGATGCACTCGTCGTCTTGAGTTCATACGGCTAAAGGGTTTCATGCTAACATAAAGCAAGAATCTAATCCTCGTTAGTTTTAAGGCTAAACTATCATTGCAACTCATCTACCAAGTATAGTTTTGATATGGTTGATTTTGGGTCACACTATTTTTATCGCTATCCAAAAATAAACAATCAGTCAATACAAATCGATCATTGTGTATTATTCAGTCATTAACGTTGATCGAATTCTACCGTTAGAATATAAGTTTTATTTAAATAATTATTTACTCGTAATTTGCAAGATTTGATCCTGTTTCATTCAGCTTCACAGTATGGGCCACTACTGACCTCTTGTAGGACTTTAGGCTTCAACTATAGAAAAACGTTTTGGATTTTCGAAAAGAATCAAACTAAATTCTTTGACAATGATTGAACAAGGTTTAAACATATAAACTGTTCTAGTTGACTACTTTTAGGGAAGAAACTTACACAACTAAAATCGATAGATCCTGGGTTCGAATCTGACGGGTGGGATCGTGGATGCGCACTGTTAAGGAGTCTCATAGTAGGACAAAACGGTCCTCCAATGCTTACAGGTCTTGTTTCCCTCAACTTCACAGTATGAGCCACGACTGACCTCTTGTAGGACTTTAGGCATCAACTATAGAAAAACGTTTTGGATTTTCGAAAAGAATCAAACTAAATTCTTTGACAATGATTGAACAAGGTTTAAACATATAAACTGTTCTAGTTGACTACTTTTAGGGAAGAAACTTACACAACTAAAATCGATAGATCCTGGCTTCGAATCTGACGGGTGGGATCGTGGATGCGCACTGTTAAGGAGTCTCATAGTAGGACAAAACGGTCCTCCAATGCTTACAGGTCTTGTTTCCCTCAACTTCACAGTATGAGCCACGACTGACCTCTTGTAGGACTTTAGGCATCAACTATAGAAAAACGTTTTGGATTTTCGAAAAGAATCAAACTAAATTCTTTGACAATGATTGAACAAGGTTTAAACATATAAACTGTTCTAGTTGACTACTTTTAGGGAAGAAACTTACACAACTAAAATCGATAGATCCTGGCTTCGAATCTGACGGGTGGGATCGTGGATGCGCACTGTTAAGGAGTCTCATAGTAGGACAAAACGGTCCTCCAATGCTTACAGGTCTTGTTTCCCTCAACTTCACAGTATGAGCCACGACTGACCTCTTGTAGGACTTTAGGCTTCAACTATAGAAAAACGTTTTGGATTTTCGAAAAGAATCAAACTAAATTCTTTGACAATGATTGAACAAGGTTTAAACATATAAACTGTTCTAGTTGACTACTTTTAGGGAAGAAACTTACACAACTAAAATCGATAGATCCTGGGTTCGAATCTGACGGGTGGGATCGTGGATGCGCACTGTTAAGGAGTCTCATAGTAGGACAAAACGGTCCTCCAATGCTTACAGGTCTTGTTTCCCTCAACTTCACAGTATGAGCCACGACTGACCTCTTGTAGGACTTTAGGCATCAACTATAGAAAAACGTTTTGGATTTTCGAAAAGAATCAAACTAAATTCTTTGACAATGATTGAACAAGGTTTAAACATATAAACTGTTCTAGTTGACTACTTTTAGGGAAGAAACTTACACAACTAAAATCGATAGATCCTGGCTTCGAATCTGACGGGTGGGATCGTGGATACGCACTGTTGAGGAGTAGGACAAAACGGCCCCCCAGTGTTTCCAGGTTTTCTATGATTGTTTAGTTTTAATTGAATCATGAATTCAACTGTTTTTTTCAGTCATGTTTATAAGTCATAAAATCTTTCTTTAAATTTTTCTAAGATTATGTTTGTTTATAGTAATTGTTCTATCTTTCTTTTCTTCTCTTTTCTTTTTTTTTTCAAATTCAACCTCCATTTCAGCATTCTTGTCCTTGAAGATGGTCAAATGAAAGAACTAGATAGTCCAAAAATGTTATTACAAAATAAAAATTCAGCATTTTATTCTTTAGCTAAAGATGCACATCTTGTCGAGTGAAATATATAACGATTGCCTCCTAAACTATAAAATGATAAATGATAAATGAGATAAGAAATAGGGAGAGTATTTATTTTTCTTTCTTTCTTCTTTTCTTTGTTTAATATACATTCAATGTATAAGGCTATTGTACATTCCTATTCATAGTGTAAAGACACCCGTTTGGTTGTTGTTGTTGTTGTTGTTGGTGGTGGTGGTGGTGGTGGTGGTGGTGATGATGATGATGATGGTGGTGTCGTTGTTAACAAAGAACTTAAACAATCATTTTCAAATTGATGACTGTTTCTCTACTTTTGTTTTCTAAAAAAAAAGAAGAAATTCTAAAGAGAAAACAC